GTGGGTACAGGAGGAAAAGAACCCCAAAGAGGGGGCCCAAGACACAACTTACGCTCCCATGAGTTTTCCTTTATGCCTTTACCACATGGGCCTGCGGACATCCTCATCCCCAGCTGGGATTGCTCCAAATACCCCTTTATTGCTAAGGACAGGTAAAGTGAAGTGCCCAAGCCCCATCCCCATCCCTGCCAGTGTTCAAGGTCACGTTGGAGCAAGCTGCTCTAGTGGAAGGTGTCCTTGCCCATGGCAAGGGGTTGGAGCTGGAGGAGCTTTAAGGTCCCTTCCAACACAAACCAGGCTGGGATTCTATGCTAAAATAAGCCAGCTGAACCTTTAGTGCAAGCTGGAAGGAGCTGATGCAGTGACATGTCTCACAGGAGCCGCCCCAAGCTTGGCATTCCAGCGGGGCTATGAAGGAAGGTGATCCATGGGGAAGGAGGCAGGTCCTGCTGCTGGTGGGGTAGGTGTAAGGGTGGCTCAGCAATGCCCTGGGCTGCTGTACGTGTGAAGCTGAGCCCTGAAGGAAAGGTCAAAGCCAGCTCTTGGGTATGATGCCAGCCTCGCAGCTGCTTTGGCACTGGGATGGAGATGCCAATGCTCTTCTTGTTGCTGTCCAAAGGGCTTGGAGGGAGCCTGGCGCTGGGCCATGCTGTGACCCAGCATCAGGAGACAACTGGTATTGCTGCCTGGCATCACAGCACCTCATGCATGCAAGGATGTGCAGAGGCAGAGCAGAGCTTCCTCCAAGTGTTCAGGATGGGTTGGTGACTGTGGAGATGGAGCTGCCTTCTGGCTTGGAGATTTGTTCCCCCCCCCGTGCAGCTGGTGACCTACCTGTGGGGATCACAGCATCCATCACTGCAGCACGCAGTAGCTGTAGGGATTCCCAACACACACAAGGCACTGTTAGCAAAGACCCTGCTTTTCCAGCCTTATGGAAAGTGGCTTTTTCTCTTCCCCTGGAGGCACCACACCAGCTGGATGGGATGCTCAGGGGATGTTTAGCTTCCCCTTCACCCCTCCCTTACCGCCTGCAATCCTGATTGCTCTAACTCCATTACAGCCTTACTGTCCTGGCTATCTAAAACCCCTTTTTAGGGTGGACATAGACCTGTGTGCCAGGAGGAAGTTAAAATCCTAAGGAAACTGCTAATTTCTGGCTGTAAGTGACATCTAGTGGAAATGGCAGGAAAAATGAGTTTCACAGGCAAAATCCTGTTGGATTTCAGTGGTGAAACTCAGATTCCTTCAGCCCAGAAACCTTTTCTTCAGGCCTTGTAAAAGCAAACAGCTCTCTCTCTGTGGGTATGACTCAAAGAGAGCTTGATTTGTCGCACACCAGTGAGCAGCATGACAAGGAGGTGGCCGTGACATGACAGCAGTCACTTGGACTTATGGCTGCTGGTCCCAAGCCAGAAACACTGCATTCACAACAGGCCATGCTTTGGTTTGGTATTCCAGATGGAAACAAGCTAGTTTTGCATAGCTAAGCACTATGGCAATGTAGGTCTGGCCTGGTCCATCCTGATGCTCGTGATGCTACAGCCTGGTCCTGCTGGGTTCTTTAGGCAGGGGATGGTCCCCCACAGCCTCCTGTAGCAGCACCCATAGGGAAGCAAAGAGGGGAACTGCAGAACCTGCCCCTCAGGGATGATGAGTCCAAGGTTATGGATATCTCCATCCTGGGCCCTGTTTGCCTCCTCTTCCTTGGCACTGGATGTGCCTGCTTGCTGCCACCCCTGCCCCAGCAGGAAGGGTCCAGCCAGCAGAATGGATGTGTCCTGAGGCTATTCTTGTGCAGAGCAAAGCCAAAGCTTGCAGAGAAACCTGAAACGCAGCGAGACTTGGATTAGGAACCCGAAACTCCAGCCAGGATACGAGCCTTTTGGAAGAGCTTGGCAGGCTTTCAGGCAAGTGCGGGCTGAGTTTCAAGTCAGCTAAGGCTGACCTTTGAGTGAGCCCACTGCTGGCTGCTTGGGAAGCATGGGCTTGAATGCTAAGAGAGCCTGGGGAGTGAGTTTCAGGCTAAAGAAGCAACCCAAACACAACAAAAGGGTTAAAGGGGTTAGGGTAAACCAATGCAGAGCTCCTGTGGTTTGGGGGTGATCATTCCAAGCCACTCACCTGCCCCCAAAGCAGCAAAACCAGACTGGGAGTTACAGCTTCACTGCACTCAGAGCTTCAGTGTGGCTTAACCCCTTCCTCAGCATACAGTAACTCACTTCCAAGGTACAGCTGAGCTCTGTCCACATCACAAGGGGGGGCTCATGGGTGTTAGGGGTGGAAAGCCAAAGCGGTACCCGAGCAGCTCAGCGTTCCCTATTCCTGGACATAAAGGGCTGTATCTGTAGGGCGGTTTGTACCTCACAGGTATTTATGGAAGGGGAGAAATGAATCAGAGAGATCACACAGTGGAAAGGCTGGAGCTGTGACAGACAGAGATGGGCAGACAAGGCCTGGATGTACCAGTGACCATGGCTGAAGGACGATGATGATGAAACCGAAGCAGAGGAAGGCACAAGGAAATAGCCACAAACAGAGCTGTGTGTCCCAGGCAGTGGGATAAGAGCTAATGCAGTTTTTGCTCCTGAAGCTGTGGACGTATTTCTCTTCCCATTATGTTGGTGGTTTTTTTCCCCATTACTTCTCCTGCAAACACATCCCACTCTTCCTCCCCTAACACACAGCATGTGATGGGCCTAGAGCAGGGCAGGGAGGATGTCTTTGTAATCAGACCCACATTTCTCTGCATTGTCTGCGTTGTCTCAGCAGTGAATTCAGCCAAACCCCCCCCCCCATAATCATGATGTTTTAGTGCTGTTTGTAAAAGCTCTGTGAAGGTAGAATTTTCCCAAATGGAGTTTCCTGGATAGGAAATTGCTTATCTAAGAGTATTATTCTATATAGCTCTAATAGCTCCTTTCCCCCCTGCTAGTCTGTTGAAGTCCCTTTACACTGGGAGTAATGACTATTAAGCCTGAGGCCACAGAAGGGGTGTTTATGCCAAAGGAAGTGCCCCTCCACCGTGTTCCCAGTTTCCTTGCCTAGCTCCCCTTTCCATGCCCTTGATCCTGACTCTTTCTCCCACGCTGTGTCCTATGTCGTCAGGCAGAGAGGGGCCTCATCTGCTGCTTTATTTCAGGCCCTTCTCTAATTACACACTGACATTAGTTATTTATATAATGTCCTTAATACCACAGCATCAATACTGGAGGTGCTGTGTGCCTGTGCCCGCCTGGCCATGGCTTGGCAGGCAGCATCCGCTGGTCACGTTGGTCCAGAGGTGCTGGAGCAGCATCCCAGCATCTGGCATCAGCTCCAATGGAGACCCGGGAGAGGCACAGGGTCACCACGTGCCAGAAGGTAATCAGAGATGGCCTGTTCCTGGCTGGAGCTGCTGGATGTCCTTGGCAGATGGCACAATGTCCCTTCTGGCTCCGGGCAGCGTGCCTTTGCCCTTGAAGTCCACGCTTAGGGCCGTCCCATAGGGGAAGGCAGGGAAGCGCTCTCAGATGCGTGATTTCCCCAAGGACTCTGTGTGGGCTTTACCCAGGCCTGCTAAATAAATCCTGGGATGTCTCCTGCTCCCAGCCTTGTTTGTGTGTCTGAGGCCAGGGTGGATGGTGGGGTGGGGTGCGCGCAGTTCCTGTTGGGGTCTGGTGCGCGGCGGCTCCAACGGGACACTGATAACGCGGGCTCCCAGCCCGCTGCTGGCTTCCAGGTCCGTCTCGCTGCCTCTGCCTCTTTCATGTTCCCTGCTGCGGTTTGCGAGGCAGAGTTGAAAGGTTTCTCTGACTAACCCTGCCTGCTGGACTCAAAGGGAAGGAAGTCGACTGCAGCCAAGGAAAGGAAGCCGGGTGGTTTCCCTTCTGCGTCTGCAAGCGCGGGTGAGGGGGAGAGGGAGAAGGGTGTAGCCAGATCGCAGAGGAGATAGGATGGGAAGACAGCAGACCTCTTCCCTTCCATATTCTCTCGGCTCCACGAGCTCCCCGTGTGCGTCAGCCCCGAGCATAAGGAAAGGAAGCGTGTCCTGGTCAATATTCACCCCGGGGCATGGGGCTGCTGGTGGGCTGCACGCTCCTGGCTCGCTCCTTGGCAGTGCAGTGTGTGAAGGCAGCCACGACGGGGAGCTTCCATCCCACAGGATGGTGGTGCTGGCAAGGCAAGAGGCCCAGATGCCTCCAGCCTGTGGGACAGGAGCCATGGGCTGCATGGAGCATGTGATGTGGAATAGCTGAGGAGGATGCAGAGGCTGCGGGTCCCACTCGGTTCCCACAGCATCTGCACAACCAGCCGTCTCCAGTTTGGGGTCTACAGCAGCTTGGTGGCTGAACGTGTGTCCATAGCCTTGGGGCAGCATGGCCTGGAGCTGGGTTTGGGTTCACACACTCTGTGTTGCTGGCAGCTGCTTCAGGTCACCTATTTCTGTCCTCTGGGACACGCCGGGGGAGGCAGAGGGCTATTTCTGGCTCTGGTTGCTGACCCACCAAGGCACCGGGGACCAGTCGCTTCCCCTGTAGCTCCCTCGTGCCAGGCTCACACTGAGGAGCCAACCCAAGGCTCCCCATGCCACCTGCATGGGATGGATGCCACGTGCCACGCAGGGCTTGTCACAAGGCTGTGACGCTGGCCGTGATCTTTGGATGTGAAGCTGCAGTCAGCTGGCAAGAAGGGATGCTGTCAATAGGTGAACGATGCCCCTGAGGGATGTATATGTCACCCTAGGAACGGGTAACTGAGGTATGCTGGAAAAAAGAGCAGTCATTACCATCCATATGTCACTTTCTGCCTTGTGTCAAAGGCTGTGAGCTCTGTACATGGGCCATGCCATGGGGCAACCCCATCAGTGGGCATCAGGAGTGGTCCTGGAGACCCCAGAGTCTGTAGGACAGGAAGGCATTGGCTGGCACCACCACATCTTCCCCACCAGCTTCTATATATGGGCCTGCCCTGTCTGAACCCATCACACTCGGATCTCAAGTGACACGCTGGGGAGGGAGGGGGGTGTCTAATTTTAGCCCCTGAATGGATCTGTGCTGGAGCCGAGCTCTCTGCCCCCGTCAAGGGTACAGCATCATGTTGTGCTGGGAGGATTTTCCTGCGTGGCTCTTTGAATGGCTCCATCACCGGCTCAGGTTGTGCTACAGGTAGGATGCAGCCTTGTGATCTCTCTGCTTCTCCTCCTGCTGATGGATGCCCTGTGCTGGTTTTGGGCTCTGTTGTATCTCCCTCCCCAGTGCCACGGGCATGGCTTGTTGCAGTGGGCTGTGTTTCATGCCACTTTCGTGCGTGATGCTGTGGCAACAGGAATGCTCTAGAGTGTAAATCTCCCACTTTTTAAAACGGGTTGTAGGCAAAAGGGGAAGGAAAGGGTATGGGAAGTGCAGGGCTGCTGTGGAGAGAATCCCAGGCTCTCAGTGCTGCTGTGCTCCGGAGCAGAGGCAGACCTGAGGGGGGTAGTAGTGGTCTCTCTCAGTGCTGGCTGGGCTGTGGTCCAGCACAGCGATGCTTGTCCTGCTGATTCTGTTCTTGCCTCCTGCTGATTTCAGTTGGAAATGAGTGAGGATGAGGGAACGCAGGGCAGCAACCTAGGGACAAAGAGTGATGGTGGTGTGTCCTCCTCATGCCCTGATCTCTGTCCCCATCCCTTGCTTTCCTGCTGCAGGCATGGATGACTTCGAGTACAGCATCCAGCTGAACGACAGGGACTGGGCCGAGTTCTCCTTGGCGGCGGAGGAGTGCAACCTCGCGCCGGCCTCGCTGGCCACAGCGGAGGAGCAGAGCCTCAGTGACATTGAGCAAGGGGACGGCGTGCCGGGCAGCACAGACGGGCCGGTGGGCAGCAGGCCAGGGCCTGGCACGGCCAGCTCTGCCCCACGTGGGGTGACCGGAGACGCCTCTTGGGGCTGGAAGGCCGACGGGCACCTCTCCGTGCCGGAGCGCCTCTGGGACGAAGCGGACGCGGGCTCCGTTGGCAGGACCCTGTGTGCGAGCGGAGAGCCCGGCTGCCCTTCATCCGCCCCGATGCCCAGTGTGCAGGGCAGGCAGCCCCCCTGCCCTCCCGCAGGCACCGCTGCCAGCCCGGCTGCGGGCACAGCGCAGGACGCAGCATGCGAAGCAGCAGCACGGCAGCCACAGAAAGGAGCAGGCAGCGGTAGCCCGGCTATGGAGCGTGCCAGCAGCCCGGCTGGAAGGAGTGAGCAGGGAGGGGATGCAGGAGCGGCTCCGGGACAGGGCAGCTCGCCCGCGGTGCCCGCTTCCCCAGGGAGAGCCGCAAGGAAAGGTCTCAGCAGCGCTTCCCGCTTGGAACCAGGACCACGGGGACCCCCGCGTGAACCCCCCCTGAGTCCAGCGCTGGAGGCAGCCCCCAAAGCTCCCGTGTCCCCAGCACGGGAGGAGGCGAGCGGGGACAGAGCCGGCTCCGAGCGCTGCTCCCCCGCTGGCTCCCCGGAGGTTGTGAGGCCCAAGGTGCCGGCGCAGATGAGGAAGAGCCGGAGGCAGCGGGGAGCCGGTGCCACCGAAGCAGCCCTGGGGGACAAGGAGCCGGTGGGGGCTGCAGGACAGGGGACTGCGGTGCCCGTGAAGGCACCTTTGAGCTCGCCACTGTCCTCAAGGAAGAGTAAAGGGAAGGAGAAGGCAGCCAAGCCGGCTCCTGTGAGGATGGGCAGTGAGGAGGCAGTGGAGAGCAAAAAGCCAGTGCCCAGCCCTGGTGCGGATGAGGGTGATTTGACTGCAAGCTTATCCCCCAAGCAGAAGGTGAAGGAGACGGCAGCCAAGCCGGCTCCTGTGAGGCTGGAGAGTGAGGAAGAAGCAGAGAACAAGCAGCCAGTGCCCAGCCCTGGTGTGGATGAGGGTGATGCGGCTGTGAGCACCCCTTTGAAGCAGAAGGTGAAGGAACCACCCCCTAAACCAGCTCCTGTGAGGCTGGGCAGTGAGGAAGCAGCAGAGAGCAAGCAGCCGGTGCCCAGCCCTGGTGTGGATGAGGGTGATGTGGCTGCAAGCATATCCCCAAAGCAGAGGGTGAAGGAGCCAGCAGCCAGACCGGCTCCTGTGAGGCTGGGCAGTGAGGAAGCAGCAGAGAGCAAGCAGCCGGTGCCCAGCCCTGGTGTGGATGAGGGTGGTCCAGCCATGAGCGCTCCCCCCAAGCAGAAGGTGAAGGAGCCGGTGGCACAGCCCCTGGGGAAGGTGAAGGCCACCAAGCAACCAAAGGCAGGGCAGGCTGGTGGCCTGGGGGTAAGTGACACCGTGATCCCTGATGGTGCCGGAGATGCCAGCAGAGCCAGAGCTCCTTCAGGAGGGGCATGCCAGGAGAAGCCTCTCCATCCCAAGAGTGTGGTGGCTTTTGGAGGGGATGCTGCCAACAGAGCTCATGTGGAGCCTGCAGCTGAGGTCCCCAGGGAGCTGGGGCCCCCTTGCTTTGAAGCTGGGACCTTTGCAGGGACAAACACCCTGGATGTGACTTGGCCTGAGATGTATGACTATTTGTTCTGTGACTCCCAAGAGGAAGAAGAAGGAGCATGGAACTCAGTGGAGGGGGGGAAAACACTGGAAAGGGAAATCTCCTTGCCTGAACTCTATGAGTATTTTTTCAATGAACCAGAAGGAAAGAGGAAAAAAGCCAAGAGTAAAGACAGGAAGCGAAAGAAGTTCAGCAGCTTGGACCACACTGAGCTGCAAAACGAGGATGCTGACTTGGATCCAGTCAAAGACTCCGTGGTTATCTCAGTCCCTGAGGTGTACGAACACTTCTTTGTGGATGGGCCTGGGAACAGGGCGGGCTGGAGAGGGATGTTCTCAATCGCTCCCACCTCCGAGGTGAAGAAAGCTGTGGGGGCTTTGAAGACCCTCCTGCAAAGGCATCTCGTCGGGCGCCAAGTCCCAGCACCCCAGGCTCTTGTGCGGAGAGGATCCGGAGAGAATCTCCCCCTCGTCCCACTAGGTCCGTTGGGAAGAAGCGAGGCACAGTCTGACTTGGACATGGCCCTTGCACTGAGAGGTAAAGCACTATTATCCCTGCCCAACAGCCCCATAGGGATGGATGTGCCTCTGCCCTGTGTGGTCCCTTCCCCAGCTCCCAGCCCTGCCCTGCTGCAGTCATCTCCACTTCAGCCACAGTGGTGTTGAGGCCACCAAATAGATGGGAGCATTTAGGTGGGCTGGTGTAGCTGGTCAAATCACACCCCTGGCATGTTAACCCTGGCACATAGCAGCACTGGGTTTTAGCAGGGAAAGCGTGCCTAAAGCCACCACCATCATGCAATCATCATGGAATGGTTTGGGTTGGAAGGACCTTAAAGCTCATCCAATTCCACACTAGGACACCTTCCACTGGAGCAGCTTGCTCCAAGCCCCTGTGTCCAACCTGGCCTTGAACACTGCCAGGGATGGGGCATTTACCACTGCTCTGGGCACCCTGTGCCAGCGCCTCAGCACCCTCACAGGGGAGAGCTTTACAATATCTCATCTCAGTTTTCCCCTCTGTCAGGTTAAAGCCATCCCCCTTGGCCTATCACTGCATGCCATTATAAAAAGTCCCTCTCCAGGTTTCTTGTAGGCCCCTTCAGGTATTGGAAACCATGTAGGTTCCCAAGTCCCACTGGACATGCTGTGTCACATTGTCTCTCGTGATGCTTACACTGTCCCTATGCCAAGCGAGTGATGCTGGCTGCCTTCCAGTACTGCAGGAGGCATGGACAGGGAATCTGGGTATATTCTATGCATACCTTACTTTGTTCTCCATAAACTCCAGTCCTGGGGCAGAGGTGGGCATGACAGCATGCATGCAACAGCCTGAAACTCAGCCTTGAAGTCCTTGTCCTAGGTGATTCACTTCTTCCTCTGAATGGATATAACTTACTGTGGATCTGACCTATATTTTTACACTCTGGCCGAGGAAAACTTACTGAGGCATTTAGCTGCATTAAATATGGTTGGGTTTATTGCAAGGTGAGGTAGAGATGGGGATCCCCCACCCATCCAACTGCCTGCAGAACCACATGGCTGTGCCTCTGATGAGGGAATAGGAGGCAGAGCAGCCAAACCCTTCTGTACCAAAGAACTCATGCCCCCGAGATAAGGCAATGGCTGCTGAGCTGCTCTCCTGTTAAGGCTGCCAATGGAGCTAATACTGGTGAGGGAAATGGTGTGCACAGAGTGGAACATGACCAAGGCTTCCAGCTGAAAAGGTGAAGGGGACTATAGAACACATGCTAGCTTGAAAAACACCCTCCCCAGACCTCAGAGGTCACCTGAACATTGACTGTTATGGGATGCCGGTAAGAGAAACAGGGATAAAATGAGAACAAGTCTGACCCACTACCACAGCATATTTATCTTAAAGCTTATATGATGCTCAGAGGCACAGTGCCTCATAGGTAATATTAAAACCAAACAATGAATGAGTCATCCCAAAGGGTGCCTCAAAATAGAGCATCCAGGCTGTTTGCACAGAGGCAAATGCCTTTGCCATGGTGTAGCTAATTAATAAGCCAGTTTTAATTAAAAACCTGATCAAATAAACACAGGAGCAAAAGAACCCCTATGTCTCCGAGTAGACTGGAACTCCAGCAGAGAAAGACATGCAGAGCACTGAGGGCTGTCTCCTGCTGCAGAGAGATGCTGAGCACTGCTGCTTCTTGGTGGCATCTGCATTGTCCTAGAGCTGTGTGTGTGTTGGGACATGGATGGGGACCTTGCCCAGAGGGGCCCCACTGCATTAGCAGCCATCCAGGAACTGTGTTCTCCTAAATCCAGCCCCACTTCCAACCTGGGAAGGTACTCAGGGGTGGTGATGCAGTCAGAGGTCCTGGAGGCATCATATCCACTGGTAGTGCCTCTCAGGCCCATGGGCAGCATTAACAAGTATTTGCCTTGTGTTCTTAAAGTGTAAACCTGAGAGGGGCGGAAAATGTGCCCCTCTCCTTAGGAAGTGTACCTGAGTCCTACATAGACATGATTGACTTGACCAGTGGTGAAATATCTTCTGGGAGGGAAAATGTGTGACAAAGATGTATTTCTGGGGCAGTACAAGGGACCCACTGCCACAGAGGGACCAGAGCCTGCTGTGGCAGAGGAAGTGGTGTGAAACCCCAAACCTCCTGCTCTTCTTCTCACAGGGAGCCCCCAGGTTCCACTGGCGCTGACCCACAAAGACATGTGCCTCGTCTTCTGTGCCTTTGCCTCCTGGGCAGTGAAGACCTCCGACCTGCAGGCTCCGGATGCCTGGAAGACCAGTATGTATGGTGTCCATCCTGGAGGGAGAGGGGTGGGAAGGACCTCATGGAAGACATGGCAATGAGAAGAGCAGGGATACTAACACACCTAACACTGCCTGTGGGAAAACGCAGTCATTTCCCTACTTATCCAGAGCATCCTGTTAGTTCTTAATACCTTCTAATGCCTATGGAAATGGCAGTTCTGATTCATAGAACCACTTCTCTGGGTACCCTGTGCCAGTGCCTCACCACCCTCACAGGGAAGAACTTGTGCCTAAGAGCTCATCTCAATCTCCCCTCTCTTCTTACTTATTCCCATTGTCCTTTCCCCACAGAAAGTGACCGCTGACTTGAACATAGCTCTAGGACAAGTCTGTTCCTAGCTTTATCCCTGCTCCATCCAGCCTCTGACAGACACCAGTACCAGTGTATCAGGGCAAGAGAGGCTTCTTTAGGCTCCATGCTGGCTAGAAGCTCAATCAGGGCCCTGAGTATGCAGGCTTAGACTCCTTCATCTCACCCAGAACAAATGCACGTTGTTTTAAAGTGCTGTAAATGTATATTCTTTTCTCTAAATACAGCTTAGCTTCAGTGTTATCCTGGTGCACTGAGTCCTGCAGGAGCTCTGTTGGATCCTCTCTTCTCCAACCACAGCATTTGAATGGGGACAGAGGGAGCTTGGGCAACACAAATGAGCTGAGCTGTGGCCCAAGGGGTGCAGGTCACTGGATGAGGAGGGAATGGGACAGCAAACACAGCAACCTTGCCCTGGGGCTGGGTCCAAAGCCCCTGCCATGGGGTGTTAGGGTAGGACCAGGGCTTCCTGCTGCTTGTCCGGGGCAGGAATGTTCCCCACTAAGGTCACACAGGAAGCTGACACCCTGAGCTGAGAATAGCTTATTAGCTAAGATTGCTCAGTGCAGTCATCACAAGGAGCTTTTGGCCTGCTCCTCCTTGCCTTCTTAGTATTAGACCACAGAAGTGGCCTCAGAGAGGGTGCGAAAACCGGGATATGGGCCTCGTGCCCTCGGGATTGCATAACCCAGTGTGCAGTAAGCACACCAGCAAGGAGGTGACATCCTGGCTTTACGCTTCTCTTGTGACATTTTGGGTTCCAACAAGCTCAATTTGCCTGTTCTATGTCCCCAAAATCAAATGGTCTAAATTTAAAACAGGAAGTCCAAACAGAAGTGGAAAATGAAGGGACTACCCTGAATCCCTGGTGACATTTCCTACTTAGCTGAGGTTAGGCCCATTAGATGTCCACATGAACCTGTGTATCTAACCACCACCCATCTCTACCACATGCATGAAGTCTATGTTGTGTTTCTCTTAAAAACAGCTATTTCTTGTGACGTGGTGCTGTGATCCATGTGCCCAAACAATAGGATCAGGTGCGGTTGGCCAGGCTATTCAGGGCTGAATGCATTGGGAACAAGTACAAAGTGGTGGCGAAGGAAAAGCAAAGGCAGGAAGGGAACTCTAGGTCCTATAGACCAGAGTGAGCTACGTTGCTTGTGAACGTGAAGGCTGGAAAAGCTCTTCAGGTTTGGGAGAAGCACCCATCCTCACTCTGGAAATGCGTTGGGCTCTTTTCCAGTGTTCCTGGCAACTTTTGGCACCCTTTCTGCCATCCGCTACTTCCGAAGGCAGGTCAGAGAAGGACATCCCCGGACCTAGTCTCAGCGCACGCCAGCGATGCTTCCCGAGGACAGGCGAGGACGTTTGGAGGCAGAAGCTGGGGACTTTGTTCTTGGGCAAGTGTGAAAAGCCTGGATCCTAGCACCCAGACTTCAATGGACCCATCCCTAAAGGGGACAGGATGTCACAGGAAGCAGGATCCTTCCGGTGACAGTCATTTACAACACGGTAGGCAATTTGTACCTGTATTGGACAGAAGAGGAGCCCAGCGTGGGCTGGCTCTGGTCTTTCTTTGCACACTTCTTGTATACTTGTGCTATCTCCTAGGAGTAGTCACAGTGTCTGTTCCAGGGCGCTGCTTGTCCATCCTCCCTGCTGAAGTCACCTGGTGGCAAAGGAAGGCACCAAGGGGGTGGATGGAGGAGAGAGCAAAAGAAACCAGGAAAGTGCTTTGTTCTTATGAAGGAGCTGGCTTATCTGTGAAGGAGGAGAGAGCTTTGGGGAAGAGCTGTGTCTGTCCAAACATGGTGCTTTGCTAAGCATGTGCTGGCTGTGTGTGGGTAAAGGGGGATGGAGAGGCTGCTCACTTGGCAAGGACCAGGTCCCCCATGACCGGGTTGGCTCAGGGCAGGAGGACTCATCCTCTTGGATTGCACTCAGAGAAGTCATGCTCAGTCTAACCGTTCAGCAGGCTGAGATAGGGTTTCTATTGCTCGTGGCCCTGCTGAGCCAGAGCCATGGATGTGGTGTTTGGCCCTGTGGGTGAGGAGCACCCGCTGCAAGGACACATCTCACTGCTGTAGGCAGGGAATGGGCAGGAATCCCTCAGCCAGAGCCAGAGGAAGGGGCGGCAAGGAAGGGCTCTATAGGAGCTGCACAGGATGGAAAAGGGCTGCAGGGGCAGCAGGGAAAGGGCCCGAGCTCAGGGAAGCCTCTGGAAAGAGCCCTCTTAAGGACAGGAGCATGTTGGAGAGGAGGAGAAGGTATGTGCACATGTTTGGCTCTGACAACCACCACACGAAGGGTCTAAACACATGACTTGGTCCCTCCACTGCCTTCCATCCTAGAGACATAAAGGTGGCTGGAAGGAGATGGTAAGGGAGGATGTGCCATGGCTGAGTGTGTAACCCTGTGGGACTGGAGAGGGCTGGAATGCACCCAGGATGGAAGATGGGGTGAAAAAGGAAAAGGAAGTGGTTCAGTTTCTTCCCTGTCTCTAGTGCCTTCCTGAACACTCAAGGGCATTATTCATGATGGTTTTTCTTCACTCCCAAGTCTGATAACAGCATGAATGTGAGATTTGTTAAGCACTTAGGGACCAGATCCACAAAGATACCGGGGGAAGTCTGCCTGGAATACCTGTGTGGATCTGCCTATGAGCTTTGTAGGAGCACTGTGGCAATGTTTGTCTTATGAAGCCAGAGAGGAGAGGTTTAGCTCCTTCCTTGCAATGCAGAGTGCCATGCAATTTTAATGTGTGTAGGGCTGTGTTGAAGATGATGTATTATTGCTGATAAGAGAGTATACTGTACAATTGTACAGAGAGGTATGTAGCAGTAAATAGCGAGAGAGATGTACATGGACTATATATGTATATGGACTATAGTATATAGATGTATACGACCATATAAAGATGTATATGGACTATAGTAGCTGTATAGCCAGTAAGAGGAGTTTGGTGGAGGAAGAGAACAGATAAAATGTGCTGGAAGCTTCTAATAAAGATCTATCTCATTTAATACTCTTGTGTGCATTCCTGTCTCTATATTGTTTGTGTATGAAACTGCTGAGTTTTAAAGAACAAGGAATCAATCCATTATGTGACATTGATACTCAAATGTAGGAGTTGTGCTGATTGAGGACAGGGTACGCAGGGAGATGAGCTGCTTCTCTTCTCTGGCTCAGACCCCATGCCTACCCCTCTAAGACACAGCCTGGCAGTTGCCTGTCACTAACAGCCTGTTCCAGAGAGCCCTTTGCTCTCTCCTGTCTCAAAAGCACTCAGGACTCGAGCAGAGACCAGCTCTTGCCAGCTCCTCCGGGGCTCCCTGGACACATCAGTGAGCACAAGTCAATGCACAGCAGCAGCTCCTGGGTTTGGTCCATTGATGCTCATCACCTCTGCCCTCCCTGGTCCTCCAGGGTGCAGCTAAGCTCTGCATGAGCAGCATCCCACAACGCATCCCTGCAGCCTCAGGCACAGCAAACCTCACTCTGAGCAGGAGCAGGCAGAGGGGAGGCTGAAGCGTTCACGTGTGCTCAGTTTTATCCAGCCATCATCCATTAAGCACTGCCCACGTTCTCAGGGGCAGCCTTGGCACGGCGGGTGGGAAATGGGGGAGCAGCTGGAGGAAGCAGGGCACTTTCATTAGGCTGGGTTTTCCTGGGGGACTGTCCCAAAGCAGGGAAAGGTCAGAGGAGGGCAGCAGGCAGGGAAGGGGGCTCTGGGACTGCCAGCTCCTCTCAAGGGGCTATTCCTAATGCCTCATGCAGAGTGAGGTTCCCAGGGTAAGGCCAGAGCTAAATCCCAGATGGTCCCTGCGAGCTGCTGGCTTGGATTGAACCTTTCAGATGTTGTGTTTTCCTGTCACACAAATCTGGAGGAAATGAGGTTTTCCCTTCACTTTGCAGGTGCAGGGACAGTTGATTTCCCTCCCAGACATGTACAGTACACCCTGGCACAATGCTGGCAGCTAAGAAATGATTGTGCTGAAAGTGACTGAATTTAACAGTGAATTCACCAGCTGGAAAAGCTATTCTGGTCTGTCTCAGTGCCTCAGTGACTGTAAAGCTGCCCTGAAGATCTCACTGGAACTGGGAGGGGTTCTGGCCAGAAACCACAATGCTGAACACACTTCTGATGACATTAACCCCTCCAGGGGCTGGGGCAGGGCTCTGTTCTGGGATGTGGGGTGTCTGGGTGTACCCATGGCAGCCTGATCTTTTCCAAGCCATGCCCTTGCTTTGGAGCCTCATCTCCCGTTGGGAAGAGGCTTTGTTCTCAGCCGCTCCCCACAAACCAAAGCGTCAGTTCAGCTCAGCTCTTGGTCTTCTTCCTTTGCAAGGAATGAGGAAGCTCAGTGAGTTGAGGCTGGGTTGCAGAACCGCACAGTGAATGTATAGGTGGGTAGCAGCGTCCTCTCCTGCCACCATTGCTTGAAGGCTCTGGGCATGGTTTATGCACGTTACCAGCTTGTTCTGCTCCTTGCAGCCAGTCAGAGACTACCATCAGCCTTCCTGAGCTGCACGGGAGCAGCACTGATGGGAGGCTGCAGGAAAGCTGGTTTGGGTGCATATCTGATACGATCCTGAATGGAATCAGACCTAGATGTTGCAAGAAGCAGGAATGGCAGGTAATGCTCTGCACTCCCAATATCCCATAGGTGAGGCATACATAGTCAAAACCCTGCATTTGGGGTGGGAAAAGGGTAAGGTTGTCCCTGACCACCTTTACCTGGGAAAGGCAGTGTCACCAAGGGCCTGCTTTCCCACTCCAGGGACACAGGGTACATCTCACTCTCCCTGTGCCTCTATCCCAGTGTTCAGAACCTCGTGCTAAGTCTCTTCCCAGGAGAGTTCTGTACTCATGTCGCGCTGTAGGCAACGTGAGATGCCTGTCACCTCTACCTTTGCCTTTCTGTGATAACTGGTGTTTCATCCTTTACAGCTGGGGCTTGGAGATGTAAATGTGATTTGGCACCTCCCCTTGCTAACACCTACCGAAGGTACCAGAGGATCCATCAGGTTAGAGGTGCATTTCACGCTCCTTTTGATCTCCCCTGGAACAAGCAGGTGAGATAAATATTTCAGAAGATGGATGCTTTCAGCTCACTGCAAAAGCAAAAGGAGACGTTGAAGGATCTGGTTGGTGTCAGGACTTGGAGCTCTGGGGGTGTCTGCTGTGCTCAGCCAAGCAGCAGTGTCTCTGGTGTCCTCCAAGGAAACCTGCTTGGACTCGCCTGCAGTTTCAACGCTTGGTTTATTCTCTGACCTTTGAAGCTCTCTGCTCTCCCTCTGTGGGGAGATCATCTTGTATCTCACCCCGAAGGGAGGAGCCAGGAGCTCCCCATCTTTTGCAATAGCAGCAGCCACCACAATAGAAACGACCTTTTCCGTGTGCATCCTTGCTGCTCTCCCGTCACCAAAGGGAGCGCCAGCGCTGGAGGTGGGCCCTGTGCCATCGCGCCCCGCTCCTTCGCCTCGCACGTAGCTCCCACATCTGACCCCTTGCCTTGCCAAGCCGATGAAAAAGTCAGGCAGGTGCACCCTCGCGATGCGCCTCCGTATTTCATCCCGGGATATGCTATGTGCCACCCGGCTCCTGGAGCCCTGCGCCGGCAAGGGAATGGGTTTTGCCGGAGCAGCTCCTTCTGCCTGTAATAAAAGCAGGGGGAAGCATCCCAAGGCTGTTTCTGAGTCACAACCGTCTCCTCCCCGCGCTTCAGAGGGATTTTAGGGGGCTGATGGTGCTGTGCCAGAGCCAGGAGCGCCGGCACAGGGCAGAGCAGAGGAGCAGCGACCTCCCTTCCCTATGGAGCACCGGTTGGGCTGTGAGAGCAGGACATGTTTTGGTGGATTCCCCCACCCACAGGGCAGTGAGGGAGTTGCTCATCCCAGACTACAGCGAATCCTGCCCATCCTCAATGCGCTCCAGGCTCTGCTGGGGTTTCCAAGCGGGAGCAGGGAGCAGGTTTGGGCATCAGGTCCTTCTCTTACAGTGAGCCGACAGGAAGAGGCGCGTTCATCCCAAAGGAATTCCCAAAGCTCAAGTGTCTTTGCAATGTCAACCCTGGTGGGCTGCTCTGTGACAGCTACACACGGCCTCCTCTCCAGCCTCCTGAAGCCAAAGGAGCAGGTCATAGGCTTCACTTTCTTTCTCTGTTTATCCTTTGAGTAAAAGGTTATCCTTTGGGATTGTGGCTTGGAATTCAGAAAGCAGAGAGAAATAGAGCAGCCCGTGGTGTTTTGATCACTGCTCTGCTTTTCCAGCTATGGTTTCGGTGGGGGGGACCTGATTTGAGTGCTTGGAGGTGGTGCAGAGATCATTTGCCAGCGAGTGGATTGCTGGCTGCTGCTATCACCCCATGCCTTCCATCTGCCCCTGTGAATGAAGAGGCACTATGCTGTGACCGAGCTGAGCAGCGGGATGTGCATGGCACACTGCCTGCTCCAGAGCACTTTGGGGCTGACCTGGTTCAGGCTGTACCCATGCAACAGCCGGGCTGAGGAGGGTGAATATGTGTTGGGGGAGATGAGGGGTATTTGGTGTGTTTACGGGTACAACGGTTTCCATCTCAGTGCAACCTGCACTGGGACGTCGGGGTCTCTTGAGGTGAACCCTCTGTCTTAAATCCTGTTGGAGGAGAAGCACAAAACCGAGAGTTTTCATGGTCGTAAGGCAGATGTCAAGGGGACAAGGGGTAATGGGTTCAAACTGAAACAGGGGAAGTTTAGATTGGATATAAGGAGGAAATTCTTTCCTGTGAGGGTGGTGAGGCACTGGAATGGGTTGCCCAGGGAGGTTGTGAATGCTCCATCCCTGGCGGTGTTCAAGGCCAGGTTGGACAGAGCCTTGGATGCCATGGTTTAGTGAGAGGTGTCCCTGCCCGTTGGAACTGGATGAACCAGCCAGCTTTGCCAGAAGGAGCCATGGAATCAGTGGGGGTGGAAAAGAGCTTTAAGATGATCCAATCCAACCATTTCCCACTGCCAAGGCCGCCATTAACCCATGGCACTGAGGGTGTGTGAATGCTTCCATGGACGGTGGCTCCAGCCCTGCCCTGGGCAGCCTGTTCCAATGCCTGAGCACCCTGTGGGGCAGGAATTGTTCCTCAGCCCCATCTAAACCTGCCCTGGTGCAGCTTGAGGCCGGTTCCTCTTGTCCCATCCCTTGGGAGCAGAGCCCAGCCCCTCCCGGCTCCATTCCCCCATCAGGGAGCCATGAGCCCCCCCCTCCCCCCGCGCCTTCACTTCCCGCCACTCTCTGAGGCGGGAAGCGCCATGAGGGACCCGCTGCCCTTCGCCCTCATGGCTTCCGTCCTTGACGTCTCAGCGCTGCCATGGGCACAGAGCACACACACACACACACCCTGGCGGACATGAGGTGAGGTCTGCTCGCAGGCAGGGCTCGGACGCCATGGTCGGGTCGGGGAGGGCGGTGGTGAGGGGGTGTGAGGGGGGGCAGTGATGGCGTCCATTGGGCTCCCCTCATGGTCAGGCCCCATGGGTTACAATGGAGGGGGTGCTGAGGGTGATGAGGGAGCTGTGGGGATGGTTCAGATGGAGAGGAGAAGGCTCAGGGCACCAGGGCAGGTTTAGATGGGGCTGAGGAACAATTCCTGCCCCACAGGGTGCTCTGGCATTGGAACAGGCTGCCCAGGGCAGGGCTGGAGCCACTGCTTTGCCAGAGAAGCCGCGACCCCAGGCCTGAAGCAAAGTCCCATTGGCTTTAGGGCTAAACCAGCCAGGCCCCACAAGCGCAGGGAGCCTTTGCTGCAGGGGTTGCCAAGGGCCCGAGCTGGGTTAGACACAGGCCCCCTCCTTGGCCCCAAAGGCCTCAGGGGATGAAGGGCTTTGGAAGGGGCAAAACTCCCCCTCCATTAAACCAGGGGCTGGCAAAGAAGGAGAGAGGCGAAGTATTCCAGGAGAACGTGTTATTGCAGTCGTCCCATCCCGCAGACAGCCACCAGGGAACCATGCCATCGATTGGGAATTGCTTTCCCCTTTTGATACCACCGCTGAAACCCAATTAAAACCGTCACAGCGGCCAGCGTGTCCATAGGAGCTCATGGGCACTGCTGCCTCCCAGCACACCGTGTGCTGTTGCTGTTCCCTAGTGCCGTTGTGTCCTCAATAAATAGATCCTTTGGGGGTTATCAGATACAAACCTTCCCAATAGGAAACAAAACAGTAACAGGTTGGAGACCCAAACCGATACACATAGGAATGCGCAGAGAGCCGCCCGTCCTGCAGTACTGAACGTCATCACAGCTGGACAATTAAATACATCTGCAACTCAGCCGCATTGACACCTTAAATACACAGAATCCACTCGAACCTCGCATGTAAACTTAGTGGGGTACCTCCTGAAGAGAAGTGTAATGTAATACATGGATATTCAAGTACAAAGAGCCCCTGGGTTGCTTTGTTTGCACCAGTGAAAGAACAAAACTAGAGGGTTTGGGTAATCTGGTTTGCAGCCTCTTTAGGGAACAAAGGTTGAGAGCGTGGAGCCTCAGGTAAAAACATTGGGATTTGCTGCTGACCTTTTATGTGTTAAAGGATCTGGCCTAAGAGGCTGGAAAACGATAGCACTGAGACTCTGTCCCCTGTTGTTTGTGTCCTGGTCTTGCTGCTGCTCTGGAGGGGGGAAGAAAGAGGTGAGAGCCCACAGTGGCCTTGCTCAGTGTTATGGCTGTAGTGAGTTTTCCTCCTTCCCTTTCTCCCTAGATACTCACAGGCAGCATTTAGTGCAAGCCCAGGGATGTGCAGAGGGGTGGGAGGAAAGGATGCAGTCCTGTAAGAGGAATCTAGAGCATCCTTTCCAGGGAAGACCTTGGTAAACATAAGCCACTTGGCCAGACCAGTTCTTGATTCCACCTCATCATATTGCAGGTCACCACCATGGTCTGGAGCCAGCATTGGCAGGAGAGAACTTACTGCATGAAGTGGAAAGGAAGTCCCATTCTGCCCAGACCTGGATTTCTCTTCTCCATCTCTCGTCAGTTAACCCTGACCTTGCAGGAAGACAATCGTATGAGCACAACTATTGCTACCAACCTTATATACCACGACGGGGCATGTCTCATGCATGTTTGCAGACTTCAGAGCTCAGTGGAGGAAGGGTCGGTATAACAGCTATTCTCAGGGATCAGGATCCTCAAAGTGACCAGCCCGAGGGCTCTGGTAATAAGCAAGATGATCAAACCCGGTCACCAGCCAGCCCTTTTCTTTGGCCTTTGAGTGACTGCTCCACCTGAACATCTAGTCCCTTTTATTTAAGGGAGCCTGACCAGCTTTTTGTTCTTCCTTTCATTATCAAGGGGACAAAGCCGTTTCCTAGCCAGGGCTCCCTAAGCTGGGGCAGCCGCAGTGCATGCTCCTTAGCACACACACTGCTCTCCAGGTCTGCAGAGGCTGATGCTTTTGTGCTTTGCCCCATCCTCAGATTCAGAGGAGAAGTTTGAGCTGCCAGGACATGGGAACCAGCCTTTACAGAGCGGGGCCCTTCCTTTTGCTTTGTACACCCCAAGTTCCTCACCCTGGAGGAAAACCCAGTGAGAAAAAAGCCTGGGGGCTTTTCTACGCCTGGTTGTGGAGGCTTTCCTTCAGGCTTGGTAAAACTGCTGGCTGGGAGCTGGGGAGGTATGAGGGGTGCCCGGCTCCTTCTCCTCGGCTTCCCACAGGTTGTCGTAGCTGAAGTCGCTCTGGAAGCTCTGGAGCTCAGCATAGTCATGGTAGGCTGAGGAGTCGCTGTGTGGGAAGCTGGTCTCTGGCAGGTCATAAGTGCCAACATCCCCATCTGCAATAAAACAGAGCAAAGCACTCACAGAGCTCACGAGCAACGCAGTGGCTGCCTGCTCCTTTGCCAGCAGAGTACACATGAGGGTCAGCAAAATCACAGCGCAGATGCAAGTGATCTAGCAAAGGGGTGGAAGTGTCTGTGCATCCCTACTCTGCTCTGGGGAGACTTACAGACTCTGTCAGACAGACACAGGCAAGAGGCAGAGTGAAACAGTCCCACTACAGGGGAGCAGGAGGAAGGGCAGGCATGTGTGTCCCTGTGCTCCCTCAGCCCTGCTTTGAGTGTTCCTTATGGAGACAGACACCAGCGAGAGAGAGTGGGCTGCAGCACCCACTGGGCCTCCCAGGAGTCTCACCTCGTAGCTGCAATGAAGTGCCCAGATGTTCCTCTTGCAGAGAAGAGATCTGAAAAGAAAGAGATGTATTGATGAGGATGACTTAGCACTGCAGTGCTGGTACTCCACACCAGGGAATCAGACTTCTGTTAGTTCCCCATTCCTGCTTTCCAATGCATCCCTGATCCCCAAGATGCAGTGACCGACCACTATTCCAGCCTGGAGAAAGGCAGGAACCCCTGCATCCCCATGTATTCCCCCTGCAGCCTCAGACTGCATTTACAAACTCACATCTTCAAGATAAGAAGCATCAGGAGGCCGCAGCTGGAGATGGCATGAGGAGCTGTATGGAGCCACAGGCACCTCTCTGCAGTGACTGGGCAGGGGCTGGCAGTTCCTCTTCTGCAGAGAGAGATGGTCTCTGCAGGCATTCACTTGTGCTGAGCCCGTCTGTCCATGACACTGCAGGAACTGAACCGAAACACTCCACATTTGATGCTTGCTATGGACAGTTGGGCAACACTGACCTGCTGCTTCCCACCTGTGAGCCAGCCCTGCTCTGACCAGACTTGGCAAACCCAGGTTTTCTGCCTACCTTACCAATTCTACTACATTCCAATCCTGAAAGCCTTAATGGGAAAGGAAGAATGGCTGCAGGTCCCTCATAGTAACCCACAGAGGTGGTGGAAGTTGGCCAGATGTGAAGGCAGGAGGATGAAGACTACTGGCAGCTCAAGGGACGAAGGACAGAGACTCAGCATATTCCTGAGAGGTGAGTAAAACTAGAAACATAACCTTTAACAGACACTTATCCCAGCTGGGGTTTTTTGGGGTGGATAAAGGGGTCTCTGTGTCTGACTCATCTCTAGTTTCTGCAGACTGGATGATCACATCTCAGCCTCTGTTTTGTGGTTTCTGGTTCTTCCTGGGATTGTCATGAGCATCCAGTGATAAGACAGGGGAAACCTGTTCCTCTCTGACTCTGTCCTGGCTTGACAAAACAGAGAACCTGCCCCACCCCAAAATGCAGCTTCCACATCCCACTCAGGCTCAGGCACACAGCAGGAAAAGAAATGGCCTGAGGTGTGATTTCTGGAGCCAAAAGCTTGTGTGCTGAGTCAAGCCCATAACCAGCAGCAGACATGCTGGGTGCCTTTTTACCTCTTCCAGGAAGCTGGATCCTGCCACACTGCGAGCAGCAGAGGAGCTGGGGGTATAGGGGTCTGCATACAAGGGGGAGCGGGGCATGGCTGGCTTCTCCAAAGAGCTGGAAGCTGTTGAGGGCTGACTTCCCACCAAGCTCCATCTGTTCAGCTAAAAGGCAGAATTGAAACAGAAACATGACATGCGGTTCCCTACTTGGAATTCATCCCCAGGAGGGATCAGAGTGGGGAATCTCCCTGCAGCTAAAGTCCCAAATGCTGCTCAGTCATGAGGGATGACAGGGCTGGCTCCCAACTGTGGCCATCTGTGCTGACAAGGGGACTTCCCTGGGTGTAAGGCAGATGCACACTCACTTGGCATCACACACTAAAGTAATGATGGACACACACACTGGAAAGCTTGTGTTGGTTCAGGAATTAGTGCCCAGCATCTCAGGGCTCCGAGGTGTTGCTCTGTTTGTCATGTTTAACCTCACTTCTCATGGACCATTTTCAAATGGAACTGGGTTTCACACCTTCCAGGTCAGTTCTCCCTGCAAAGAGCACTGTAAGGAAAGTGTGACCCCTCCACCAGCTTCTCTGCTGCTTAATCCTTCCCATCCCCACCGTGCCTAACCTGGGGCTTGGAGTAACCTGGTCTAGTAGAAGGTGTCCCTGTGGCAGGGGATTGGACCTAGATGAGCTTTAAAATCCCTTCCAACCCAAACCATTCCACGGTTCTCTGTTGCAGCCCCCTTACATTACTGAGGTCCAGATGTGGCAGGGGAGCTGCGGGGTGTTGCTGCAAGCTGTGTGCAGAGTATGGCTCATTGTACACCGAGGACAGTAGCTCGCCATTGGGGTTCTCAGGAATGAGGCTGCAGATGTTCCTCTCGGTGTCCTGGCTGGGCAGCTGCTGCCCACAAGGTCCACATTTGCCCTTGGACTTCCTGGCACTGCCTCCCCTCCGCAGGTCCTGTGCCAGGCACTGAAACAAGAAGATAGACCCTGGAAATGGCTCTTCTCAGGCCAGTCCTGGGCACATAGACCTGCCTGCAACCAGTGCAAGGCACTCCCCTGCTAGGACACCATGCTGCACTCATGCATGGTCCTGCAGCCCGTGCCCCACGTGTTGCTCCCCATGCATGCACATACTGTTGGGCATATGTATGCTGCACAGGATTAGATCAAAGGTTCTGACACCACCATCTCCACCCACAGGCTTTTACGTTAGAATTTCCTGACCTCTGAACAGCCCCATTTGCCCTTTTGCAATCTGTACCAACAACCCTAATGCAGAGCAGAGTTTTGGGATGGGATTCCTCGGCAGACTTTTCCCTTATCAGCAATAACAAAGCTGAGCCAGGACAAATACAGGCTCCAGGCATGGATTTGCCATGCTGCATAGCAAACACCGACCACCCAGCTCATGTACAGACTGCTCTTAGGCAGTGCCTGTCCTCACATTCATCCCAGGCTTTTGGGGGGTTCACTTACATGAAGGGGCTGGGAATAGCCAGGGGAGAGAGAGTCTTCAAGCACCCTGTTCTCAGGCATCAGCATGAAGGACTGTCCATCAGGGAGAGAGCCACTGTTCTGGGAGAGGTGTGTTAAGGTGGCCACTCTCCCTCCTGATGCCCAGGAGTTGGTACGGCCATCAGAAGTGAGGGACCCTCTCCCACTGCCAGCAAACTAGATGGGGAGAAGAAGAGCATGTAGGAACAACCCTCTGGACACAGGCATGTCCCTCCCTAGTCCCATGTCCCACCACACAGCACTGTGACAACCTACGGCGAGGTTGAAGGCAGTAGGATGAAACCTGCTGACAGCTCAGGGGATGCAGGACAGAGAGTCAGGAAGAACCTCCAAGGGAAGAGAGAACTTCAGCAATATGGGGAACACTAGCCACAGACTCAGAAATAGCCTTCTACAGGCACTCAGTTACCCTGCTTTTGAAGGAATATAATACAATATATGCCTATATAACGTAATAGAGCTTCCAAATAATTTTCAGGGATCAACAGCTTCCTGACAACCTACAAGCAGAGGACTTGAAGCAAAGTCTGCTGTGTCACCAGGGATAGGTAGCAAGAGATAGGTCAGACAGGAGTCTGGGAGACAGGGATTGATTAGCTCACAACCCCACAGTGTGTTACCTGGCCAGGATGAGGCAGCTTTGATCCTGGGAAACTCTCTGATCCGGAGAGGGAAGAGTCAGCATTTCGGAACTGGGCTGTTTTGAGGCAGTAAAGCCACTCCTGGTAATCCTCATAGCTGCGGCAGGTCACCCGGATCGAGTTGATCAGTCGGCCTGTGGAAACATCACTCACTGCTCTTACTTGATCAGAAATGAGAATCCTCTTGCTCCATCCCCCCCCACGCTCTCCTGGGATCTGCAGACCCGGTGCAGGGGCAATGCGAATGCTCTGTCTTCAGTGCTGACCTTTCACATGTGGCTGAATGTAGGACAGGGGCAATCAGCCCAGATCTAAATGAGGGGTTGCGGGTGCTGCTGGCTCACAGGCTCTTCCTGCCAGCAAAGCCAGGGCACAGATGTTCCCAGATTTCCAAGCAGTTCAGTTCATAGAGCTTGGATGCTAACCCAGGATCATGGGCACAGACGTTCCCAGATTTCCAAGCAGTTCAGTTCACAGAGCTGGGATGCTAACCCAGGATCACAGCCACAGCTCCTTAGCAAAACCAACCCGGACCATCACATACCTTCTATTAAAAAGGAGGTTTTCTCATTCTCTTCAAAAAGCACTTGGATGGCATTGAGTGGCAGCTCACCCTGTTGGCGAGAGAAGAGGCTTAGGAGTGCAGAGCTGAGCACATCACATCCCATGCCATATAGCAGACAGTGGCTGGCACCTCCATACTCTCACAGGTGTGGAGCACAGGCATGTTGGAGAACTCTGTCCCCAGACTTACTCCAGGAATGAAGCCTCTGAAGTGGCTTCACGAGGCACTTCTGTAAGCTCTGTCCTCACAAAATCCCTCTTGAGCTTGGAAAAACACTCCTTCCCTTCTAGTCCTGTTTCCCACAGCTTCCAATAGTTTAATGACAGACCTCACTTTGCAAACATGGTGCTGAACGAGGGTTTAGAGGTGCTGGATTGGGACTTCCAGCCTTGCAAACAGGAATGCCCATAATCCACACCCTGCAAAGCCTTACAAAGACAGGGTTGCACCCTATAAATGCCAGTTGGGTGAAACGTGAGCTCTTGTGCTAGCCTAGGGCACAGTTGTGAATGCCACTCCTGTGATCCCAGTGGGGTCTGCACTTGCATCCATGTTCTTAATAGCAGGGCAGAGGAGCTAAATCAGTCTGCCATTGGCAAAAGTGGAGTGAGAAGATACCACGTGCTATTCCCCCTACGTGCAATAGCACCCCTGTATGCACATCACCACTGTCCTCTCTGCCATCACTCAGTGTCCCATGCTCATCCTCCTATCTGATGCTGTGCCAGGCCCAGCTCTCCAGTGATCCCATGGGACTGGTAGGAATGGGACTGCCTGTTCCAGACCTCTTCTGCTCTGCTGCCTGCTGCCTGGAGTGCCATAAGTGCCATTGCCGAAGTTCAATTCGCTATGGGGATCAAACCTTGGCAGAAGGACCAAGGGTCTCCTCTTCCTTTGGGGCTCCCCAAGCTGAATTTTCCTTATGGAAATGAAACCAGAACTGGCATCCAGCTCAAGGTCCTCTCAAGAGGTGCAATCATTCAGGATTCCTTTGCCTTAACTTTACAGGCTGCAAAACAAGGTGTCCAGCTGAAACTCCTCCTCATGCCCTCACTGCAAAGCTGCACAGGCTCTGGGGAACGTGGCTGATGATGTGACAGCTTTGCCACGAGGGAAACATGGAGCTCAACCGGGCGCTGTGCTTTGTGCTGGCCAGCTGCCTCTGCAGCAGCCTGCGGGCACAAGCAGCCGGCTGTGGTATTTCTCCTCCACCGAAGTGATTTATGGGCTGAGCAGTGCATGAAGGCTGACCTTGGGAGGGAGAGTCCAGGCAATGCCCTGTGACTTGTTGTCCCCTTTTGCTGTGAGAAATCATGGAATGGTTTGTGTTGGAAGGGAGCTTAGAGCTCATCCAGTTCCAACCCCCTGCCACGGACAGGGACACCTTCCACTACAGCAGCCTGCTCCAAGCCCTGTCCAACCTGGCCTCAACACTTCAGGTGGAACAGATACTGCAAGGCTGCAATGCCGGGGGGTCCTGTAGTGCCTGCTCCTGCTTCTCCTCAGCTCTAGCACGTTGGTGCCCTCCTGCCACTAAGGATGACTGCACAGGGCTTCCCCCAGGCACCCAGTGCTCCATCCTCCCTAAGGCAACAGACCCCATCCATGGGAACTATAGTCTCATCTATGGAAGCACAGCAGCATCCCTCCAATAACACTGCAGAGAACCCCTCCAGCCTTCCCTGGGCATGTCATGAACTTTCCCCTCCCCAGCAGCTCTCCCCTTGCTGATTTCTACCTTGCTCAGGGCCTTTTCCCACCAGCAGTGAGCCAGAGCTGCTGTGGGTGAGCCCCATCCTTGGCATGCTCAGCTCCTGCCTTCCCCTTCCCTGCCCCACACACAGCACTTGGCAGCAGCAGCTCCTGCGGGTTGTCTGAAACCGGAGAACAAAAGGGCCGGGCTATTCCTTCACACACAGATTGTAGGGCTCAGCGTCTGCTGGCAGGGAAGGGAAGTTCATTTGCAGAAGCCCTGGGAGAAGGAAGGCTCCTGTGCCCTGACTTGCCTGTGGAAAATCAGGTTCCCAGTGCAGTGTCACAGGCTGGTGAATCAGCCCCCGTGCAGAGCCCTGCCATTACCCCAGCACTGAGCCGCCCAGGGACCCACGCTCAGCACCGTGGGAAGGGAACATTGCATGGCCAGGGCAGACAAAGCTGGTTTAAGCTTTCAAAAGAGATGAGTTAATCTGTGAGCCCAGCCCAAGGCCCCCTTACGTATGTTCCATTCCCAGGAGCTACAAACGTGTTCCCAAAAAACAAGCTCTGAGGTGTGTCACATAAGCCACCAGCTGCTGGAAAACACCCTCCAGTGTTGCATAGGGATGGAGGAGAGCTCTCACTGGTGTATGTGCCCTTCCTGCTGCAGGCACAGCATCTCCTCTGGCCAGGGGGATGCTCTATGCAGTCCTCCCTTGTGTTAAAAGCAGCCTGCATGGCTCAGGGCCTAATGTAGACATGGTGAAATAATGTGAAGAAGGACCCCAGTGAGTTCACATTGCATTTCCCAAGCCCTCAATCTCTGCAGGGTTTCCTTGTCACTGGCTCCTCTCTCAGTGGCTAGGAAGGATGCTGCACGTGCAGGTTCACAGACAGTTCAGTGCTACTTTTGGTAAACAGGGCCAGAAAGCACGGGGCTGTTTAATAGCCATTGCAGTGATGACTCAGATGGACGTTGGCAATCACATTTCAGAGCCATTCAGGCTGAAGGCAATGTGAATGCAGCTCCCATGGCCCACAGTGCTGCCTGTGCTGAGGCTCCCAGCATTGCTCCCACAAGCAAAGACACAGCAGTGCACTAGAGAAGCAAATCTCACATCCCTGGGGCACTCAGACCTCCACATCCTTGCTGGCCCTTCCACTGGTGCCCTTGGTCCACAGTGCCAGCAGCAGTCTCTCTTGTCTGCCCACCAGCCAACTAATGCCTTGACCCTTCCCCATGAGCATCAGATGTGCAGCCTGAATGCTACCTGCTTCGCAGTGGTCCCACAGAGCCTGGGAAGCAATCCCCCCACTGGGATACTCTCTGGGGCTGTTCCAACTTCTGTCTTAAGCAGGGAAGCCAGATTCTGTGCCAGCATAACCACATAGAAACATGCCAGCCTCCCTCCTCCCAGGGACTCGAGATTCCTTGGCAGCCAGCTCCTTTCCCCCCGGGCTTTTGTAGGAGGGCAAGGTGTTTCTCATGGGAAGATAGCTTGCAACATCCCTCTGCCTGCTGGCAAGGGAGCAGCGTGGAGGGAAAGCCCTTGCCAACACGGAGAGCACAAGGGAAACCAGGTGGAGAAGGAGCAACAAGCCAAAGAGGTGCTGAAATAGCTGCTGTGGATGGGTGAGTGAGAGCAGGGAGGTGCTGAGCTTACCTTAAAACAGAGGCTGTTTTGTTCTTCGGATACTATCACCAGTGTGGATGGGTAAAGCACCAGCAGCCGGTCATGCTGCTCCTTGGAAAGTAAAGAGGAAGAGGGTTCCCTGTGAACAGCCAGGCAGGGCTCAAATCCGGAGAGCCCTTCTCTTTGTCTGACAGCAGCCTGAGGCCATGGCATTGGAAACAGGGGCTCCATGGAGATCCCTGCCAGCTCCAGCTGCCAGTCCTGTCCTGCTAATGCTTTTATGCACATGCTGTTGCCAGGCATCACTTCTGGGACACAGGAGCCATAAAAACCTTTTTCCATGCACCAGGATATAGGTAAAATGACCCTTCAGGGACACATTGGATTAGTGGCAGCGGGTAGGCAGAAGCCTGCACTTGTCACTCCATTCTAAGCCATGCTGACAGAAGGATGCTCCCCAGGGATGTGTCCTACCTGGAAAGGCAGATGCTGAAGCTTCACTTTGGAAACACAAAGGACATCACCTAAGGATTCCCGTTGGGTCCCTCTCCAATCCTGGACAGGCATGTTCTGCACGGACCACCGCAGCTCCTCCTTCCCTATGGAGCTCTGCTTCCAGTCATTCTAGGGACACAAGCAAAACTGAGAGGCAGGGTAGACATGTCCTCCCCTAAGAGTTTAGGCAGCACACAGCACATCTCAGGACATGTTTCAAGCGTGGCAGAAGCAGGAAACAGTAAATAAATCTGTGCAGGAGTCAGTTTTCCCACTGGAACTGAATACTTGGTACCTAGCATCATCTGTACCTTGCTTTTCAAAGGGGAATACCTCTGTTTTACAAGTGGGGAGATGCAGACAGGGTGGGAAGTAAAACACCCCACAGAGACTGGAAGGGAAGCCAAGTCTCTGGAGTCTGGTTTTCCAGGCCCTGGTCCCAGTCTCCTCCTCCTCCAAATGTTTTGTAAACTCAGGATCATTGCACAAGCAGCCAACTGGGTGAGAACTTCTCTGAACCAGTCCAAGACCTCTGCCCCTTCAGGGGCTGTGGTGGTGGCATCTCAGGGTCACAGCTCTCCCTTTCCACACACACCCCCTGCCTGGCCCTATTGCAAAACCTTCCTTTTTGCACCCTAAACCTCAGAGGAGGCTGCACAAAAGCCAAGCTCCTCAATCAGAAGCTGTTGTTAGGTCTTAGCAGTAGAGAGCATCCTTAAGGTTGCCATTCAGACCAAAACACCACCTCACTCTAGTGCTGATGGCACAGACCTAGGTCCCTAGGGCCACATTTCTTCCCTAGGCAGAACATTCCAGAGGCTGCAGAGATTATCCCTCCCACTGAATGTAGCAGGAGCTATACAGCATCCCCCCGGTGACTCAGATCTGTCTAGCTGAGCCCACAGCACACCTCACCATCAAAAGACACCAACCTGAGAGAGGAAGGGCAAGCCAAGGCTTCCTCCATTTAGCTGGATCTGCTTCTCCAAGTGATAAAGCCACTGCTTCAGCTCTGACTCAGTGGGGCAGAACACGATAAGGGGATTCAGCAGAGGACCTAGGTATGTGAGACACAGGATGAGCAGAGCAGATAAGGGCACCAGTTGCAGCATCAACAAGTAAAGAGCTGGCCAGAGCTGTTACACTCAGCACATCACACATGGGCTGCCTGTCAGTGCATTGCTCTGTCAACATCAGCCCTTCTTGCCACTGCCATCCCAGCCAGGATGACTCCAGCACCTTCCTTCCACCAGCCACATCTCACTCTGACCAGGAATCACTTTTCAGTCCAAATCCAGGTCAGGAACAAGAATCAAAGACAGCCCAAAAGTCAATATTGACATCAAGAGACAGATCTCAGCTTTAGAAGTCCATAGCAGCTTTGTGAGAAGCATCTCTGCAGGCAGAGACTATCACACTGTGCTGCTGCAGACAGCCTAACTCAATGCAAAGTTTCATGCTACTTCTTACTTTCACTTTGGCACTCAGTATGTAGAACACTGGAAGCTTCTTTATTTAGTACTTCACCAAATACAATCTGTACCAGGCAAGCTAAAGCTCCTCTCAGACATACTCCTGAAGGGAGGAACAGCCCCTAAATCTTGTGGATGTGAATGTTTCCAGCTATCATTCACTTACTAGCACAAGCAGAGAAGTCTCACACGCCCTCTGCTCTTCGCTACAGACACAACCTGGTGACGTGAAGGATCATTTCTGGCAGGCTGCAGGATGTATGTTGTGATTAATGATTTACCAGTGATCTCATGTTAAAGCATACTTGGTGCATGCTCGGTAAGATCTGGCTTTGAGGGACTTGGAAGCATTCAGATAAGCAAGTGTCCTGGGTAAAAGTGGTACTTTGCCCTTCTGTGGAGCCTTTTATCCCATAACTCCTGCATGATGCATGAACAGTCGTTAATGATGACTTTGGAACACCAATGTCTGACAGGAAATGCACTGACACAGAGCAGAGGTGGGGAAACTGAGGCACAGACTCCCTGAGTGACTTTCCATAACCTCTCCATTCAGATCCACTACAGTCATTAAGTGTTAAGCATTACTGAGCATCCAAGTGCCTGTGTGCCGTCGTGGCATCTTGTCTCCTCTTGCCTTGGTTTCCCCATGGGGATAAGGGGATTCCCTACTTCATAGAGTTGCTATGGTGGTATAAAAGTGTTGTTAGCTTTATCTAGATATTCTGAATAGTTCTCTGGGCATCCAGGTCCCTATGGAAACAGCAGGAATTTTGCTGGTAGGGCATGACCCTTAACATGGCACTGCTTGCTCTGCCACCCCCTCTAAGGCCAGCCTTTCAGACATATCCTGAGGGCTGTTCACATTGCCACATCTAAACAGGGCCCCAAAGGAAGAGAAGTGAGAAAAGGAACTTCTGCCTAAGCCTGAAGCCTCAGACATGCCTCAAGCTGGTGCAAGGAGCTGCTGGGGAGGCCGTGAAGAGAGGCTGCTGTTCATTCTCATTCAGTTCCTGCCATTTCCCTCAGCCCCAAGGGCACGTTTGTGACAGGGCTGTGACACAGCCATGCTGAGCAACCTGTGCCGGCCCACGTGCTCTTTTCTTCTGCCCCGTCCTTCCTCTTTCCTTGCAAATGCTTTAAGAGGAACATTGGAAGTGAGAAAACCCTTTCCCAGAGCAGCAGCAGCAGCAGCAGGCTATTCCCAGCCAGATCTCTGCCTGGTGACACTAAAACGCTGCCCCATTTGTAGAGGAGGGAGAGGTAACTCAAGGTGCTCAAGAACTGCATCAGCATCAGAGAAGGACCACAAAGCCAAGGGGATAGCCAGCCATCATGCACTTCTCCATCCTGATGCACCAGGGATGGCTCTGAATGCTGCCAGGCTTGGTTCTTATGCTCCACCTCCATACATCCAGTGATCCTGCCCGCATCTCTGATGCACTGAACAAGCCTGGGAAGCGCAGTTTATGGGCAACTGCTGACGCCATGGGATTGCACAAGGGAATGGATGCACGTCTTTTGTGTCTCAAGGTCATGAGACAAAAGAATTCCCCCCTCAGCCTGTGTGGGGCCACAGACAAGGCTCTTATCCCCTCCATTCATTGATTCCAGCCCCTGAAGCTCCCCGGATCTCACTGATCTCAAGCTACCTGCTCCAGTGGAAGGTGTCCCTGCCCGTGGCAGGGGGTTGGAACTGGTTGAGCTTTAAGGTCGCTTCCAAGCCAAGCCATTCTATGATTCCCTGGTTTCTTCATGTCACTGCTTCCTTCTATAGACAGCACTCTGTCAGTAGGGCTTTGGTTTGCTCTTTCCCTCAGCAGAACATAAACCCAACAAAGCTTGAGGCAATTTTCCACCCAGCCACACTCCTGCATGTTTTAATACAAGCAGAACAAGTCCACCCACCCCAGGGCAGACACCCCTAACTGGTTAATACTTGGGAGAAGCTTTCCTTCACTTTACACACTCCCAAAAAGGGCTGTAGGAGGGCTCTGCCTAGAATAGTGCAACCAGCCCTTAAAATCAATGGGTTGTTTGTCCCAGCTCCTCTTTAGAATGGATGTAATCTTTTCATTTGAGTGGTCCTTGTATAACCTTCTCTCTACCAGAGGCCTCCACAGACAGGGCCTAGGACACAGATGAGCTTTCTTGGCTCTGTATCATCACTTCCTTCTGCGCACTTCATGCTTTAACTACTACTCTTGGGGGCTTGCAACTGCTGTAATTCAGCAGTGACTAAGCCAAAAGAAGCCTTCAGCCAAGCTGCAGACAGGTTGCTATGCAAGGAAAACCTTTATAAAGCAAGTTTAAAAAGCTTGTGGGTACAGGAGTGCTGGGGAAGAGGGAAGTGACGTTGGGTCCTGGTGTTAACAGCAGAGGTAACTCACCTCTCATCACTATTTCCCACCAGAGTCACTTCCTCACCTCCAGGTTTATATGGGCACAAGAAGTGGGAGAAGGAGTTTTATTCCATTCCTTCATCCAAATGTGATGCACAAAGGGAACTGTCACCATATGCCCTGAGCACTAACCAGCTGGAGCACAGGAGCACCCTTCCTCTGCACTCCCTTCCCTGCCTGCAGCCCTGGCATCACTGTCCAGTTTAGGACCAGGGAAGCCTTGATGGGAAAGCTGGAAACACTTTAAGAGCTTCAGCTCTCTGCAGCCTCCTTCCACAGTGTGTTCTTCTCTGGGACAAGGTCAGAGCAGGACAAAGTGCAGAGACAGTCATGATTCATACAGCCTCTGTTCTCTGCTCAAACCAAACCAAGAGGCACCGACCTGCAATGCGGAACGCGTGCTCCTCCTGCCCAGTGCTCTTCCCAGTCTCCATTTCACACACACTCAGCTCTTTCAAAGGCAGCAGTCCCTGCATGAGGAGAACACACCGTTATTTTGAGGGGCAGAACGCTTCCTTTACATCCCAAATCCTTCAGTTTTAAGGGAAACCTCATCAACTTTCCATGGGAATGATGGGAATGACCATAAAGCAAAACTGAGCTGCCCAGTTTCTATACTCCAGCCCTTCAGAGTCTCACAGTAACAAAGCACAGGGTGACAAGTTTGTGCTCCCTGTCTCAGGCTTTCTAAACAAGCACTAATACTGACTGCTGTAATGTCTAGGGGCCAGTATTGGCACATTACTTCCTCTTTAATTCCTCTACAATTAATAAAGTAAGGAGCTGTTTATAAAGTAGATGGGAGATCTTGTTTGCACTGTGACGTGTCTTTCCTCTTGAAGGCTGGATGACTTGAGATGCTGTTGGCATATTGCATTAACCTCAAGTCACCTAGAAAACAAGAGATCACTTCTAAAGGGAACAAATTTGACCATCATCAACAAAACAGCCACACTCAGTTTTAATTACTCATGTGCAGGGAGAGAACATTGAGGGCTTCCTGGTTGTTCAGTTGTGATCTTTTGCCTGCATGTGCAAAACAGCCTATTGTAATACACAGAATCCCAGAGTGCTTTGGGTTGGAAGGGACCTTAAAGCTCTCCCAGCTCCAACCCCTGCCATAGACAGGGAACCCTTCCACTGGAGCAGCTTGCTCCAAGCCCCTGTGTCCAACCTGGCCTTGAGCACTGCCAGGGATGGGGCAGCCACAGCTTCTCTGGGCACCCTGTGCCAGCGCCTCAGCACCCTCACAGGGAAGAGCTTCTGCCTAAGAGCTCAGCTCAGTCTCCCCTCAGGCAGGTTCAAGCCATTCCCCTTGCCCTGTCCCTACAGGCCCTTGTCCCAAGCCCCTCTCCAGGTTTCCTGCAGCCCCTTTAGGCACTGGAGCTGCTCTCAGGTCTCCCCTTCAGAAGCCTTCTCTTCTCCAGGCTGACCCAGCCCAGTTCTCTCAGCCTGTCCTATTTTGAGCAATAAGAGCTCTGACCCTTGCTTAGGCACAGCTCTCTGTGCTTGGTATCTCCAGGTAGCCTAAACAGCTCCCATCTCTGGTCCTGCCAGCCCTTCACAAGTTCCTGTGCTACCTCTGTCCTTCATCTCTGCCCACAGACAAGGCCAAGGATTCAGGTGAGCTGAGGTTGCTTGGGTTACAGCCCTTAGGAAGACATGCTCTCTTCCCCTGAGGGATGCCCTACCTGGTATGTGAGTCCATTGGAGCCTATAGACTGGAAGTACAGGTAGGACTGGAACAGCTCCAAGAAGCAGTCATTCACCTCCTGCAGAAAACACATATTTTGGGGTTTATCTCAGGTCACCTTCCTCATCCCAGCCTTCCTCTGCACCTCACACTGGTCTGTGCATGGGAAAGCCATGGGTTGCTTATCCAAGGGCCACCACCACATCACTGCTGGTGGATCTGAGTGTGGAAGCATGACCCAGGTCCCCACTGGGACAGGAGCCAGTGCCACCAGCCCCTCCTGGGAAAAGAAACCCCCACAAACAGGCGCTGCAGCTTACCTGGCAGTGCTGGAACTTAAACTTGACCTTGGAGTAATAGATGATCTTGCCCAGATTCCTGACAACCATTTTCCTCCGTCCCTTCTTGAACAGGCTGGGGAACCTCTGGTCCAAGTTCTCCTTCTGGTTTTCCTGGTTCTGAATACTCTATACCAAGAATTCCGGATAAAAACCACATCAGAGCCAGCGGGATGATGTCTGGAAGAGACATTCCCAGAACATCTTCCCAGATGGGTTCCTCAGAAAGGCTCCCTGGGCATGTGCCCGGGCCAGGCTGTTTGTTGTTGGGTCTCCATGCCAGCACGGAGCTGGGGTTTGGTTACTTCATTCTCCCTATGCAAGGGGAGATAGTGACCTAAAGGGAGGCTTTCTGGGCTGGGAAGAGGGGGTGCAGAGCACATCCTACTTTTAGGATATCCCTACATGATCTCCTGCCATCCTGATCAAATTCTCTGCAACCAGGACTGCTCAAGGCTAAGCAAGCACAGCTTGCCTTCCCCTGGGGTTAGTGGAACGGTTTCTTTTGCTCTACTTCCATCTGGATCCCTCAGCATTCCCATCTGCTTGGATCCCTTGGTTTCTCCAGGTAGAATCTGTTGTTCCAGACACCCAGATCCTTTTGACGCAGAGTCCCACAGCCATATGAGAAGATGCAAGGCTCTGAGTTGAGAAGCTGTGCAAAAAGGCAAGGGAAGCCTGCATGAGAGCGAGGGCTGATGTGAGAAGGAGACAGCACTTAGGGCCGGGGCATTCCCTTAATTCCTGCATTCCGGTTGTATGGAAATTCTTCCATTTGTGTCACAGCACAAACCCACATCCCTATGGCACTTTGCTGCTCATAGTCCAGGGCTGCTGTTGCACTGTGTAGATATTGCATGAATCCAGGGATGAAAAGCTCTCCCTGTAGTTCCTTTGGGAAGAATGGTTTTGTTCCGGAGGCTTGGCTGACATCCTTGGGATAAGGGAATGGCTGTATCCCAACAAGGCCATATTCCCCCCAGGTCTGCACCCCACTGGAGTCTTAAATGTCAGCTTTGCTAGGCACATCAGGCTCTGGCAAAGGAGGAAGGCAGGAGGGAAAGGTTAGGTCCCAGTCCCCAGACTGTGGGGCCGCCTTGGTGGGACCCCTGGGGATACTTCCATGGCCATGCTGGAGCTGGGATACAGGGCGGAGCAGTGGCATGCAGCTCCCCGTATCCAAACAGCATTTCCAGGAATGAGCATGGAGAGCGCTGCGGGGCTCCGCACGGATCCAGTGTCAGCCGTCACCCCGTGCACCAGCACTTCCCAACCTGCCCGGCTGCCCATTCCCAGTGCACTGTGCCAAGGAGACAGCTGCGTAAGCTCCATGATAAATGGAGAGCAGCAGAGCTGAGCAGAGCTGTCTGCTGGGGCCTCTGTGACTCAACCCTCCGGCATGAGGTTAACCCCCCTCATACCCAGAGCAGGGCCAGAGGGGAGCTGGCAACCTAATGCTGTCCCTTTCACCTGCAAAGCTTGGGGCTCCTTCCATGGACTGGAGGAAACTCATTTCAAGACACACATTAACCCCTTCTCTGCTCAGCTTTTTCCCACTGGCTCCATGCAATTCCCATGGGGAGCACCCCTGGAGGTGGGAACCTGCTGGCTGCCAGTTCATGCTCTCACCGAGAGGCAATTACACGTAGGAAAAGATTACATGTGTGCTCCAAGCTGCTGTCAGAACAAAGAGCAATGGATCACCTGACAGCAATAACAAAACACTGCTGGGATAAGGGAGAGGATAAAGCAATGGAATTATGGACACAGCGACAGCAGCAGCACCAGCTGCCTGGGCAGTGCGGCTGCCTGGAATGTGGCAGCCAAATCCCCCTGTAAAAAGGAAGGCCCCAAGAAGTAAAAGCAACCATGGAGCTGGGAATTCAGCAGTAGTTTAGGGAAAGAGCTCAGCCAACCCACCAACTTCCATAGGGATCCTGCAGGGGACAGGAAGTAAAGGGAAAGCTTCCACTGCCATGGTTCATGGGGCAAGGAATAAATGAAATGGAATACATCCTGCTCCCAAACAAGAATCAGGAAACTCCGGCTTGCAAGGGTTTGCAGCAAGGCTGAGATGATAGTGGATAAACATGGGGGCATCTCCAAGACCATGGACAACATGGGATCACATTGCTAAACTCTGCTGCCCTTTCAGCTGTAGGACCCCTCTGCCCCATGTCACACCAGTCTTTCAAGCTCCAGTCTTATCACTTATGATCAGACATTGCAGTTTTGCAGAAAGAAATGGGGCTGTTCATGTCTTTTATATGTTTTTCCCAGGTCTTTCCTGTTGTTTATTTTTTCCCACCAATTTCATGTCCTTCCCTGGAGTGCCACTGTTAAATCCCAAATGAATATGCACGTGCAAGAAGCTCATCTGCTTTGTCCATACAATCCCAGACTGGTTTGGGTTGGAAGGGACCTCAAAGCTCATCCAGTTCCAACACCTTCCACCATAGGAGCTTGCTCCAAGCCCTGTCCAAGCTGGCCTTGAGCACTGCCAGGGATGGGGCAGCCACATCCATCTGCAATGCCTATGGTTTCTTTGCCCTCTATTCCCAGAAGTAGGCTGTCCAGCACTGTAAGGTTAACCTTTGTAAGGTTAATGGTGCTTCCCACAAACTCCTCATCATCTGCTTAGGTCCAATAACAATTTCTCAGGATATGGATTACTTGCCTCTGGAGAAAACAGCTCCTGCTGAGTCTTAGATGTCTCTGGGCTCGAACCCACCAAGTGCATGACTTTGCTCTTTGAGGGATTGAGACAGATCTGGCCAGAAAGCAGCACTGAGAACCCCATGATGTCCTGGGGGAGTCAGGGACCAGAGCTATCACAGCCTCCTCCATGTGCATCACTTATCTCCCTGGCCCATGCATCCCCTGGAACCATAGGGGTGCCTCAGAGCACAGCCAAAATGAAAGGGAATTGGCATTTATCATTCCTCTGAAATCCTCCCAGCCTGGTGCTTACTCCCCTGGCTGGGCTGGGCTGGTGGCAAGCTCTCTCTTCCCCCATTCCCATCCCTATCAGTGCTGGTTCTGTGAGCTCAGCTGGGTTTGAGGCAGTGCAGAGCATTGCCAGCCTGGTTTGTCTCTGCGTTGGGTGAAGCAGCAGGTCTCTGGCAGTGCAAGTGCCCTGACATGTTCTCCCCCTGCCTCCAATGCCTCATCCTACAGGTAGAGCAAGTTAATAATTAACCTGCCTCAGCCCCTGCAGACCCCAGTGACTCCCAGCTGAATCACAGCCCTGGCAGCAGGAAGAGCTCAGCCTCTCGACGTGCCCTGGGGCTCCCAAAGCTGCTGTTTAATGATAAAAGCAGCAAATGAGAAGCAAGGCTCCCCTGGCACATCCTCCCCCTTTGCTTCTGCTTGCCCTTCATAGAAGCTGGAACTGGGAGGTGTGGGAAACAGGGCATAAGGTTGGTGGGAGCAAAAAGGTGCTGGTTTCATGGCAAGGTCCAGAGGGAAATGTGATTTTCATGGAAGTCACTTGCCCCAGCCCCAAACTGCCTGCCATGGCCTGAGGTTTGGTGATCCCATCTCCTCTGAGATTACATCGGAAGAGTCCTGTGCTGATGGTTCCTTTCTATCCCACCCCCTCTTATTCCAGCCCTTCCTACTCTTGGAGGTGTTTCTCTTGAAAAGGAAGGAATGGGAAAAGGGCAAAGCCAAGGCTTTCTCCAGGCCACACAAGAAGCTTGTGGCTGAGTTTGAACCCCATGTGCCCCAGGCGAGGGTAACATCCAACCAATCGCTCCTTCCTCCTTCCTTCCCTGGAGAGATCCCACACTCTCCTATGCTCCCAAATGAGTAATCTTGCAGTGACCTTTGTTCTGTCAGCCCCAGGATCCGCTAACATGACAGCTTCTCTGGCAGAAGGATCCAGGATCCATCTAGGACCTGGTCCCATCCTTTGGGATGCCAGCCGAGTCCCGCAGGGAACAATGCCCACACCACATTCCCAGTACTCCCATTCACAAATAATAGGCAGGAGCATGAAACATTCCCAGTTCCCCTGTGCTTCCCACCTCAGCACAGACACAAGTCCCACGAGAGAGGATGGCACCGTCCCATGGCCACCTCATAAGCCAGGAGAAGGATCCCAGCCCTGCTCCCTTCTCAGGCCCTCATGAGGAAAAGCAAAAGGGTTGGAAAGGGCCAACATGGGAGAAGCTGCATGGAAAGGGACTGAAGAGTCCCTGCTTGTAGCGAGCAGATGTTGGAACCTCTGTAGCAACCCAAAGTACATGAGAACTGCTCAGAAGTGGGTCCAGCACCTCGTCACCAGTGAGATCCACCTAACCTGCAGCTTGAATCCCAAGAGATGATGCCCTGCTGCTGATCTGCTCTGAAATCAGCTCTAATAGCTGTCTGTGCCTCACTTTCCCCTTCCCCTATATCCATGTATCCTATGGCCATGCAGTGGGGGACACATACGCACAGTACAGCCAATGGGCCCCAAAGCTCAATCCGCATCCCTGTTTTACCCAAAGGGGCTGAGAAAACATCCTGGGGTTCATCATTTCACCTCTGCTTTCCCTGAGCAGTGCTGGGAAATGGGCCATATGGCCACAAGGCTGGTACGTGCCTGGGACAGACCTGCCCTTCCTGCTTACCTTCCCAAGGCTTATTGCTAATACACTGCTGCTCCCTCTCATTCCAGCGTGGGAATGAATCATCCCACCTTTAAATGCTCGCTCTGATTTCCCCCTTCTTTCACAGGCTACCCAGTAACAAAAGAAGCAAGAGCAAAGGGGATGTGTGGGGGATATTCCCACCATGCTGCCTGCTTGGCTTTCAGCAGCATCCTCCCACCCTATCACATGTTTTGGGTGATGTTAGGGTCACCACAACACCTCCATGGGGATGCTGGGGCCCAGGGCTTAATCCTCCCTGAGATTGACCTGCTGCTGCCTCCAGATCCATCTGCCCTCTGATGCACAGCACTGTCCTTGGGTGGGAATAATCTCTGGGAGCATTGGGGATAGGGGCTGGATGTGTTTGTACTTGCCTTTCCTGGAATATACTGCAGGATTTTGTCTGTGGTCGTATCTCTCTCCTGCCCTCCTTCTATCCCAAAAAAGCTGGGCAGTTTCTTCTTGCCATTTTGTCTACAGAAGGGAGAAAAGAAACCCAAAACATACACATGCAAACACACATCTAGGCTGATGCACACTGAATGATGCCCTAGAAATCAGGAAGCCATAAAACCAAGCAATTTGTCATGGGCTTTCTCATCTTCCCAGTACAGTAAAGGGCTGATAAACAGCCTTGCAGAACTGGGATGGGGTTTGTGCTGCGCTTGTTGGCGTGTCTTTGCCTTTGCATCACCAAAGGATCAGATGGGCTCATTGGTGTCACCAAATCAGTGCAGGGACCAGATGTTCCATTGCAAAACAGAGAGCACACCCAATCCTGACAGCTATTCCAAAGCCCCTGGAGTGGAGATGCGTATGTACACACACACCACTATATGGTCACAAAGAGGCTTGATTTCTACCTTGGTGGGTTTCCTCTCTTTCCTTGCGCTCCCAGCTCCTCCTTGCAGAGCAGTCCCCAGTGCTCTGCTGGGACTTCCCAGGAGTTGCTCCATCTCCACCAGATTGCAGTGTTTTGCTCAGCAGAAACCAGGCTTATCTCCATGGAGAGTGTGGGAAGTGGGAAACATCAGGGACAGGAGGCGCTCTGGGGCTCAGCTGCTCCCCTGCAGCCTCTCAATGTCAGCCCTCCAGGGTCCACATTCCCCAAGAGATCCCCCCTCTTTTATCCCACAGGTTTGCTCCCGGTTTATGGCAGCACAGGAGGCCAAGGGGACAGTTTCAGTGTCTCCTTTTGATTAGAACCCCCCCGGCTGAGCAGAGTTTATGGGGTTTGTCTCAAACCCCAGCACGTAGCATAGTCAGGGCCAGCAAGTTTGTGAGGAATCAGCCTGGTTCCCAACAGAGCTCCTTTGCAGATTGGAGCATTTAGGATGAGGAGCACTCTGCTTTGTGTATGTTTAAGGGATGGGAGCATGGGAAAGGCTGGTATCATACAATCATGGAATAACAGACTACTTTGGGTTGAAGGGACCTTAAAGCTCATCCAGTTCCAACCCCTGCCATGGGCAGGGACACCTTTCACTAGGACAGGTTGCACCAAGCCCCATCCAACCTGGCTTGTTCCACACTCCCCGCTAGGCTGAGGTCCATCAGTGGGTAACAGAATGCTGCCCTGGCCAGCCCATCACCAGAGATCCCAAAGGATTTCATGGCCATTTCCAGCTGTGCCTTCACTCAGGGTTCCAAATGCAGCTCAAGGGGCAGAGTGCTGGGATTCGGGGCTTTCTGCCTGAGGTCGGAATGTCATTCTTTCACAACAGAGCACCACGCCTCCGGTGTCATGAGTAAAAACATCGCAGGTAAAACAAGGAGTGTTCACCCTGCACCTTACCCTGCCTGCTCTGTGGAGGGGAGCTTTAGTTTTCCAGCTGAAATCCACTAAATCACACTTCTCCCAGGCGCTGTGTGCTCGGATACATTGCTGGCATAGCCCTGGAATTCCCTTCCAGCCACTTGTGGGGCGCTCATTGTGCCTGGCACTGCCCCATGAGTCCATACAAACCCTATTGCTGCTGAGCACACCACTCCTGGCTTTCCCAAGCGGGACTCAGCCCCATCCTGCACGCTGCATCCCAGGGGGGGGGAAAGCCAGCCGGGAAAGGCAGCACCGCTTGGAAAGCAGCGCAGGGTAAAAGCGAAGCGTACTTACTCCTTCTTCAGCGAGGGCTTCCTCCTGAAAGAGCCTCGGAGCCTGCCGGGTGCTTGAGGAACACAAGTTATGTTCCCCATGCCGGCAGCGACCGGGAGCGCCCCGGAGCAGCGGGATCCGTGTGTCCGTGTGTCTGTGTCACGCAGGCGCTCCCCTTCCGCCCGCCGGGACTCGGGTGGGTGTGAGCTCTGCGAGGCTTTGGGCTGAGGTTCCTGCCCCTGCCCCTGCTCCTGCCCCTCTCTCCCGCCCCGCTCCACGCTGGGAGGAGCAACCCAGGCCCCGGGAAGCGCGGGCAGGACGGCATCCCTGCGGGAGCGCTGCCGGGGAGCCCCGCTGCATGGTCCCGGCAGCCTTAGTCCTGCTTTGGCGCTGGGATTTCTCCGGGACAAACCGGTGTCCTCAAGGGGGGTGAATCTGGCTTCAGAGCGCGGTTTTCCTGTCAAGAGGAATGAAGCGCAGAGTTCTCTGCCCTGCCAGTGCCTAAAGGGGCTGCAGGAAACCTGGAGAGGGGCTTCTATAAGAGCAAGGAGGGACAGGACAAAGGGAATGGCTTGAACCTGCCAGAGGGGAGACTGAGCTGAGCTCTTAGGCAGAAGCTCTTCCCTGTGAGGGTGCTGAGGCGCTGGCACAGGGTGCCCAGAGAAGCTGTGACTGCCCCATCCCTGGCAGTGCTCAAGGCCAGCTTGGACACAGGGGCTTGGAGCAAGCTGCTCCAGTGGAAGGGGTTCCTGCCCATGGCAGGGGTTGGAGCTGGGTGAGCTTTAAGGTCCCTTTCAACACTAATTAAAAACCCAGTAGTGCTTAGATCGAGTGACCACCATGCACTAACATTCCTCACTGGCAAACAGGACAAAGCTGGAGTCCCTAATAGGTGCATCTGGAATGTTATTCTAAAAGGAAATCAATCACTGATCAGTTCAACCAGAAGCAAAAAGGATGCAGAAAGATAATAGCAGTGATTGATTGGTGTTTAAGCTTTCTCTGAGTGGTTGTATTAGTTGAAAAAGTCTCAGCCTGGATTAAGGTGAGTCAAAGAGTATAAAAATATAACAAATAATCAGGTAGTATGTATTGAAATCTAGGAATTATGGGAAATTGGTAGAGGACTCAAAAAGGGATGTATGTGACAATGTAACTGAAGGGATATTTATAGAGGAAATGCTCTCAAAGGTTCCTGACCATGATCTGAGTCCCTTACTCTGTGGAAATAGAAATAACACGAGTGAGTTGTTAACGACAATCCAAAAGGTGGATGCAGAACAACTATTCCTGTTTTATAGCTTGGAATAAACGCAGGCAGCATAGTCATAGGAAATGACAAACTCCTTTTCATTCCATGGGGCTGCAGGCGGCTGCTGGGAAGCAAACAGAAAACTTAGATTAGAAGGTTCAGAGGATTCATGTCAAAGTGGTTTACAAGACCCGAAGAACAAAGATCTGATACCAAAGTCTTGCAGGACCATGGAATTCAGGAAGAGATTGCTTAAGTTAATGGGGATGCTGAGATTTCAATGGATAAAAAATCCTGGTGGTTATGGGTTTGTCAGTGCCACTGATCCCTAGGAAAATGACGTAAGAGCTGTTAGGGAGTTTGATTCACTTTAAGAATTAAAGGAGGAGAATCTAGTTCATACAAATCAACTTGGGGCTATGGAAATTAGATCTTGCCCAAGTAATTGAATTGCAGTTGAAAAACATCAGGTTTAGTTAACAGAAAGAGTGCTGATCTAAGGGATGACTCCAAAGCACATGATGTGACACATCTATGGAGCTAGGGAGACTCCCAGGCACAAAGACTGTAAGATCCACAGATCTCTTACAGACTGGCCAGTCAGGGGGAGTCAATAGCAACTCTAAGAGGGAATGTTCCTTGGGAAGAGCATTCCCGTCCTGCTCCAGGAAGCAGGGTTTGTCCCTAGTGACAGCCCAGCAGCTCCATCTTGCTATGGGAGCAGAGAGGCTACAGGGATGTAGGTGTGGAATCTGCATGGGGAGCAGACCTGTGACAGCCAAGAGATAATAGGAAGAGATGCACAGAAAGTGAAGCTAGGAGCCAAGCTGAACCTGGAGCCCGAGTTTCCTGCTTTATTAACAGGAAAGGTTCTTTCTTACCTGAACAACTCCCAGAGGAGTGGGGTGCTTCTTCAACAGGGGATGAAGCATTTGACCCAGAGATTTGCTGTGTGAGGTCTTGGACAAAACGGGTGTGTTAGACTCTATTAGCATCCACCTTGACTTGGAATGGAAGTCACCTTGCTCTAACAAAGCCCACATATCCCCCAGGAGATAACTGTACAGGCAGGCAACACTGCCCAGAGAGAGCTGCTGATATGGACAGGCCATAACATTCCCTTTCTGTTGTATAGTCCATTAACCCTCCTATCAGACACCCCTCTGGAGGGCCCCTCGCCATGATTTTGATGGCAGGGGGCTTCAGCAAGCTCTGTCCTCCCTGCACAGCTGTGAGACACCAGTCCACCAGCAAACCCACAGCCCAAACCTCACAGTGAACAGCAACAACTGTGTTTGCTTCAGGAAAAACATGAGCCCTGTTAAGACCCATGGCTAACACGGTCAGCACTGTGACCAGAAATGTGCTGTTCCAAACGTGTTTGTCCTATGTACAACCTTACAGCTCAAACGAGTGATATAACTGCCTCTTTCCTGCTGTTTTTGCAGCTGGAGAGAGGCAAATACGCAATATACCTGCAAATATGCATCCTTTTATCACTGGGACACCAGTGACATGACCACGGCTGGTAGGACCGATGTGATCAGTGGCTGAGGGCAAGTCCTGTTCTCCATGTGCTGGATAAACAGCTCCCCCAGCCCCTCATTGCTCTGCTTCCAGGAGGGCCTCAACTGTGTGGCTCCAGCCTTTAGACAGACTTTTACAGCAGGATAGTTATTTATAGCAGCCTGAAACAGAAGCAAGAGCCTAGAGAGCAGCAAGAAAGAGGACACGGGTGGCGATGGCCAAGCCTGGCGTGCCGACCGTGCAGCATCATGGCTTAACTGCAGGGATTGCAGCACACACGCGTGGGAAAGTTCCCTTTGGGGCCCCATGGGGTGTTGCCATGCAGCTTCTCATTGCCCTTTTCACCCCCTGCACTCCCACCATGGTGAACAGGGGTAGTGTTTCCCCCCTTCTCAGGCAGCAGCAAGGGAAGGTGGATCTGATCTGCTGCTGAACCAGGCCAACCAGCTATGCTGGCCCCCAGGCAAGAGACATGCAGCAGCTGGAGGTAAAGGAGGATGCTTTCCTTCTGGTTTTCAGCTCCAGTGTGGAGGAATGCTGTTAACAGCACTGAAGAGTGGGAATCCTAGGGGGTATAAATCAGTGTGCCCCTAAAGCCCCTATACATTAGGCTGGGCTTTCCCCAGTGGTCTCCAACACTGTAAGCACTTTTGTCCCAGTACAGCATCCTTGCTGGGAACACAAAGCACCTTGTCCTCAGGACAGCAACCTCCAGGTGATTGCAGGACCAGGACTTGAGCTATGAGCTGCTCACCTGTAGCACAGCAGTTCCTTCTGCTAACGCCAGACCAACCTGGCCTCCAGATGGGTGCCTGTCCCTGCTCTTCATACCTTGAAGCCTGGAGTAGCTGGACCCAAGCAAATGAGATCTCTCCCATCAGTGGCTGCTCAGATGCTCACAGTTTGCCATGTCCATCCTCTGCCTGGTGCTCCTTCCCATCCTCTGTCCATGGCAACACAGATTGCATCTCCCTGACCCACAGGGAAGTGAAAAGGAAGGATGCAAGAGGCAGGATCCGGTATTCAAGAAAACGTCTTTATTGTACACGTTGGCTTCTATTGCTTATATCCCCTCCCTGACCCCATGTAGTGCAAAAACTTCAGAGAAACAGAGTTCCACATAAATAAGTCAGATAACTTACAGAGAAATCAAAGTGACAACGGATTGACATGGAGTAAACCGGGTCTGCCCCTCAGTAAGGCCAAGGAGCCCTCTCCCTGCACACTGGAGCAAGGGCTTCTGCCTGGCCTTGCAGACTGACACCGGGGTCCCTGGGTGAACCACATCAACACACACAGCCCCGGAGCCACCCACTGGGGGATGCTCCTCCACTGGGAAAAGCTCACATAGGGAATTGCACAAGTAACACGTTGGGTGAGACACCACTAACTAAAACTGGCAGAGAAGCCACGCACAGTTGACAGTTCTCCTCCCCTCAGATAGGGTATTACAGACAGACAGACACACACAGACACACATCCCCTCCGAGGCCTCCTCCTCAGCGAGGGATGTGCAGCACCAGAAGCAAGTCCACCCTGGGATCACCCAGGGTAGATGCTGACACCTCGTGTCCACACAGTGTGGGTCAGGGTGCTCCGGACCCCCGCAAGCTGCTGGGGAACTCTTTTGCCCTTTCCTTCTTTCTTTCTCTTTCACGGGAAAGCAGTGAGCACCTGCATAGTTAGAACATCACAGACACAAAAAGCTCCCTCCCCGCCAGGTTCCTGCAGAACAGGCTCAGTGGTGATATTGCTCAGGACCCAAGTGATGGGGTGACAGGAGCCACGCTGCCTGTTTCCCTGATCCTCGAGGCAGGGCAGCATTGCACACCAGTGGTGGTGTAAATTGCTAAAGATTACAACTGAGGCCAAGGGCTCATGGCACAGAACTTCTCCTCAGCCTCCTCCACTGCTTGCTTCCCCTCCAGTTTTGCCTGCCTGCTGCCCCCCTAAGGCAGCAGGCCCCATTCATGTGAACAGCCACAGCTGGCCAGATGTGAACCATCACTAGAACAACAACTTAGTTGAAATCAGCCCTTCGGCAGGCTGCCTGGGCTCTGCTCTCCTTACACCATTCCTCACTTCTGATGCAGCCGTGGGGCTTTTAGGGTGATCCTGTTCAAACAGGACCCTAAGCCAGGTGCATCTTGCATGTGCTGGTCCAGCAGAAGACTAGAATCCTGATGTTGCTTATAGGAATGGGATGGAAAGGTGTTCAAGGCCAGGTTGGATGGAGTCTTGGGTGACATGGCTTAGTGCGAGGTGTCCCTTGCCCATGGCAGGGGGCTGGAACTGGATGATCTTCAGGTCCTTTCCCAGCCTAACTATTCTGTGATTCTATGATTGAGACCTCATGCAGGCAGGAGTGCAGCCTTCACCCATTTCACCATTACTTCCAACAAAGCAGATTCAGGTGACCGCATTGACCAAGGGACAACCTGCATGAGCAGAGCCTGGACATCTGCACTACAGTGTCCTTGGGGAGAGGCTGGGGGAGAAGCAGCCCAGATTTCCAGAAGCTGCTGGTGATTTCAGGGGTCCAATGTGAGGCACTGTAAGTGGGCTTGTAAAACATGCAGGCACCAGGCCAAGGAGAAAGCAGATCACCAAAGCATGGTCTGAAGTTGGGGAGTCCCTGTCTCATCTCAAACTCTCCTTTCACCTCAAAGAAAAGAGATCTCTTGAAAGCCCCTTGAATGTTCAGGCCAACAAACCCCACCACAAGTGAAATACAAACTGTAAATGAGAGATGAGAAGGAGCAGGGAATAAAAGAAGGATAAAGGAATTAGTTCTGAACAGTTAGACCCTATTTCCAATGCTACATTTGAACACTGTTGAGGTACCAGTGGTTGAGTCATTCCTCTCTAACGTGGAGAACACCTGGTAACACATCTGAGCTCAAGGCTCACACACACACCCTAGAGTATACACATTGAAAACACCACCCAAGAGGTTTCATGGCATAGGTGGGTCTTACTGCGTGGGTCTTATTGACTTACAGTACTGATTTACTCAACCTTTAACTAATTAAAGTGGTTGCTTAATTGCCAGCAAGTTGCTAATTGCAAATGGTCCCTTTCATGCTGTTGTCACAGTATCTCACACATACACACACAAACCCATACATCTATAGAGAACGTCTTCCAGGACACACTTATCATCTCTTCCACAAGTGAGGAAAGTAATTGCATCCCTAAAAGCAGATGGGATGGGGAATTGCAGAAGTGTCAAAAATAAACGGATGTGACGTCATTAAAAATTTAAATATTAGCAATTCAAATAATAAAAAAGGCAAAATATTAACACCCCAAAAAGTAATGCCAGGAAATCCCCCTCATTTAGAAGAGAACCAATACCTTCCCCTAAACCCAGCACCTGCTTTGCAGAGAGGGGACCAGCAAACTGAACCAGGACCATGTGCACAGAGCAGGCAGCCACACAGTCACTGGAACCTGGGACAGCAGCAGCACGGATGGCAACGGGGTCCCTCCACTCATCCTCCTGGCTGTGGAGCAATGGTTGGTTGGGGATCTTGGTGAATGAGGTGGGACCAGCTGAGCGTGGAAACACTGGAGGGTTCAGGATGCTGCATCCAGTCCTGTCTCCAAACCTCACCTCCTCCAGGCTCTGCCCCTTAAGCTGGGCTTCTTCTGTTTTGTGTGTTTTAAGGCATCAATTAGACACCATTGAGAACCATACAGCGGCCTCAGAGTCTTTTAACAGTGCACGATAGGCTTGGTTAAAGAGTTAGGCTACGGTGACATTCAGAGGAGCAGTTGCACACTCAGCCGTGTCCTTGGGTGCTGCCCACCTCTGCCACCCTACAGGGCTCCTGGAAGCCTCCAAGGCTGGCTGCGCTCATCCATGTGGCACCGGCTGGATCACGGGAACCCAAGAAGCAGCAATGGTTTTCAGTTCCCCCTCCCCAAAGAAAATATACCCCCTTTGGGTGAGCGGTGAGATGAGTCTGAACGGAGCAGAGAGCACCCTCTCTTCTTGCCCTCTACAAGGAGGGTTGCTCGTTCAGGAAGCACGTTTCTAACTGCTGTGGTCGCGCTGATCCGATGCGTGCACCGAGAACAGGGATGGCTCCAGGGTTCAAGGAATGCTGGGGCTGGAGGCCGGTCCCTTCGCTCTCCTCCTTACAGCGACCGGCTGCCCCGTGGGGTGAGCCTAGAGCTCCACCACGCACCCCTGTCCCCTTGAGGTAAGGTAGGCCCTGATTCTTTGTCAAAGGCTCGTCGAAGACACCGACAGGGTGGGCGAGGAAGGGGGTGGGAAGTTGAGGAGTTCCAGCACAGCCACCCCTACGCTGCTCCGGCGTGTGAACATGCACGAGGCTGCTACCCACTTGTTGGTACGGGGGTTGTACTTCTCGATGGAGTTGAGGCTGGAGCTCCCGTCGTTGCCACCTACAGCGTACAGCCACCCATCCATGGCCACCAGGTCGTGGGTGCTCCTGGAATGACCATGCAGAGACCAACAGGCTTGAATGTGGTGTCGAGGAGATTAGCACCTCGGATGGTCAGAGCTCTGCAACCCCACAAGGCGAGTGCACAGCCTCAAATGCCCAGTGAAAATGAGCTATTGGGGCTCAAACAGGCCATCAGCAGCAAAGCACAATATAGAGCCTCTGATCTTCCCCTTCACTCCCACTGGAGAAGTGCCACGTCTGAATTTCAGGGCCAGTTTGGAGCAACCTGCTCTCGTGGAAGGTGTCCTTGCCTATGGCAGGGGGTTGGAAGTGGATGATCTTAAGGTCCTTTCCAACCAAAACCATTCCGTGCTTCTATAGATAACAAGCCTTAGGAGCCTAAAATCCTTGGAAGTCCAAGCCTTAAACCCTCCTGCAGCTCGGCAACACCTCCTACATGGCATTGCCCAGCTATATACCACCTGGTTCTTTATGGCCAGACTGGCCTCTGCAGAAGGTCCCTATTCTGCCCTCCTGGCACATACACCTTGGTCTTTCACAGTGCAGCAGGGACTGCGGGCTGCCTTTGTGCAGCACAGAGCCAATGGCAGCACTAACCAAGCCTAGGGCATTCTCTGCACTTCACGGTTTGAAGTGCCAAGCAAGGCTCCTTACCTGCGGATGTTCATGGGTGCCACGCTCTCCCACGTGTTGGTTTTGGGGTTGTAGCGCTCCACAGAGTTAAGGCAGCTGGTCCCATCGTTGCCACCAGCCACATAGAGCATCCCCTCCAGCACGGCCACCCCGGCGCTGCTCCGGCGGCTCAGCATGTTGGCAATGGGTGTCCAAGTGTTGATCTGGGAAGAGGGGAGGTTTGTGAGATGGACAAGTCGTTTTCCATGTATCCTATGGTATTAGCCCTGCTCTAACCACACACTCCTGACCTAACGGTGCTCCCCAGAAAGACTTCTAGGGGGATCCCGCTTACTTCCAACTCTCCCATAAAGAGCTGCCCCAGGAGAGACCTCTGCTGACTGCCTTTGGGAAGGCACAGGAGAGCAGGCAGGAGTCCTGCCATCCCAGGGGCATGAGCACAGACACCTCCATGCTGGGCCACCAGGCAGGTCAGAGCATCAAAGCATCCTGTTCAGGTCGCAGCTGAACCCAGCCCAAGGCTGAGCTGTATCCATCTCAAATGTGCACAAGGCACCACTGTGTCTTTACAGCTCACAAACCCCCTCTCTCTGATCTTTCTGCAGTGATCCAGCCTGCCCTAACACAGCTGGGAGACCACAGGCCCAACACATGTTCCCATCACTGTGGATGTGCAAGGACCTCAGATGGAAGCTGGAAACAACTCAGGGCATGTCCAAGAGCTGTTCTGCAAGAGCCAGCCTACAGGTAATGGGGATAGAGAGTGTTCTGGTGGTTGAAAACTTGGGAATCTCAGAGCTCGGATGGATGAGTTCTGGGCTGCACCCTGGATACTCTGCCCATGCAGAAGAACTGGGGAGGGATGTGATACCCACTCTAATTCATAGTCATACATGGTGGCAGCTCTATGCTGCACAGGCTCATGTGGGCACACCTGCTTCACTGCAGCTGCAATACTGTGCTAGGAAGTGGTCACATAGCATCATACAATCAGCTAGGCTGGAAAAGACCTTCAACATCAAGTCCAACAACTAAAACACCAGCTTGAAGACCACACATACCTGATCCTTCACAGGCTGCTAAGTTCTTGTATAGCCCTCAGCTTTCTGCAGGGCCCTTTCAGGCACTCAAAGAGGGGAGAAGATAAAGGGTTATCAGGCATGTTCCCTCTTGTACTTACCTGGGGCTCGTACTTTTCTACTGTGGCTAAGTGGGATGAGCTGTCATATCCCCCAACAGCATAGAGGTTGCCTTCTGCAAAGAGAGTCACACATGCATAGGAGTCAGCCTCCCACAGCCCTTGCCCATGGTGCCCATGTAGGTACCAGCAAAGCCACCATACCAAGCTCCTCTCACCAGAGCTCCCATCCCCTTGCAGCTTGGAGCACTGTGAAATACCCATCAGGCAGTTCCTCTGCCACACCATAAGCTTCCCAAGCTTCCCTCACATGCTGCTTATTGACCTTCCTCATTATGGGAGCTGCAAGTGCTCCCTAAGGGAGCAATGGGCTATTTTTAGCTGGAGCAGGGGATCAGGACTAATGTTTGTGGCAGGCAGAGAGCATGAGCGGGTGATGGAGGGGAGGGAACCTCTGAGTCAGCACTGAGAGCTGAAAACAGAGAACAGGGCAGAGGAGAAGCAGCACAGGGACACTGGGACACCACAGAGGAGTTGCTGGGATGGTGGGGAGCAGCGGGGTACCCTGGCATCCCCAGGGAGGTGCAGTCCTGCTAGGGTGGAATGTGGTACTTGTATTGACCCCATAGCTGTATTAGACAATGAGGTGGCCAGTTCTCACATTGCATCCTCCTGAAGGACAGAACTCATTCAGTGGAGTCTGAAGACATCACAGCATTGCACCTGATGTTGTGACGCCCCTGGTAGTGCTTGGATCATCAGGAAAAGGACTGTTCTGCTTTCATAATGGAGTGGTAGTAAGGGTTTCTCTTCCTTTCTATGGATAGGTGACCATCCACAGCCAACCCTTTTGCTCCAAAGTAGAAGGGGCACAAAGGAGCTAAGGAACAAGTTGTGGATCCCTTCAGGAGTTGCCTCCAGGATGTAAGGAAACCCAGTTACTAGGGACACTGAGAACTGGGGTATGGCAGAGGAATGGCTGGGCACTGGACTCACAAGCTAGGAAGAAGGGGCAGGAACTAGAACAGAAGAACATGGAAGGGAACCCCCAGAGACAGCATGCCCGGGAGCTGGAATGCCATCACCCACCTAGCGTTGCCACCCGGACGTAGCGTCTCCTGGTGCTCATGGCAGCGATGGATGTCCAGGTGCCTGTCAGAGGGTCGTACCGCTCTGCGCTGCAGCGGGCAGGGACACAGGAACACAAAGGTGTGACACTGGCAAAGCCCAGCTCAAAGCTCTTTGACACAAGCCCTCAGGGACAGCTCCCAAAGGAAAGCTTGGGAATAGAGGGGGGAAATGAAGGGAAGAACTGACAAAGGCTGTGTTCTGTTGTGGCAGAGGGCTACAAGGTGGGGTTTCACCCCTTTGCCTGGACCAAAGACACTGCAACACACAGCTGGGTTACAAGACATCTACTCTTGGGGCCAGTCCATCTCTCAGGAGCTGACCTTGTGGGCTCCCCATGCACCCAGTGCATGCAGTAGCAGTGGAGGAGCCTGTAGCAAGGAAATCCCCTACCTGTTCAGGCACGAGGCCCCATCGTACCCCCCAGCAGCATAGAGAAGCCCATGAAGTGCTGCTACACCCAGGCAGCTCCTCCTGGTGCCCATGGACACCTCGGGTTGCCAGGAATTGGTGACGGGATCATAGGACTCCACTGTGGCTAAATCAGAGGTGCCATCGTAGCTGCAGGGAAGAAATAAGGAGAACATGTAAGAGGTGGAAGCAGATGAAGCTGTGGGCTACAGAGCCAACCGAGAGCCTAGACAGCACTGCTTGGTGAGTCCTTGTCACTAGCCCTGCTCTCTACCCCTTCCCCAGCTTCCTTAAGGAAAAGTGCATCAGAGGATGCGCTGAAAGCACAAAGCTCTTGCAGTGGATAACCCAGAGATATGGGAATGCTGTTCAGCCTGAAGAAGAGAAGTTGTGTGGAGACCTCAGAGCAGCTTCCAGTGTCTGAAGGGGGCTACAAGGATGCTGGACTGGGACTCTTCATCAGGGCCTGTAGCGACAGGACAAGGGGTGATGGGTTTAAGCTTAAACAGGGGAAGTTCAGGTTGGAGATAAGGCAGAAGCTCTTCCCTGTGAGGGTGCTGAGGCGCTGGCACAGGGTGCCCAGAGAAGCTGTGGCTGCCCCATCCCTGGCAGTGCTCAAGGCCAGGTTGGACACAGGGGCTTACAGCAAGCTGCCCCAGTGGAAGGTGTCCCTGCCCATGGCACGGGTTGGAGCTGGATGAACTTTAAGATCCCTTCAACCCAAACCATGCTGGGATTCTATGATTCTATCCAGAGGCCAGCCCTGCTCCCAGCCCTCCTTACCCGCCGACAGCATACAGCTTGTTCCCAATGGCAGCAACTCCAACCCTGGCCCTGCGTGTCGACATAGAGGCCACCATGTGCCACCGGTCCGTCCGCGTGTCATAAGCCTCACAATCCCCATGGATGGCGAACAGGCTCCCTCCGCCTGCACACGGGATGGTGAACAGAGCAAACAGCAGGGCAGACACCACGGGAAGGGGCTTGGATGAACATGAGAGGGTCTTACCCACAGCAAAGAGCACGGTGCTGGCCCCCTCGCAGCGCCGCGGCCTCGTCCTGCTGTTGCTCAGCACCCCTCTCTGCTCCGGCATGAGGTGGTACTTGAGGGCTTCAATGAGCAGGTCCTTGCACTCCGAGTGGTGCCGCACCAGCAGCTCCGTGTCCACGTTGCTCATGAGGAAGTCCCGGCTCAGCAGGGGCAGCCGCACGCACTTCATAAGCTGGGAAGGGAGGAATCGCATCCCGCTGGCAAGGTGGGAAGGGTTCCTCCAGTGCTGCTCCTACATCTTCCATACAAACCGCAGGGACCCTGGCAAGGCTGACTGACCTGGAGGTGCCATCCCGCTCACTTGTGATGAAAGGCACCAAAGCACATGGAGCAATTCAGCCTTAACATCTCTGCAGAGCCAGGAGTCCTCAACCTGGCCCTGACACATCCCACAGCCCCAGTAGATCCCAACCCTCCCCTCTACCAGTACCCACATCCTCTTCTAGCAACCATGCTACAAGTAACAGAGCCCAGGCACTGCTCCCCGCTGCCCAGCATACCCCATGTTGCTGCATTGCTCTCAGGAGGGATGTCTAAGCACACACAACTAGCAAAGGGTGGAACAGGCTGCAGAAAGGGCTGAGCATTCCTGCTGCTCACATCCTTCTCAGAGCTCCATGTATCCAAGTCAGGGATCACACAGGGCATCCCCTTTGGGAGACTGAACTGTCTCAGCATCACCTCATCTATGCCTGGACGAAGTGGTTTAGCAGGGGCCTGTTATTCCTGCCCTCTGTCCACCCTACAGCTTCTTCCAGCCATGTATCCACCCAGACCAGGCACTCAGAGCTGGTCGATGGAACCAGGCCACCTTCCCCAGCACACTCACCCTGGGGACATGCTGTCTTCTGCTGTCCACATCGTGCTTGACCCAGCTGAGCACAGCCCGGTACACCTCCTCCTCTGATGGCACATTGAGGCTGTCACTAGATATGAGGTCCAGCACCTGCAGGGTGGAAAGGGCAAGTGTTAGCTGGTGTGATTTGGGAGGAAAGGACCCATTCACACACAGGTAGCGAGGAGAGGCAGAGCTCCTGCCTCCTGCAGATGCTGGTGGTTGAGGGTGCACGTCTACTCTCTCTCATAGGATCCAAACAGTAACCAGGTCCCCCAAACCAGGAGCTGTGCCTCTCCTCGCTGGTGTGGAGGCAGCTCTGCCCTGGATCATCCTCCTTGGCTTGTCCCCCCCTTTCTGTGTCTGAAGCTGCTGCAGTGCCTGACACTTCCAATCAGCATCAGGGAGATCAGGCAGATGACTCCGCTTGCACGTGTCCCTTCAGTATTCCATGGGATAGAGCCAGGTGCCCTGGCTGTTCCCAGCACACTCGCTTCACCGGCCAAGGACTATGAAGCTGGGGCAGGATGCGACCCTCCCCTCACTGCCACACACCCCACTGCCCTGAGAACAAAGGGAAACGCCTGCATCCTGCTGAGGGACCACAGAGGTTGGGTGATGCAGAGCAAGGAGTGGGAATGCCTCCTGGCCAAGGCACGGCACCCTGCAGCCAGTGATGAGCCAGGAGCTGCCCTGGCACCACTTGCAGAGCAGCAGGAAACATTAGCTGAGCTCTGAATTAAACATCACAGCTATGTGAGCAGGGCAGCGAGGCCTTATCCCTTGGACTGTGCCCTCTGAGGGAGGGCAGTGTGCTCAGAGCTCACGTGGCAAGCACCACTGGCAGCAATTACCCTCCCATCCCTATTTCACATGGCATTAAGCACTCTTCCCATTTATTGTCTCTCCATTGGACCAAAGCACAGAACATGGGTTCATTCCCTACCAAACCCTGTTCCCTCAGTGCAGGTTCCTTTGGCTTTTGGCACACAGACTGTGTGGATTGAGCAGGAAAAGCTTTGCAATTCCTGCACCTTCACACTCCCAGGAGGACCTCACCTGTTTAAGAGGCAGCAACATGAACTCCTCTGTCTTGGACACCTCCACGAAGTGCTGGAGGACATACTTGTGTGCAGACTTGAGGAGGTCGCTGCAGGAGTGAGTGTCAGCAAAGCCCCGGATGCCCAGGCAGTTGGATGGGTCGAGCTGGCTGAGCAGGAACTTGCAGCAAGCATCCCGCACACCATTGAGCTGAAGCAGGCTGGCAGCAGGAAGGAGTGTCTGGCAGTGGGAAAGAATAGGGGGAAAAGAGAGGTTCCAGAGCAAGGAAACCATTCTCACCCTCATCTCACTGCAAGTCAATGTCAGAGCAGGTTTACTGAGCCCCTTCAGGCACACAGGCACACTAAGGACAAAGCATTCTTTGTTTCCAACAGGACTAAGCTAAAAGGCAGCTGAGGACACCAAATAGGGCCAGGAGAATGGGAGATGCTCAGACCTGCCCATTGCACAGTGCTTTGAGGAGCCACATCCGTGGGCAAGGGAAGCAGATGAACACCCTGACCGCTGCTACTGTGGGTACCATGGCAGAAGGAGCTGTGCAGAACAAGCATCCCCAGGGGGTAAGTGGTGTACAGGACAGCTCTGTGGAGGAGGCAGGTGTGTGGGGAAGCTCCTACCTGCACGTTCCCCTCGCCCACCACAATCTCAGCCGTGTAAGCGTATTGCACCAGCTGCTCCAGGGCCTGCGGGTCGATGTCGTGCAGCGTCACATGCGTCTGGCGGCTCTCGCTCATCTCATCTGGGGCAACACAGACACTGGGCATGAACAAAGGCCCACAGCAGGGTTGTTTCCACAGAGGCAGGCTTGACCATGTGTGGAACAAGTCATATCCACCTCTACAACCCAGCGTCACAGCTCTAGAAGGTCTCCTGCCCACCTCTTAGCAGTATACTCTAGGGAATTGGGTCCATGTCTGAATGATGGGCACCAAGATGCCCATGCAGGGTGTTATGGGCAAAAGGCTTCATGGAAGGGAGTCAAATAAGGGATATTCATAGAATCATAGGATGGCTTGGGTTGGAAAAGACCTTAAGATCATCCAGTTCCAACCCCCTGCCACAGGCAGAGATGCCTCACCCTAGACCACATCACCCAAGGCTCTGTCCAGCCTGGCCTTGAACACTGCCAGGGATGGAGAATATACCACTTCTTCAGGCAGCTTGTTCCAATGTCTTACCACCCTTACAGTGAATAACTTCTTCCTTATATCCAACCTGAACATTACTGCACTTCTTACAGGGATGATGTAGAGGCACCGTATTTCCATCAGGTAAAGCAATGAGAACAGGGAGCAGGTCAGAAAGAAGTGGTTTGCAGAGAGGAGAGGGTTGGAAGAGCAGGGAGGCCCTGGCCATGGGGAAGAGAAGAGGAGGACGCTACTTGCTTGTGAACATGGCGTGGAAGTAGGGGCTGCACGACGCCAGCACCACCTTGTGGGCCTTGATCTCCTTGGTGCCCACGTGGAGCACGATGTCGCAGAGCAGCCCGCGCTGCCGCATGCGGTTCATGCACACGAAGGCGTCGTGGTAGTGCCTCTTGGAGTTGTGGGAGATGCTGTGCCCATCGCGGTTGAGGAGCTGCACACCCCCTTCCATGGCTGCAGGTGGCTTTCCCTTCTCTCCAGCACTGACAAGGGGGGGAAACCAAAGCGTTACCCAGGCAGGAATAGCACCATGCAATTCCCATTGTCATCACTGCTCAAAGGCTTTGCACAGGAACAGCTCCTATCTAACTAACCCCTGTCAGACATCACCCTGCTCATGAACCAGGGATGTGGAGGAGACAGTGCCTGGAGGAGCACAAGTGATGCAAAGTGATGCTGAGACTCTTCTGTTCATTGCTTCCCAGCTGTGCCTGTCCATCTTTGGATCCCCATCCTCCTTACCTGCCTGCAGAAGGGCACTGCTCTACAGCAGGTACACTCACACTGCTTTGCCCTGAAGTTGCACCAGCTCCATGTCTCCCTAGCAAGGTGCACTTCCGTGCAACAGCAGCAGAAGCATTGATCTTAGAAGTCTCACCAAGGCATGCCAATCCTACATTGATCACACCACTAGAGACAGCAAACATGACAACCCTCCTTAGCCTGAACAAAAGGGAATCCCATAACCTAAAAGGCAAGAGGGATGTTATGGACCACAGGTCTAAGTGGTGCTTGTCCCCTTCCAACTGACTCTTCAGGTGCACTAGGCCAATGCAGGTCACTTGCTACCACTAAGATAACTGAAATGAGCCCCAGGAAAACACTGCCCCTTCCCAGCATAGATGGTCTGAGGGCATGAGCCACATTTAAGGATAGGAGTAGGGATGGAGCCTCCACAATAGGTTTGGGATATCTGTGTGCTAGGGTTTGGCACCAGGAGGTGGTGGTTTGGTTTGCAGCTCACTAACACTTCAATGTACTTTTACAATGCGCTACAATGCCTTTTGGTTGTGAGCACTACAGCCCAGCAACCATCTCTTGCTGGGTATTCCCAGGTGGCCAGTTAGGGATCAGCAAACACTTTTAACATCTTCATCCCCACTTCTCTCCATTGTCCTCTACCCAGCCATGTCCAACCCCAGCCTCAAGGCTGCACCAAACAGTCCTGCTCCTGGTCTGCACTAGGGGCAAAGCATCCTACATCTCCCTGGAAGCATCCCTGGCTGTCATTCAAGAGGTAACTTGGAACTTGGAGTAGTATTGGTTTGGAACAGACAGCAAAGACTGGAGATGCTGATGGGACCCAATGCAGAACTATGACACACACACCTCTGAGCACGGAGTGGGACAATGCTGCTTACCCTGGAACAGGGAGCAGGAACATAAACTCCACCAGCTCATATAGCACAAAACCTGCCCAAAAAAGGCACGTTTTCTCTTTCCACGCTGTCTCTGCTGTTCCGAGAGGCGTTTGGCTGTGTCAGCACTGAAGGAAAGGTGGGAGGGAGAGGGAAAGGGGATGACTGAGCAGCAGGAGGAAGAAGGGGGAGGGAGGAACAACAAGGAGCCGCGTGCTGCGTGGTGCCTGCCTGCGCATCCCTGCCGCGAGAGAACCCCTCAGAGCACCTCCGCATCCCCAGCCATTCTGGGCCTAAAAATAGAGCCCCACCACGCTGTGCAGCCTCCTGCTCGGGTCTGAAGAGCGACTGTGTCACGTACGAGAGGCTGGGGGAGGAAAGGAGATGAATAAACACCTTTCCTGAGCAGGAGAGAAGCCTGCAATGCCCTCTGCTATCTGCATCATCCGACGTGATTCCTCATGTCCCTGGCAGCAGGGAACACACAAAAGCAGTGCCTGTTGATGCTTTCCAGTGATGAGTGGGATGCCAGTGTGCCCTTCATAGGGCAGAATAGCCCATGAGTTAGGTGGTCTTCTACACTCCTCAGAAAGCTGTAGCACACCCTCTGTGTGTTAATTCACACTGCTGGAAGACAGGTACCCACACAAAGGTGGTTTATCACTGTTAGCATCTCTAGCTAATCCTTTCCCAGACTGTGTTAGTGGCAGAGAGCAGATGGTGCTTTCTTGCCCTTACTCCCCTCCCTGGCTTTAAGCTGAGGGTTTTCTTGATCTGCTTGAGCTGGTTTATCTCTTAAATACACTGCTGAGGATGCTTCTCCCCATCCCTATGTAAGTCATGCCCCAGCCCTAACTGAGCACTTGCATCTCCCCTCCTGATAGTGAGGGATAGGAGCTCCCGGCTCCACAGCAGTGGGAGGACCAGGATGCAGGATGCGATAGAAGAACAGGGAAAAGATGGGACAACTTCTCCTTGTGCTCCTAGAGACTTGTGAGGAAAGGTTTGCTGCCCTGGCCTGGCTGGGGTGACACACGACTTGGTCAGCAGAGACACACAGAGGGCACAGCAGACTGAAGGTTGCTGCAGCTGAAGCACTGGCATCACAGTGATCAAACTCATTTCCAAAGAGGGTCGGGAATGCTGGGCTCTCTTCCCGGCCCTGCTACTGAGTCATTGCACAACTCTGGGCAAGTACAAATGCAGAGTGACAAGGGTGACATTATCTTCCCTTGCAGTGATTCCCACAGCCACGAGGTAGGGGACCAGCTATTGCTCACTCCTTCTTCACCCACAGCCCCTGCTGTGCACCTCATAGTGCTCTGAAGAGCTCTCCATCACCAACATTGATGCACAGCACCCTGATGCACAGTGTCGTTTGGTCTTTGATGTGAGCAAGCAAGGCCATAAGGAGATGCCATGGGGCTCTTGAGCACCCCTGCACCAGGGGACAGTGCACAGCCTGACCTGGCCCACCCCTGCTTGATGATTTATTGCTGCAGCCACACAACAGCCTCAGCAATCCCTTCCTGATGGGAAAATGTCACCCTCCTGAAGCAAAGGGAATGCTGGCATGGAGCGTGCAGGGGGTACAGCCCCTTCACCCCACTTCCCTCTGCTCTGCAATCCCATCAGAGCTCTTTGGCTTTAATGGATCAGAATATAATAAGTGGGGAAAAAAGGGACACCCCACTGCTGTTTGTGCTGCTCCCTGTGCCTGAACTCTCACCCTCACTGCCAGCACTCAATATTCCTTCTTTCCTCCTAAAACTCCATTCCCAGGAAGTGAAGGTCTATGAGCATCACTAAGACACAATTCATGGGAACAGTGCCTGGACCGCAAGAGACAGTGAAGCAGTGTCCAGAGCTGCAGTCAATACAAGCCCACTTTTGTGGAGCAGGCAGCACGTGTTGAGCATCAGCTGTAAAGGATGCGGGGCCTGACTTGTAATAACTCTTAGGTTATGACAACAAGAGGAAGGCGTTTGTTTGGCTGCGATGCGACAGAGCATGGCCGTGCATAACAGCTCTGGTAATGAATGCAAACGATCCCTGCCCAAAGGGAGCTCTGTTCTCGTTGCACAAAACACCAGCTTTTGCTGAGAAGCATAAACAGGCAACAGAGCATCCTCCAGGGGGAAGCTGAGCCTGCCCTTTCCCCAGGAAGGCTCTGGAGAATGGCTTTTTGTTGGCAGCCTGCATGGAGGTTTTGTGTCTGGCAGGAGAGAGTGCAAAGACACATCCTGTGCAGCTGGTCTGGTGTTAGGGACAGGTCTGTGCCTTGGAGAAGGGATACCCTCTGCTCTAAAGCATGGAATCAGCTGGGTTGGAAAAGACATTCAAGATCATTGAGTTCAACCATTCCCCAGCACTGCCAAGGCCACCACTAACCCATGGCACTTAAAGCATGAGGTGCCCTAAGGCCTGACATGAAATCATGCTTAAATCCATCACTTCCACATGTGCCCTATCCTTACGTTGACATCCCAGTACCTCTTTTCAGCTGCAAAGCCCTGGTTTGTGCACAGCACCATCTCCCATGGAAGTGCTGCTATTAGACCTTCAGGATAAGACATGAAGTCCTCTCTGACACTCACCAGTGTCAACAGAGCAGAAGACAGCACAGATTAGGTCAGTAAGGTGGCATCACATTGCCAGTTTCCCTATCAGGGAGTCATTTCCCTCCTTCCTTGGTCTTGGGGTGCATCTTCCAAACACAAGCCCTGTTTTTTCCCCTGCAGCCCTCTGTCTCTGTCCTTAGGCAGGAAGGGGCTGCTCCATTCTAAGCAGAGAAGCCAAAGCACTGTGCTCCACAGCAGCACAGCACAACTCATCCTGGGCCAGAAGAACAGTATGAACCCTTGGGGAAGATGGAGCTTGACAGTGGAGCCACAGGCAGAAATCACTGCTTCCAAGTGCATCTCCATCTCCCCTACAACAGAAATCAGAATCCCTATATTCCTATATTCAATCCCTCTGAAAGGGGTCACAAACCACTAAACAGCCTCCTGCAATACAGCACCCCCCCAAAGAATGCAATACAAAATGCACATTAAAGCTCAGGGCAGCACTAGCCTGAGGAGGAAAGAAGCACAAGCAGCTTCTTTCCTCCTGGGAGCAGGGCTGGGAATGTTCTCCTGTGTTCCTGCAAGCTCTTTCCTCCCTGCAACAGTCAAGGGACACAAACAGCTGAGCTGGCACTAATAGCTGCTGTTGTGCTGCTGTAAAGAGCACTAATACAGTCCCAGCATCCAGAGATGCACACGCAGGCCTGCAGATTCCCACCTCTATTCCCTTGTGGAGTTAATTCAGCTGAGCCACCCCTTTTGTTGAGGCCTGTCCATGTCTAAAGAGCAGCTTTAAGCTGCCAGATGACTGGCAGTATTTTTGCATCAGTAATCCTCTTGCAGTAAGCATGTCTAGGACACCAGGGCTGTTTCCACAGGCTACAGCACATAGATACTACCTGCCCTTATACCTTCAACTTGGATAGCCCAAATTCTTGCTTCTTTCAAAGGGCTGGCACTGCCTGTTACAAAATACATTGTATTCCTATCTTTCCTGCTCCTTTCCCACAATAAAAATGAGACAGGACTGGAAATCATCCAGGCCCAGGGCTCAGATGCAAAGCAAGCAGTAAATCAAGGCTGCTGTCCCACCAGGACATGTCCCATTAGCATCACTGGTGCAGACAGAAAACTATCGCCTCAATATAACACTTTCGGTTCAGTTCCTTCTCAGGCCCTGTAACACTTTCCCTGCATCCAGGGAATTCCAGCAGCTCACATTCTTGTTAATAGAACGTTAATTGTGTCTTCAGCCCTAAAGAGCCAATGACTGTGAGGAGGCAGAGGGAACTAATAGCTCAGGACCAGCAAGAGAATCAGATGCTCGGAGCTGCAGGTCCAGCCATCACTCCTGTGATTTACAGCTGCACCTACATAGAGGTCAGGACAGCAAACAGTGATGGAAATGTGGCAGGAGGAGCTGTCATTCCTGGTCAGGTGGCAGAACTGGGAAGCTGGCAGTTTCCGAGAGCCAGATTGAGGACTTGGACACCTTGTGCCAGCTCCTGATGGACACGGAGGACCACATGAGCACAAGAACGCAATGGGATGAGCTGCAAGGAGACATTAGCAGCACATATTTCAGCTCCAAACACTTCTCTGCACCACCTCCTGCTGCCAGCACTGCCCTGACCACATCTGCCTTCTGTTCCCTAAGCCCCCTGCTATGGATGGGAGGGCAACACACACTGCTGCTGTCCATGGAATGGGCTCTGAGGGTACCGCAGCAGTGCTGAGTCTGCAGGACTGCTCGGTTGGGTTCGGGTTGGCTTCTTTTAATGCATGAGGCATAACTGACACGCACTGAATCCTCCTGTCTAGACATCTGCAGAGAAGTGACAAGCTGCCAGAGAGGATGTGGAGCCTCGGCAAGGGGGTGGGGAGGACAGGATAAAGCTGCACACACTTGCCAGCTCCACAGCACAGAGTGCTGGCTTCAGGCAAGAAGGGCATTGAGCACATTGACCTCGTCAGAGGCTTTCAGCAGCTCAGTGGGTTGTCATCAATGGGCTCTGGTGCACGCACAAGGCTGGAGGTCTGTTCTAATTAAAGCCTCTCTCCCCATCACTCCCAGGGAGCTGTGTTTGGGAACTCAGCTCCAAGTTGCTCTCCATCACCCCAGCTCAGGCTCAGAAAGGCTTCAGATGGGAAAGGAGGGAGCACAAGGCAGAGCATCAACGCCTGCCCTGGGATATTCCCATACCTGGAAGAGGCAATGGGCATCCAGCCTGCTGGATGGGTACACAATCTTCTCCCTCTCTCATGCACACTTTGCAGCTCTTCCTGCAGACATCTTCAAAGGGTTTTGCCTTCAATACATTGCAGCAGCTCCAGGCAGGGATGCTTGAGGGATTCAGAAGCACCTCTGATAACAGTTGGGTCACTAAGTAATTGGTTGTAAGGGTCAGGACCCGAATAGGTTTATGACTCCTAATTCCCAGGTTAGGGAGGAACAAGGAATGGAAACCAATTCATGCCTTGAGGCGCTGCAGCGCTGGGATTAGGCAGCAGCTCCCACAGGCCAGCACAAAGCACACCGAGATATAACTGAAAGGAGCCCTTTGCCAAGGAAATGTGGGTCATGTCCTAATTCCCCCTTCCCAGTGTCCCCCACAGACACAGGGGAGGAGCTACTGTCACATCCAGTGCTATTTTATAGCACAAGCAGTGCCAAACCTCTACATGTAAGCATCATGCAAGTCTCTCCAGGCAGCAGGGTGATAGTTACCAGCTTCAGCTGCACTACCCATCACCGTGGTACCCCTGACCCCCCTCCAGGCATCTCTGTCCCCATCTCCCCCTACTCAAACAGGTAACCAGACAAGCTGAGAGCACTCAGGTCACTGGAGGCAGCCCATAGAAGAGTATATCAGTATTCCTGGCTCCTACACTTGCCCAGGAGTTCTTGTCTGCAACATCCTTGGCCAGCAGCTATTCAGAGAGGGACTGTGCCCTTTACCTGTCCGCTGTGCAAGGTGACACTGGCAGTAGGTGGCAATGGGCCAGTTCAGAATGGTTGCTACCAGTCAGCAATGCCCTGACGTTAAATGAGAGCGAGGAGACTCAGGACTTGGCTTCTAAAGGGGAAGCTGACTCCATGACGGGACACTAGGAGAGAAGGAAAAGGCACTTGGGTCTTTTGGCTGCAGTGAGCAGATCTTTTACTGCTGCCCTGGGGTACACAGAGTCTCCAAACCAGGTCATCAGTGATGCCATCACCTGCATCCCTTTCACAGGGACCTCATGAGCCCCATCCCTTACAGACAAAGCCTCCTGCCAGCCTCAGCCATAGTATAGGTTGGCAGCATGGAGGTACCAGACCATGTAAGCAGAGAATGCCCTCACATCATAGGCAGCACCATAGGGCACATACATGAAGATTGAGCTATGAGGAGCAGGTGATATTAATGGCCTTAAGTTTGCTGGTACACTGGGAATTGCAAGTGAAGGAGCTTGAATCCTTGATCCTGACTCACATCCTTTATAGAAGGCAATGTGGTTTGCAGCCAGCTCCAGCAGGCCAGGTGGAAAAGATGAAGACCCTCAAGAGGACCAAGCCCACCAAATCCAGCTTGCCTTAAGGGTTTGGAGGCAAGGCTCCAGCACTGAGACTTCTTTGAGTGGCTGAGCCTGAAATGCAGCTGACAGAAAGCATTAGGGATCATCCTTGCTACTCAAGGTGCTAAGGAGCCACTCCATGTGGATTCTGGACTGCCAAGCCAAGAGACAAGTGACTGTTATGTCTGCCAGCTTCTGCTCTGCTCTGATTTAGGTGCTGTTTGCTGGGATTCATGAATCAGTTCTCAGGAAGGAAACTCATCTTAACATCCAAAATCCCAACAAATCTTACTCACTACCACACTGAACAGTATTTCTATCAGATGTGCACGGGTCAGGAGACAAACTTGGGATGCAGATGGGAGAGATTCCACAGATGTTTGCTTGGCTGTAGTGCTCACAACCAAAAGGCATTGTAGTACATTGCAAAACTACATTGAAGTGTTACTGAGCTGCAACTGAAACCATCACCTCCTGGTGCCAAACACTAGCACAAAGACATCCCAAAGCTGTCACTGAGGCCCCGTCCCTCCTCCTATCTTTAAATGTGCCTCATGTCTCATCCATGCTGGAAAGGGGCAGGAGCCCTCTGGAAGCTCATTTCAGGTGGCCCTGTCTTAGGGGCAACAGCCTACTGCTGTCAGGGGCACACGCACCTGAATATCCACATGCTGCTGAATCACTCCAGAACAAACCTCCCTCCCTGTGGTCTCCAGCAATGGGGAGCACCCCAAGACAGCACTGATGGGACAGCAGCCCTTAAAGTTGAAGAAGACTGGGCTTCCTTTATAAAGAAACCCCATCAAAGCAAGGCTGCTGCTCCTGCAGTTTCCTGGCTTGGCACAGAAGCCTGATGGGTCGGTGGCTGTGTCCTGGCACACAGGGACCACTGCGTTCCTTCTTTCCTGTGGGGAAGCCAAGGTCCCAGAGCCACATTCCTTGGAGAGGGAGGCAGAACCGAACCCAACCAGCTGCCTGCTCACAGGACCACCTCCATGAAGAGGGATGCTCTAGCTCAAGGAGAGCCTTCTGCCCTAAGTCACTGCAGAGGCCAGATATCCTCCCTCCTGCTTGTCCCCCCAGGTTACCACATAACCTGAGGCAGCGTTTCTCCCTCTGCCCTTCATCCCTCCACAGCCAACGGTACCAAACACCCCGTGTGCTTCCACCGAGCGCAGGCAAAGCCACACCGGCCAGAACGGTTTTTCCCTGGGCCCCAGCGTGTCCCTGCGGCTTATTCCCATACGGAAGGGATCGCTCCACGACTTGGCAGAGGACAGGGAAGGAGAACACGCTCGGCACAGATGCGCTGCCGGGCTTCGCCACGGATTGATGCCAGGATACAGAGCGGCAGCGGCTCGGAAACAGCATCGGTAGCTGCTCTGGTACCAGGTAGGCAAAGTTGAGCCCTAAGCATCCCTCTTTGGGGGCATCCTCCTCCTTCTCCTGCCGGCTCCCCGCTATCCCCACGCATCCCAGTGCTCCCGCCGGGTCCGGCCCTGCCACTCCCTCCTCCTCCTCTCCCTCGCCATGCCCGGTGGTACTCACAGCTCCGGCTCGGTGACGGCCCGGCCCGCGGGATGCTATTGCGGGGCACCGCTATTCGCGCACCGCTGCCGCCGGCCCCGCGGCGGGGAGACGGGGCGGGGAGACAAGGGGCGGGAGGAACGCGGCTCCTCCTGGGGACAAGGCGGCCCCGCGGCTTCCTCCTTCACCCGGAATAACCCCCGCCGCGGAGCGGTGCGAGGGGGGAATCGAACCCGCGGCTCTGCGGGAGCGGGAGGGTCCCGCAGCACCGGCCCCGCTAAGACAGCCCGGTTGGGGGCGTGGCTAGGTGTTGAAGGGGGCGTGGCCAGCCCCAATCGCCCCGCCCCACTGCGGGGCGTGCTGGGAGCGGAAGCGGCGGCCGCGTTGGAGTCAGGCGGGTGGCATGGCGGCGGCCGGCAAGAGGTGAGGGATGGCGGGAGGGCTGGACCAGGGCGGCCGCGGGGATATGGGGTGCTCCATAGGGTGCCACGGCACCGGGGGGAGCTTTATAGGGTGCTCCGGCACCAGTGAGGCCTGTCAGTGGCTCCTCACCCCCGCGCTAGGGCCGCTCTGAGCGGGCAGGCCCGCTGAGTCCTCGCTTCTCTCCTCAGGAGCCTGGCGGAGCTGAGCCTGGACGAGTTCCTCGCTGCCGGTTCCGAGTCGGAGCCTGACGGTGCTTGGGAGGAGGAGGAGGAGGAGGAGGAAGCCAGGCCCGGTAAAGGGGCTGCGGCGGAGCGGCGGCTGAATGGGAAGGCGAGGCCGGCGGGGGAGGCCCGGCCGGCTCCGAGGTGAGGGCGCGCTGCTGCGGGGCGAGACGCGGTGCAGCCCAGCGCGTTCAGCGGCTGCTCGGCTGCGTGCGCTTCTCGGTGTTGCCGCATTTGTAAACGGGGTGCATGCTATCTACCACAGAATGGGCTGGGTCTGGGGCAAGGGGGGTTTAAAAGGGCAGTGACCGTGGTGGGGTTATGGGGTACAAGATAGTCAGATTTTCTGTGGTATCTGGGTTCAGTAACTGCAGTGAAGAAACGCGTATATGTGCTTTTAATCTTTCACAGGGTATATTGGACTTGGGCAAAGCTGACTTTAGTTTTCCCTAGTCTGTGTGTACTTGCTCTAACCAAAGGACTTTGGGGTGTTTGCAAGATACAAAATGAAGTCGTTCTTAAGCACTGATGAGCACCATTGGAAGCCATTCTTTAATGCTGGATTGGATTTTATGGAGCTTTCATTGTCAGATTTCTCTGGCAGTACCTTTATAAAGCCTATGAGAGTAATTTGGGGGAATTTAAAACTGATATTCTGTTTTCATGCCCTGTGATCCTTAATATACTTGTTATCAATAGTTTAGTGCTGTATTAAAATAACCTTTCACAAGTTCTCTAGAGCAGGGATATGGAGCTGTGGCACAGCCCTAATCAGCACTCAAACCAGCCCCAGGTGTGCTTTAGTGCCCAGAAGCTGCTTGTTCCTCTTGCAGCAGAAGTGTGAGCAGTGAATAAATACCTGTCAATTGTTACCCACCAGGAAGAAGGGGAAAGCATCTGAACACAAAGACCAGCTCTCCCGGCTGAAGGACAGAGATCCTGAATTTTATAAGTTCTTGGAGGAAAACGATCGCGACTTGCTGAATTTTGATGCCTCAGACAGCTCGGATGAGGAGGAGGAGAGGGTGCATGTACCACCTGATAAACTGGAGGTACTGGGCCCTGTTTGGAGTGCTGAAACCAAGTGTTTTAATTACTTGTTAAATAGTTGAAGTTCAGTGCAAGGCTGAAGTATATTTAGGCTTATAAGGGCACAGAGGGCTGGGGTGGAGCTTCCCCAGTGATCATCTGCAGGTGTGCAGGCTTGTAATCAGAAATCAGCTGTGCAGGAGGAGTTTAATAGTTGCCTTAGAGTGCGTTTTCTCTCTGGCTTTTGCTTTGTGTCACCTTTCCCAATGAGGGTTTGTTTTGCCTTAAGTGACTCCATTTTTATGTTATTGTGTTTATGTAGCAGAGCTCTAATTTTGTTACTGCCTTACAAAAAGTGCTGATAACAGCATCAGTAAACCTCACTGCTGCCTTCCTCTTCAGGAGCCACTCAGTAAAAGAGGTGCGGCCAGAAACATGTGTAAGCCTTCTCTGTTTTGCTGATAACTTTTCTAGGTAGCAAGTGATGAAGAAGAGGAAGATGATGAACAACAGGCAAAAGTCAAACGGAAAAGACCTTTTATCCCTGTGAGCTTGAAAATGGTTGAAGAATGGAAAAGAGCTGCAGAGGTGAGCAGGGAGTTCTCCTTTCAACACTTTTCCATATGTGTTGCTGCCTCTAAAGGACCGAACTCTATTTGTTCATCCTTCACAAAAAACTATGGAGAAAATGTATGTCCTTGTGTAGGTTTTACTCCTAGAGCTTTTAATTACCTCAGCATGACTTCTCTTTGCAGTGTTTCTTGGGCTGCAAGGTTAGAGTATGTGCACTCCATTTGAGGGGGGCTTGTGTGCCTCAGAAGGGGTCAGAATGGTTAATTGTGGATTTCATATCCTCTTAGAAGCATTGTGCCTTTGGCAGCCCTAGGAACTCTTTTTAGTCATGTTTTTAGTGATGAAATGGCTTGCTGCTTCTGCCTTAGAGGGGGAGGCAAAGGTCAGATTGGATAATTGCTTGCAGCTGATTAATTGCGTCTCAAACCCCAACCAATTAGAACCCTGAAGCCCATTTGAGCACAGGTGGAGGCCGTTAGCACTCATTAACTCCGCCTTTACACCCTGTTAGGTGCAGCCATTTTTGCAGGCCGACTTGCAACGAGTTCCCAGTACTCCATCCCAGTGAAGTGATTCGGAACACTGCGTACCTTTTCTCCTCATCAGTCCTTTCCTTCTTTCCCCAGAGAAACCTAACACCAAAACTGTTCCATGCAATCACTCAAGCCTTTAAAGCAGCTGTAGCAACCACCAAAGGAGATGATGGTGAGGCTGATCCCAGCAAGTTTCAAGTCACTGATGCTGCAGGTGAGTTGGTCACCATACTACTACTGTGAGAGAGGGAAGTCATTTGATAGGGAAGGTTTAGCTGTTGGAAGAGAGTGGGGATAAGTACTGGCATGAGTTAACTTACCCTTTCTAGGCTTCATTTCACATAAGTAGCTTATCTTCCTGCTGGTGTCTGCAGTGGGATCTCCCCTGGTGTCACAGAGTGTAAGTGTACCTCTTGGTGTGCGTGCCTGGAGCAGCTGGGCTTGCAGGCTGCTGAGGAAAGTACCATTCTTCATTCACTAGGCTGCTTAGCATGAAGGTGAAGCTAGGTACTATCTATATGCTTGTAGCACATGGGGGTTTTGGACAACTTTTGCTGCAGCTTCTTGCTGTTCCCTCTTAGGACTAATCCAAGACTATTTTGAGTCTCACCAAATAGTGTTCGATAATCACAGAGCAGTTCAGAGTTCAGCTGCATTATCAGGTTCACATTCCCCTAGTTGGGACTAAGTAGCTAAGTTCTGCATGTCTAGATCTCCTCTTTAGGATTATCATACTTGTAGAACAATAGAGATGCATCCTCCAGTCTTAGTCCCCTTTTACATAAGCTCCAGGTTTTGCAGGCAGTCCTGGTTTAGACTCACAGCAGCCTGGCTGAGAGGAAACATCTTTATTAGTGTCTTGGAACTGCATATGCTGCAGCCCCCCCTTACTTTTACCACTAAATTAGCAGGTACTTTCTCACTGTGTTTATCAGCTTGTTACTGTGTGCCATCTGGAACTGGCACTCTGGGGTGGGACTGCTTATATCCACCTGCTCTGCTTGATTTCTGGCCCAGCATAGGGCTTTTTATATCTCTTTCATTGCTTTTGTTAAAATCTCTTTCTTTAATACCAGATATTACATAGAATTTACGTATTGTCCTTTTCTGTGACTGTTTATTAAGAAATGCCTTTAATTTTCATTATGTTTTGGGGGAGATTGGTATTACAGACTCCTGGTGATGGGTCAGGCTGCTTTTGTGCTTGGTGCTGTTCAGTCAGAGGGCAAAAAGATGGCTCCTGTGCCAGGAAGCTGTCCAGTTGTAATACTGCTGTTTAGCTAAAGTCTAGGGTAAGATAAACTGCTCTTCTATGGAAGCTTGAGGAAATGGAGTAGTTCTGCTATGGGAATTAACAAGCTTCAGTTCCTTCAGGAGCTCTTCTCAGATTGGGAATATATGGAAAGTCATTTACAAATGCTTTACTGTCTTCTTTTAACCAGTGTTCAATGCCCTTGTGTCCTTCTGCATCCGGGACCTCTTCCATTACCTGCAGAAGCTGCTTTTTCCAAAACCCCCAAAGAATAAGCACAAGTAAGTCTGAGAGTTGAGAACTGCAGGTGGGATAAAGCTGCTTGGGGCTTTTGAGAACTGCACCGTAGCTGGAAAAGCTGCCTGTACGGAGGCAGAGTATCACAAGTATGTGACTTTAGCAGCTTTATTAAGTCCTTCCTCATCCCCTGGAGGGAACGTTGAGCTAAACTTTAGGTTCCTTGTTGACAGTGATGCCTAGTCTGAGAAGTAAATTCCAGTTCCTTGTGTAAATACCAGTCTGGTTTCTTCCCCAGGCATGATTAATACAGACTGTCTGAATCTTGGGGTGGCCTTGGGGCACTACTTCATGAGTTACAGCAAATGTCTCACAGCTAGTTTGATCCCAAAATAGACTTGCTTGCTACAAGCCAGCTTGTTCTGTTCTCAGGCAGTGGCTGCAGAATGCCTGACTAGAAGATAGCATCAGTGTGATTCAGGTTTGCCACCAGGCTTTCTGGTGTCACAGCTCCCTGTATCACACTTCCAGAGATGCTGGGAAGCTCTGAAATGAGTTTTCTCCTGCTTCAGGCAGTTTTCACAGATCAGAAGTACTACTGCTCACCCATAACAGTTGTTGCTCCTTTAACTTCTTGCTTTGCAAGCAGTTTTTCTTGTTCACTGGCAACGTAGAGAACTGAGCTCCCTTTCTGATGCTGACATCTAGTTTATTTGGGGTTCTTTTAAACCTAAACCCAACTCTTGCTCCTTTCCAGACTGATCCTTCCTTCCACCAGCCCACTTTGGAGCAAGCTGCGACTGGATGTGAAAGTGTACCTTGGCTGTAGCATACAAGTAAGAAACTTCAGCATGGTGGTGTTACTGGGGTCCGTCTGTGCATCACTGGGCTTCTGTTCAGGATGTTTTGGAATGAGGCAGATGGGCTTTTAGCAGTAAACAATAGTGTTAGAGTCATTTTTTCCTTTGGAAAGACAGTTACTCTGATTTGAGGGTAACTTTCTGGTTATCACAGTACTGGGAACCTTGGGTATTGGTTTCTGTGCCTTCTTCTGTCGCAGAGAATAAAGGAGACTGCTGTGGGCAGAAGCAATCTCAGTGAGTCTAAAAGCCTTGGACATCTGATATTGTGTCTGTCCAGTTCACTGTCTTGTTTTGGAAGTATTTGGTCTAAAGATGTGGAGGTCCATAGGGTGGTTGGGTCAAAATAGGCAGCCTGTAAAGAAGGGCTGGGTTAATATTTTAGTACTTTCCTGTCTCGATTTGTCTGAAAACTTAATATATAATGGGTTTTAAAGTAGGCTGCAGTGTTGTGCTCCTGTATTGTGCATCTTCAGTTCAATTTTTGGCATTACGATCTTGCCACTTGTAATAAATGTGAAGGATGTAATGTCAATAACCTCACATATGACATTTCCAAGCATGATTTTTTTCCATCCCACTAGGATACTCATCCATCTCCAGTTGCTCATGTGGTTCAGAGACAATGGATGGATTAGTTCTGAAGGAAATTTCCACCCCCAGTTAATTTTTTGATTGCTTCATCGTAATCGTCAAATTAGGAATATCAAAACTATAATAACATTTGAAATACTCATTGTTCAGAAGCTGAAGGAAGGGCATATAAGAAGAAGAACACGCTGATGTCTTAGCTGTAAGCTGGCAGAATGACTTAGCAGAAAGAGCATTTTGTGGTGCCTCTTGCCAGCAGCAGGAGATTGCAGTAGAAGAAGAGAAACTGGCAATGCAGTCCTGATGAAGTATCTCTGATCCTGTGCTTGCTTCCAAATCCCCTTTGTCCCAGGCTTCACTACAATGTTCTTCTAGCACAATATCTTCTGTCCTTTTAGTATGTGAGGGACTTTGCAGAGGAGACCTGCTCAGTCCAGAATCCTTGCAGTGCAAGGAGGAGATTGAGGAGGAAGGTTTGAAGTAGAAGAAATGCCTCTGCTTCCAGTACCTGGGGTTGGAGGCAAGAAGGGGCACTGCATCAGGCATGATCTGTCTCCAGCTGAGGTGACTTTGAGTCACTTCATCTTCGCATTGAAACTGCAAACATTTCTGGGTTTGGCTCCAGGTCAACTGAAACAATATAAAGATATTGTTTCTTAATAGCTTTTCTAACCTTTTCCTTGAGCTGGAGTTAACCTCTTGATACCCAAGAGTATTCCAGCTTCCCATGAAAGAAATCCTGGTGAAAACCAGTAAGTTCTCAAGTTCAGATGGCCTGTTCCCAAGCCTTGTGTAGACTGAGGGTGTCTTCATCGTGCTTTGATTGTGGTGAGACAGCACTGGTGTCCTGCCATCCGTAAGATGTCTTAAACTGCTTTTGCAGTGTACACAAGTGAGGTTTTATGTGATGAGCTCAGGTGCCATTAACAACCCAAGTCCAGTAGCCTGAGCTCACATTTGCCAGGGTGGCATACTTTCAGGGGTATTATTTAACCCACCACATGTCTGCTGCTTTTCTGATACAGCTTTTGTGAGTTTGCTTGAGCTTCTTCCTATGGAAGGCTGGTATTCCGTTTATTAACTGAAATACTCAGAAACAGCTTAATGGTAAAAGAAGAGGTGATGGGGACTATGCACTAAATGGAATCATGTTTTCTTCTGCCTCCATAGCTCCTGTCTTGTTTAACAGAAGCCTCAGTTGGTGCAGCAGTCCTTCAGCATGTCAATTCCATAGTGCCTTACTTCTTGTCCTTTCCAAAGCAGTGCCGTGCGCTTCTCAAGGTAAGGTGATGTCCTCCATGTCATTTGGATCCAAGTTACTTCCTTAACCCCTTCTGATGAGCCTTTTGTGGGATTTGGGCTGTATCCTGTGACACCTCAGTTGTTTGTACTCCTCTTCCCTTGCTTTTCTTTTGGTTCTGGAGAGGATTCCTGCTTCTTTTGTGTCACCTTTTCTAGGTGTCATGAAGTGCTGTCACACTGAGGTGAGTGGGCATGTAGCTCTGCATGTATAGCTACTACTAATCCCTATGCCAAGTGACACGGAGGTGTTCAGGGGAAGCTGTCTGCTTCCTCAGTGCAGATGGAGTAATTGCTGCCTGTGTGCTGAGTGTCTGTGATACTATTTCCCTCTCCAGAGCTGGGGGTGGAATGTATTTGCAGCAACTTAGTCACAACTGCTGAGCACTTAAGAAAAACAAAGGGGGTGTGGAAGAGGGCACCGGGGTAGCATTTAAATGGAAAGCTTCAACACAGCATTTAAATGAGGCTGGGAACCCTTTGATGATAAAGATGACTGCTATACAGTGATGGGAGGCTGGTACACCTCATATCTGAAGGTGTAGCAGTCTGCTCACTGCTACAATAGGGAGTTGAGTAGGCTTTTTCAGCCCTGTGCTTGGAATCTTTCTGATTTCCTGTAGAGTTCATCACTATAGATCACTAGTTTTTGAGGCACCAGCCATCCCTGTGGTCCTGCTGTTGCAGATACTTCCTGACAGGGCCTGACACATCCAAGTCAATCTATGCTCTGAACAGGTAAATGCAGGCAGGCTTGGGAAGAACCAAATCTATTCACTTGCTTCTCAAGAAGTTAAGAGGAGAGACCAATATACAGTTGCTTTATGCAGTGCAGAGGTGTGTAAAACTGATTAATGAGTGTACATGTCAGTGTGGGGCTGTCTGTTGGCCCGGACCTCTACATAAACTAACCCTTCTGCAGCTGGTGTGGGTGTTTTTATACTGCACTGGGTGCTCATCATCATGCCTGTACCTGTGACTAAGGATATGGCTCATCAGAAGTGCTGCCTTATGCAGGTCCTGTCTCTGGCTCCAAACCCTGTTATTCTGTTGCTTGAATTAATATAGTGAAGGCCTAGGGAACTGGAATTAAGTCAGAACTATCACGAGGAGATGTATCTTGGGAATTGCAGCCTATTTGCCTAGAAGGAAATAGCATTGATAAATTCAGGACTCAAACCCTGGTGTCCCCTCTCCAGAGACAAATACATTTTTAATAGCATTCGTTGAGGAGCTGGAATTTGGTGCTCATGGTAACTGTAGTATTCTGCAGAATGCAGGGTAAGACCTCCAAATCACTCTTTTAGTTGGGCTGGAAGATGTATTGCACAAATGTGTAATGCAGTGTGGTATTGCTGTCTTGGGGATGGTGAGGAAGATTAGGAAAGCCCAGGAGATCAGCACATGCACAGGCTGGTGGTGCCTGTGCTCAGCAGCTCAGCTGTGTATTTAGGTCCCTGAATAAGAGTGCATCTGTTTTTGACATGCTAGTTTTGGACAGTTTCCTTTATTGCTTATGGAAATGTCAACCTTGCCTTTTGTGTGCTCTCACAGCTAGAGTGTGAGGACAGAATGGCTGCCAGTGCTGTGGCTGATGCTGTGACAACACAGCCTGCCATCTTTGTGTCATCTTCCTCCTCACTTGCTTCCATGGTGTGAAGGAGGGAAGCTCAGGCCTGTCCGTAACAAGAAGGGGCTTTATCTCTTCACTTACCTGTGTCTTTTTATGTTCTGTTCCAGCAAGCAATTAGTTTGTGGAGCACAGGGGAGGAAACAGTGAGAGTCCTGGCCTTCCTTGTGCTGAACAAGGTCTGCCGCTACAAGAAAGAGCTGTACCTGAGTCCCTTGCTCAAGGTAAGGCTGGTACTTCCTGTACTCTGCAGCTTTTCTTTGTCATGTTACGTGCAGTGACCTTAGAGCAGCCTGTTGGGTAGGGCAGGTGCTGGGGATGATGCTGGCTACCTCCAGAAAATCAAACAGGGAAGAACAGAGAGATATCCTGCTTCCTACTACTGTCCTTCCTGCTGGAGGCATTCAGAGTCATAGCAGGGAAGGTTGCTGGTACTCATCTATCTACTGGATAAATATCTTCAGACTTGAGGGCTTTCCTCAAGTGTTCGCACACTACTTGGTGCTACTGAGCTTCTCTGATCTTTCAGCTAACAGCTGAGGTTGCCAGGTGTAGTTTGCTTAGATACCACTGTTAGAGAAAGAGGACTGTGACCAACCTTACACATGTATGACTCAAAGCCATCCTACAGTTGTTCCAGAGAAAGAATGGTATGGGCAGCTCCAAGCTCTGAAGAAGCAGCAGGCTGGATTATTATTTCCCCATATTCCTTTGAAATGACTTGTAAAAGGAACAGTTCACCCCTGATTTGGACATACCTGGGTGGGAAATGCTAGTGAAAGAACGGTTTTGTTCTCTTTTATATGGTTGTAATCTTGTCCTCCTTTCTGCGCAGCAAATGTACATTGCCTTTGTGAAGAATTCCAGATTCACCTCTCCCAATGTCCTGCCCATGATCAACTTCATGCAGCGCACACTGACAGAGATGTATGCCCTGGACACACACACCTCTTACCAGCATGCCTTCATCTATATCCGTCAGCTCGCCATTCACCTGCGCAGTGCAATGACCATAAAGAAGAAGGTGGGTACACATCAGTGTGGAAGGAATGTATCCCCCTATGCTAGGGACTGGGAGCTTCAGAGATCACCCTGTAGTCTGTGTTATTTCAGCAGGGATGGAGAGCAAAGGTACCTGCAGGGTGAGAGTCACTTTTCCCTCCCTAGTTTATAAGAGTTTATGGTGCACTTCCCATCTTCTGCCTTGGGTACTCTTTTTCCACTCTGAAGCTGCTGTTTACAGCCTGTGTCACAAAACCTCAAGGTAAAGAAGATTAGGAACCACCCTGGTGCGTGCATCTTCGTAGTGAAGTCCGTACTATTTAAAGGACTTAATTGAACAAAGCAGCTCAGACCTTTTGGGAGCAGCCCTGATTTCAGCCACCTCCAGTCTGACCTTGGAAATCTGAGTGGGATTGCTAATCCTGGCTTTATTCATGTTTAGCAAAACAGACCCCTATGGATTAATTGTTCAGCTGCTCCCAAACATGGCAGGACTGGTGACCACTTAAATCTCCTGGCTATTCAGACATGGGGATAAATGAGCAGACATAAATGAAGTCTGGGCTGCATATGCCCTAATTGGATTGCATTGGCTTCTTACACCCTGAATTCTGGCCCAGACAAGAACTAAATCCAGTGGATTTCACAGCTGGGGTGGGTTGTAGGAACTTGAGATGACAACTGCACAAATCCCAGCAATAAGCCAATTTAAACTGAGCAGTAGGTGGCTGTGGGGAGTGATTACAAGAGCAGATTGTACCTTTAGTCTATGCAGGAGAAGCTGGGAACAGAGCTTCTTGGTACATCTCAGTGACCTGGTGAGAGCTGTGAGTGCTCTACCATCTGCAGCTGCTACATAACCAAAGGAGTTTGAGTGCAGAGAGGGGAAGTACCGATGAATTCAGATGAGTTTCTTGCTGGCTTGAACCTGTACTCTGGCATTACACACCCTTTTTCTGCCCTCTCTGGTCTGCAGAGGCCAGAAGACAATTTACAAGGGTGTGTTTGAGGTTCCAGCCTTCCTACCTGTGGGAGACCAGGGACTGTGGGTAAATGGAACAGTTAAAGTTTTCCTTATGCTTGGCCACATCCCACCAGCTGCTGTGAGCTGGGTTATTAAATCACTCTTCTCAAATGGGCCATACTTGTAAAGAAAAGCAGCGTGTGTGTTGCTCATTACTTCCTTCAGAGCACTAACTAGAACCAAACCATAATGCTGCCAGTGCAGCATCCAGACTTGCTGGTGGATGGTGGCTCAGCCACTAGCATCAAAGACAGTTAAAATGTTAGTTACTCCTCTCAACAGTGTCCTCTTGGAGAATGCTGGATAGAATGAGACCCCAGAGAAACCAGTGAGTTTCTCTCCAATGCCACATCTTTAAGTCTGTGCCTGTGTTCTTGCCTTTCCTGCAGGAGAACTTCCAGTCTGTCTATAACTGGCAGTATATCCACTGCCTGTACTTCTGGTGCCGGGTTCTGAGCACGATCTACCCCAGTGAGGTCATGGAGCCATTGATCTATCCTTTGACACAGGTCATCATTGGCTGCATAAAGTAAGTAGGAGTTTTGTCTTTTGGCTAACAGTTCTCTCTCTTGCTCTTGGGGTAGCAGAGCAGTTGCTAAGGTAGCAGAGCAGTTGTTACTGTTTCATGATCTGGATTTAACCTTGCATTGTAAGGAATTGAGAGCTGTTTCTGAAGTGTTCCAGCTGAAGATGTGTTGTGAACATATATCTGTTCAGGTGGTGAGGAAGTTGTGGTGTAGGTTACTCTTTCCTAGGCTAAATTCTCTGTCTAATAGAAGTTGCACAGCCTGGACAGATTATCCTTCCAGTTGTACACAGTGACAAAGAGAATGTCCTGACTTGCCTCAGAACCCAACAGTGGCAAAGAAAGAATCAGGTCCTCATCTCTGACTCTGTAAATGCAGTTAGATGTATTCTTTTGTGCCTGTTTGTTAGAATTTGAAGAACAAGGACAAGTTTGTTGTTTTTAATGTCTCTGCTGAGAATTAGTCTCTTTTCCCATCAGTTTATATATAAATTCATATGCTTTGAAATGGCATTGAGGGAATTTCTGCATCTCTGGTGATCTCTGAAATCCTGTTAGCTCTGTTAACCAGATTCTCAGCTTTAAAACACTACCCCCAGCCTTGAAAACCTCCCAGTGGTGCTGAGGATAAGCAGATTTAAATGATCTTTAGAGTATGCTTATATCCCTTTTCTCTTCCCCCATGTGCTCAGGCTGCTTCCCACTCCTCTTGTAGAGCTTTAGTTGTCTTGCAGACAAACCTAGGCAGTTTTCCACCTGCCCAGGCAGGTAAATCAGCTATGTGGGGCCAAGGGAGGTGAATTGGATGAATCTTAGCAAGTAGAATAGTTTAGTATCTGTGATGGGCAGGGCTGAAGGACGGTTACTGTTTGACAAGGCTTGGAAGATCTGGGAACCCAACAGATGGGTTCTAGGATTGGGAAAATAGAAATAGATCCCACTCTGGCTTCCTTACTGAGCTAAGCCAATGTCCAGGATATAAAAAGGGTGGCTCCTTCCTGAACACAGGCAACTCTTCTCAGTGCTGTCCCAATTGGGAGTAGCAAGTGTATCTCTGTGTCCCATCCCCTGATGTGGATAGTTCTGTAGCAGCTGAGTGGGGTGGAAGAACTTGGGTTGTTTCTGTTCGAGGTGAGAGGATACAGTAATCTAACCTGCAGATCAAGGTATTTCCTCTTCATGGGCCACTTTGTGTGTTTCTGGAAGGTCCATTTAAGGGGTGCATCTGCTTGAGGGCTGCTTTGTATCTGGCTGCTGCCAGCAGCTTTCCTAGTGGAGATGGCTTCAGTGACCCCTCCCTTTGTGTTTCTGGGCTGCTGAGCCTTGAGGATGCTGTGTAACATCTGGAATAGCTTCTTTCACATCTGCCCCTGATGTGTAGTGCTCTGGGTACATCCCAAGGGTGATGGTGTTGGGAGACTCTGCTTCCCCAGTGCCTGTTGTACCGGGAGGGGGCGCCTGGCTCCAGCACAAGGGCTGAGCAGGGTGTCTGTCCGTGGGACTGATCAGCTCTTGGCCTCTTATGGGAGTGGAATGGGACAAACCCACCATCCATCACAGGCTTTTTGCTCTAGGCAGGAACCAGGGCAGAACTTGAAGTGATTTAAGAAGTTAACTAGTAGAAGGCTGCCTGCTAAAATCAGAACTTAGCTCCCTCATTTTCCTGCTCCTTCTTGCTTCCAAGCATCTAAAATGCATTTAAACTACTTTCAGTAATACATACTTCTGAAATAGACCCCATATGTGTCTGGAAGTTACCTGTGCTCAGGATGTGCTCCAGGGAAGTTGGATAACTGGACAAAGAATTGCTGGAATTAATGGTGTCTGACTTTTGGGATGCTGGGAAGGGCCTCATTGCAGAGTTTGCTCATGGAATTGTCATGCAGTAATGAGTGATGCTGAAGGATTGCAGTTAGTTTGACCCATGGGGGGTGGTGTAGCTATTGCAGAGATCACAGAACATGGATATTTTCCCTTCCTTGCTTTGCTTTGGGTTTTTCTGTCTCCATGTTCTGTAAGTCCATCCTTTAGATCTATGTGCTTGCATTTGAATTGGTAGTTGGGGTGTCTTTGCAGAGGAGTTGTCATAGAAGCTCCTGTTCTGATACCCCTTTTCCCCTCATTGTATAAAGTGGTTTTCTGACCATGTCTATGTGGATTTCTACCTTGCTCCCAGTCTGAGCTATAGAAATGAAGTTCCTCCCTGCCTTACAGTTAAATGAGGATTTTTGGTGCCTGTTAAGAGTTATTTTCCAGCCTCTCAGCACATGGAGAAGCAAACACAACCTTGGTGTCCCTGAGCAGCTTCTCTTGGTGACCTGTCCTGGTGGGGGGGAGACTGATGTTGAAAGGAGCTTCTTCTGTCCTCTCTAGCCAGAGGAAGGCTATGGTCACCCAGAAGTGTAAAAGGAGGAGGTGTAGCAAGTAAATAGAAGCTTGGAGAAGCCTTTAGGCTGTTTTCTGCACCACGGCCCATGTTCTGGGAGGCGTACAGCAGGCATTCCAAGAGGCAGTGATGGTGAGGCATTAGAAAGAACTCTGTACTGAGATGGGATGTGAGTCAGTTTGAGCCTGCCCTGTGGAGTGAGTGGGCAGTTGGACCTTCCCCAGCAGAGCTGGGGCCCAGCTGTGTTTTGTATTCTCTGTGCATCCAGCTATTGGGAAGCGGGACAGATTGTTGCATCCCTGCGTGCACTAAAATTAATGGCCTTGGTTTACAGTAAATCCATACTCTTAACAGGTTTATTCCTCGATCAATTAATTCCTGGGAATGGCTTTCGTCATCTCCACTGGTGTCAGAGCAGGGGTGCAGAGCAGATTTATTCCTGTAATGGATCCAATGATAATTATTTCACTATTTGGAGTTGGGGAGATGTAGGTGATTTATGATGCCTGCTCAAGCATCCTCTCTTTGCCCTCTTGGCTGGCTCTGCAGGCCATTCATTGGTCAGACTTGAGTCTCTTGGAACTGTGGGGTTTGGGTTGTTTGAAATAGTCCTGGTTAATGCTGGAGCCATCCATGTTTTCAGGTATGGGTCATTCAGAGTGAGAGGTTTCCAGAGGGATACAGGAATGAGGTCTGTGTCTTGTGGCTGATGTGGTGCTGGGGGAGCTGACCCTTCCTGCACCCAACCTTACAAATGGAGTTGGCTCTACTTCTCTCAATACCTGAGTGCATAAGCATTTGAAGTGGGGGTCAAAGGAAGTCTGGTCTCTTCCCCTCCATGCTCATTACTGGCTGTTCAAATGTACATCTTGCTGCTCTGAAGGAGATGGGAATAGCTCTGGATTGGAGAGTTGAAGAGATGCGGCTGTGAGAGGTCACTCTCATTCCCATTCTGTCCTTTGATATGCTGGTTTTGCTAGTCCAGCATCAGCCTCGGCAACATTCCACACTAAGGGGTATGTTCAGGTCACAGCATGAACACTGGGTACACAGAGGGTACAGAGCCTGAAATGGGAAGCATATTCCTCTTTCTAGTCTCTCTGGTGTGCTGGGGGAGCCCTTTTCTTAGTTAAACTTGTTGGTTTAGATTGCCATTTTACTGCTGGTTCCTACCACTTTTATTGCTGGGAACATGAGAGCTGCAAGTGTTGAGCAGCATCAGTGACAAACTTCATCTGCAAAGCTCTTGTAGCACTTTCTCCCAGCAGAAGCTGGAAACTTGGTGCTGTGGTTGCGGGAATGCGTGTTAGTGTTATAGCTTGGATGTGTGAATCCTATTTCTAACTGAGCTTCAGCAGCTCAGATTGCTGTGCAGTACTAAAGCTGTCTGTCTCTTGGAGAGTAGGAAAAGCTCTCAAGTGTCATTGAAGGCTGCAGGTGTAAACTTGCCCTAATGTCTATCTCTTTCCCTCTAGGCTGGTACCAACATCTCGATTCTACCCCCTGCGCATGCACTGCATCCGTGCACTTACATTATTGTCCGAGAACACCAGGACCTTCATCCCAGTGTTGCCATTTATCCTGGAGGTTAGTTGCTTCCTGCAGACCTAATAGCAGCTGATACCTGCTACCTGATCAACACATTCATTCACTGTACCTACCAACACCTCCCAACGTTGCCCAAGTTGCTCACTTCCCTTTCAGATAGCATTAGACAAGGATGTATTGTTTGGTTAGCAAATAGATTTAAGCCTTTATTGGCCTGTCAGCAGAGAGTATCTAAAATCAGGTGGGTCCAAAAATGCATTCTAAGGTGGTTTAATGCAGCTTAGTAGGCAGTGGGTTTGCCAGAGAGGATCAGAGGCTCAACTGGTTGCAGTAAATCCCCAGTTACTTACTTGATGCTGCTAGTGTTTTCATATCTTAGCAAGAAGAAGGGTTTCTACCTGCAGACAAAGGGAAAAGAAAGGAATCCACAAGGGTCTTTGTGACTTTGCTGCCATGAGAAGGTGGTGCAGAAGTGGTGCAGCCACATTTCACTGAAGAGGCATGAACAAGGCAGGGTGAGGGATGCAGAAGCCCCAGTAGGTTGGCATGAGGCTGGACACTGAAGAGGGAGACTTCTATAATAAATGACCTGAGTCAGCCAAGCTCATTCCTAATCAAGTTCTGTTGAAGCAAAAGGCTTTTGTGGTTTCGTGTTGTTGTAAACGTCCTTTGCAAACCACATCCTCTGAGCCTATGGAAGGCAGTGGTGTTTATAAATCTCCTGCTCTCCTGCCTCCTCTGCTGCTCCTTGGCCATGCCCCATGTGGCTTTGCCATTCGCCTGCTTCCTTCCTCTCCTTCATGCATGTTTGACATCCCGCCAGCTGGATTTAGTGATAGCAGCATCTCCCCTCTGGGGCAGTGGAGCTGCAAGCGAGGATGCTCTTTGCTCTTCAGTGCTCTGAGAGATAAAACCAGCTCTTTTTCCCCTCGGGGCCTTCCCCCTGCTCTTTGCCTTCTGGCCCCAACACCTCTGCTCTAATCTGTGTGTCAGGCCCCAGCCAGACGTTACCACACTGCACACTGAGCTTCCTCCCTGCTTCCACATCCCGACCACATCCGATCCTGCTGTGTGAGGCACTGCTCAGTTTAGCTTGTCCAGGTGCTGGTGACAAGGGAGAGATGGGGGCAGGGTAAATGTGTGCATATGTGTTGTGTGCATGCTCTTTCACATTGCTTTATCAGTTGTTTTGCTTCAGTCTCTATAACCTAAAAGGAATGGGATGATGTTCAACTCAAACCTCCCTGCCACTGTCAGCTTTTCCCTTCTTCCTGCCTATTTCCTGCAAAGGATCCCTCTAACATTCTGTGGAGTTACCAGGAGCATTCAGGGCTATTCCCTTTGCACTTTCATCTCTTCCCAATTCTTTCTTTTCTGTTGCAATGGTATCTGAGCCCTCTTACAACCCTTAGTGTGTCTCCGTAAGCTGTCTCCAGGCAGATGTATTCCAGCTGTGTGGATGAGGTGGTAGGAAGCTTTAGCACACAAAGGTGAAGTGACCTTCCCAAAGTCCCAGGGTGGCTGTGGTGATGCTGGAAGGAGAATCTGCATCCTGATACCCAGCCACAGAGCTTTAACTGTGAGCCTCTTTCTACCAGCTTACAAATTTAGCAGTGACTTAGTCAATGGATATTTGTCCCATGCCACACCATCTCATGAAACAATCCATTTAGAGCCCATTATCCACATCATTTTGAGATCCAAGGATCTGATCAGTGTTTTGGTTCTAAGCGGAAGTAGACTTGAGGGACATGACTGGAGTCTGGGGAGCAGAATGAAACCTTCCAGCATAACATATGCTCTGTTTGATAGGAAGGAGGAAAGCTGCTCTGTCACTGTTGCAGTTGAATCCAAGTGCAGTAGAAGAATAGCTGTTGAGTTTGTGACCCTCTATTTTGTGCCCTTTTTAGAGAGGGCTTTACATGGCCTTAGAGTGTAGAGTCTTTATGCAAGTGACTGTAACTGTGTTTCCCTTCCCCCTTCCCACCAAGCAAACCCAAGCCTTGCTACCTCTTGTCTCAGCCCTGTGGCTGCTGTGCTTTCCAGAGACAGCAAATTGAATGTCTGTACAATTCCCATAGGCACAGGAATTCCCCAAGCCCCTGGCAATAGCAATAAGAGCAGCCTGCCTGATGCATCTTGACAGGGGCTGATGCTCCCCAGCACAGGCATCCAGGGCTGTGTCCCCTCTGACTCTGCTTTCCAGGGTGGAGTAGAAGCAGCTAAAATTGCATCTTAGGAGGAGGTGGCTTGGGAGAGGGTGTGAAGCAGGCTTTGTTCTTGCACTGTTACTACCCTGTGTGATCCCAGGCTCTGCTTTTCCCCATCACTTCAGTTCCTGTGTGACAGACAGTAGTTGCTGCAGCAGGAAGATTGGTGGCTCATCTGTTATAAGGTGGATAAAGAAGGTGGAAATCTCCTCTCAGGCACGCTTCACGTGCCAATTTAAAGCTGGCTTCACTGGGGAGGGACGGGGAGAGCAGGTTAACCCTGACATGCTTAGGGAGGCAGGAGTGTTTCACTTTGACACTTGAATGGCTTGGGTCATGCAGTTTGCTCCGAAGTCCTCAGGGGCTTGGAGTGCAACATCCAGTGGGTTGTGTCAGAGGGGCTGGTGTAAAGGTTGCACTTGGAGAACTGATAATGCTGGAGCTTGTCCTACATTTAGCACAGATCTGTGTTTTCTACAAGACATGGGCTCTTTGCTCCCTTTTAAAAGGGAGGCAGACCTGGAAGCTGAGACAAAGCAAGCTCAGCCACTGCTCCAGCTTGAAAATACATCTTTCCTTTCCCTCATTCTTGTCCCTCCACTGTTACTTTGCAGCTCTTAAATTCTGGATTACAGCCCTGCAGGTACCAGGGGTTGTTTGAGTGAAATCATGCCTGACCAAGCTAATAGACTTCAGTGAAGAGATGATGGGCTCAGTGGATGAGGGGAGAGCAGTGGATGTTGTTTATCTCCTCTTTATCAAGGCTTTGGATACCATCTCCCATAGCTTCCTCACAGACAAGCTGATGAATTGCAGGCTAGATAAGCAAGCTCTAAGGTGTATTGACAGGCAGCTGATCTTCCAAGGCTTATGCTGTAATCAGGGGCATGAAATCTAGCTAGAGGCTAGTGATGTACACTGGAAATGGATACCGGGGCTGATAGTGGTTATCATATTCACTGATGGTTCAAATGGTGGGGCAGAGTGGCACCATCAGCAACCTTGCACATGATACAAAGCTGAGAGGAGGCTGTGTTAGAGCTTTGCCAGCAGTTTGATTGTGGTCTTTCCCCTCTGCTGAGCATTAGTGAGCCCACAGCTGGAGTGTTTTGTCCAGTTCAAGGGGTGAGAAATATGGACATATGGGAGTGAGTCTAATAAAGAGCCACAGAGATGGAGGGAATGGAGCATCCTTTCATGTGAGGAAAAGGCTGCAAGAGCTGGGACTGTTCAGCCTCAAGAAGATGAAGATCAGGGATAAAAGTACCTGAGCACTGGCACTGGCTGTCCAAGGAGGTTGTGGAGTCTCCATCCTTGGGGATGCTCAGACAATCTGGACACGGAGCAGGGCACAAGATGACTTCCAGAGCTCTCTTTCAACCTCATTCATTCTGTGAATAAAGAGATTTGAAGCCAGATTTCTCTCAATGGCAGTTAGTGCTGAGAGGCAGTAAGCAGAAACTGAAATACAGGAGGTCCCACTTAAGCACTGGGGGGGGAACAACCCCAAAACCCACCACATCCCAACCCTTCCCCCCAAAACCACCAACAGTTTTATAGGTTGAGACTAGAATAGGCTGCATAAATGAGTGTCTCTCCTTGGAGATACTCAAGATATGAGTAGGAGGTTGATGCCAGGCCTCAGGGAGAGCTGCAGGCAGGCCCAGCAGAGCCCTGGATCCTGCTGTGAGCTGGCCTGGGGCAGCCAGCTTTGGGTTGATCAAAGGAGATGCCAGGAGGCTTTTGCTAGAGCCTGAGGGAAAGAGCTGAGGGTTGGATGGGGTGGAACAGTGCGAGTGCTGTGGGTGCAGAGTTGGGTCTCTAGTTTGCACTCTGCCAGTATAAACTGTATCTGAGCACCCTTCACACTAGCCATGTGGAAGTCATCTGTGAGCTTGAGCTTGCCAAAAAGCCTTCCCCTTCCTGCCTGTGTTGCCCTGTCCTTTCCTCTGTGGTTATCACTTCAGCCAAATTGTTGCCTTTTGCTATTTTCTGGCCCTCTAGTCCCTCATTACCACCTTTCCGCCCTGCTCCAGCATTCCTAGCCATCAGTCATCCTCTCCTGCATAGTCTGGAGATGGGGGAACCGCATTTTCCCCCTATCCCACACATCCTGACTGGAGCCTGGGAGAGTTTCAAACCCTCTGGTTGTGTTTCCCCCCTTGCCTAGAGGCATCCCCCAGGGCCTGATGCCTTTTACTTTAATGTGTCTGACCTTCAGGATCAATACTGCTGTTTTGGCCAAAGAAATAACCGTGCATAACAAGGTTTATAGCATCGATTCCCAGGCTTGGTGCTCTTTGTTTTCACAAGCCACCAGGTTTGGGCCCCCCCCCCCCCCACCTCCTTCCAAATAATCTGGATTGACAAATAAAATGTACTGAAATCAATAGTCGTCTCCATGCTTTTCTGCCCTGGGGGCACTGGGGTGAGCTCAGCACCCTCCCTTGCCTCCTTACCTCAGCCTCTAGCAATCAGTGTGCTGCATCCCCACCTTGCTGCGCTGCTTGGGGACTGATGATGAATGTCTTGGTGCTGCAGAGAGGGAAGGGAAATTATTTCGTGCTTAGGAGTGCAATTTACAAGCTTTAGGGACAGGGGTAGGGAAGCTTTGTGCTGCTTTTGGGGTGCTCCAAAGTATGTGCTCTTCAACAGCCTCCTCAATGGTTATCATACAATTACTAGCGAACATCTCCCCTGATTGCTGCTTGTTCCCTGATGGGTGTCTCTGGGAAGCTGCCCCAGATCAAGCTGGTTTTACTGCTCTTACAGTCTTTCTCCTGAGTTCTGCCTCTATCAGCATAGGAAAGAGCATCTTTTCTATCTTTTGCTCCTTCCTGTGTCGCAGCTTCAGAGGAAGAGCAGCACAACACACAAGGGTTATTGAGTTAATAGTACCCTGTTGCCTAGCCGGGGCAGAAGGACCAAAGCACATTGTGGCTTGAGCTGATTTCAGCTGAAGATCACTTCCTTGTGTGCCAGATGTAGCCTTGCAGGGAAATGAATGGAGATTCTCATTCATTCATGTTACTCCTTCATCAGTGAAGTTGGGAAACTCTTCCCAAAAAGGAGTAAGGAAAGGGCTTTCCTAGTTCTTAATCTCAATTCCAATTTCCTAAGGTTTAAGGCAATAATGGCTCTTCTTAATTAAAGCCAAGCTTAAGAGCCACACTCATATGTGACCTTCCTCTCTGTTTTCTTCTTTCTACTATGTCAGCTTCATACCTTCATATTCCTCTCCTCAGACATTATCATTAAGCTGTGGAAGAACACAAAAGCAAAGGTTCAGGTCTGCCTTTTGCCTAAGCATCCATCTGAACCCCAGAGCTTGTGTGTGCTCATCACTTAGACGAGCAGGGTGCATGGACTCCTCTCAAGCTCTGGGAAGGAGCCAGCATGTCCCTTGCTCTCAGATAGCCATGGGGAATAATGTGCACTAATTCAAAGGCTGTTGAGTTAGAATTGGTACAAAGGACACCAATGGGAAATGGGTTAGAATAAAAACCTTGCCTGGTGAGGGGTGTTCATAGAATAATAGAATGGTTTAGGTTGCAAAGGACCTTAAGATCATCCAGTGCCAACCCCCTGCTATGGGCATGAATAGGACTTCCTGGTTTCTGCTTCCTGGGACAGTTGTTTCAGTGACAATAAAAGGGTAATGAATTTGGTGTAAGCAACATTTAGTATTGCTTGGCCCTTAAGGGACAGCTCCAAAATGCACTCGGGCTTTGTAATATGATCTTTCTGCCCATGCAAAGCACGAGACTGAGGAACAAAGCTTGAGTTTCTTGTGCTGTTGCTTATATTGGTTTCCTCTAACTCCCATTTCTGGGCATCTTTCACACCCAGGTCTCTAAAGCTTCAAGTGTGGTTGGTGTTTGCTCCCCCCCTGTCCCTTGCAAAGGTATTTAAGCAAGCTGGGGGACAGTGATCAGAACAGACAAGCAGGAATCGGGGTTTGTGGGTTGGCTTCTCAGCTCTGCATGATCTTAGTTGAGTCATTTGGTATTTGCTTCGTGCTGGGATCATCTTTACACTCATTCTTTTCTGGTGTAGGTTTTCCAACAAGTGGATTTCAACAAGAAGCCAGGACGTATTAGTGTTAAGCCTATAAACTTTGCAGTGATCTTGAAGCTTTCCAATGCCAACCTGCAGGAGAAGGCCTATCGAGTAAGTGGAACCCCATCACACCTTCTCTAAGCAACAGGGTTGCCCTTTCTTTGTGTTCCTGTCCTTAAGCTGGAGACTCATTTCCCAAGGTTTAGTTCCTGTCTGATACCTCTGTTTCTCCTTCCCCTGCTCAGGATGGACTCATTGACCAGCTCTATGACCTGATGCTTGAGTATCTTCATTGCCAAGCCTACAGCATTGGATTCCCAGAGTTGGTTCTCCCTACTATCATTCAGGTAAGGTTTAAGACTCTTCTTGATCATGCTGTAAATGTGCACAAAGCAGGATAAAGCTGTTTAAGCTAACAGGGAACTCGGGGTGGTCCTCTTAAGGTGAGGGAAGAGCCATTTACCTTTTCTTAGTTACAGTTTTCTTTGTGTTTTGGGGAGGAACAAATCTCTAGAGGCATGACATCTGATTAGGAGGCTGAAGGTAGGTGACAGTGGAGTTGGTTGCTCCTTTGGAAGCCAGAGTGGAACAGAGAGGGCTGTGTAACTGCTGTAGAGATGTGGTTTTGACTCCTGAACGCAGATGAGTTCTTGGCTGTTGGAATTGTGTTGTCTCAGAGCAGTATCTGTGTTGTGATCCCATGCTTTTCCTCGCCTCACAGCCTCCCTCGTGCTCTCCACAAGATGGCAATCTTCCCTCCTTTCACAGTGCTTCCCTCAACTGGGGCACTTTCTCCCCAAGTCCCTCCCTACAAACCAGTACAGTTCTTGTCTCCCACCTAACAGTGGTGCCTGCAAAGTAGTCTCCTTCCCCTCTCCCCTGCCATTCCACAGTGCAGGATGTTCTTCCTAACCACGTCCTGTTTACATACTTCATTGTCTGCAGTCAAACTGCTGAAGAGTGCTGTGCAGCTGGGTGCATTGTGCATAATCCTTCCCTAATACCTTGCTAGCTGGGTTGGCTTCAGTTTTGAATGAGCAACGACCTCTCTGCTTTGAACAGTAAGGTTGCTTAGTGCAAACGTGTTGGAACTTGTTCCCTCCCTGCCTCTCAGCCCTATTTTTAACTCGTGAGTGGCACATGTCACACTGTTACATCCTCCATGGGGACATGAACCTCTGCTTTGGTGCCTGCACATCTTGCTGCTGTGGTGCCTCTGGTTGATGTGGTTGCAGTGTCTCAGTGGGGACCCACTTGGGTCTTGTTTCTGCTCCATGTCAGGCATCTGTCAGGCGCATGACTCTTGGCTGGGTCCCTGCAGCTTGGCACAGCCCATGCCGAGCTGGCAGCAGGGTGCTTTGGCTAATGTGAGCTGACAGGCACTCTCTGTGCTAGGGGAGCAGCTCCTGTGCTTGCTCTTTGCGTGCCTCTCCCGTATTGGCAGTGAACAAGGCCCTTTCCTCTCAGCCAGCAGCTGCTGAGAGCATCGGAGCTGTCGGAGCCGATGTTCTAGCTGGGATGAGAAACGGCTGACGGCCCTCTGGCACCCAGCACCCTGTGGCTTCCAAGCACACCCTGGGACCAGCCTCTGTTTCTGCAGAGAATTAATGCTATCACATTTCTAGTTGGCTGCCACTCACCGCAGCCTCGTGGCGTCTGCTGGGCTGGGGTGCTGAGGTTGGCTTCCCAAAATCTCCGAGTCTTCGGGAAAGCGTGTGTGTGTGGGGAAGGCTTTTCTCCTGGAAAGCTTCCAGTGAACTGTACAAATCCATCTGTCCTGGTTCTTCCTCCCCGATGAGCTCACGCTTCTCTCAGTGCCGTGTCGTAGGGGCTGTGTTCCAGCTGGCGAGGGGTTGAGTTCCTTGTCTTCTGGTCAGCGCCTTTGGGAGCAGCCAGGCTGAGCTGCCCTCAAACTGAGTTTTCAATCCTCCTTGCCTGGAAGGCAGGAAGCATCCCAGCACGTTAAAGGAAAGGAGAGGCAGAGCAGGAGACAGTTCAAAGGATGCTGTTCTGCCCAGCCGCTGGCATGACCCCATGGTGGTACTGCCTCCACAGGAGCTCAGAGTGCAGAGCCTCTGCGTCTGGATGCTTGGAAGAGACTGCCTCTTCCCTTCCCTCTTCTAGATCCCTGACAGGCATCACACAGGGAGGTTAAAGGGGAAACTAGGCAGGATGGGGGGGTGATGTTCTGCTGGGTGAAGGCAGGAGATGGCATGGCCAAGGCACAACCTGCAGCTCCAGAAGGGCAGGGGGTGCTGGTTTGCCTGGCCAGCAGCCATTCCTGCTGCTTGCACTCTGTCCCAGGTTGAATATTCCCTTTCCTTTTTGTGGGTGAGGGATTGGGCTTGATCTGGGTTCCCTGCAACACATGCCCAACCCTTTCAGATCATTTCTGGTTCCCTGCGTCGCTTACAGGAAGAGGAGCTGGGTTTTGCTGTGGTCTCTTGGGGTGTAAACCACTGGTGTTTAAGGCAGGCAGTTGGACAGCATCAGTCCCACAAATCACAGAGCTGCTTAGCTGGGAACCAGTGTGAGATATTAATGATATATATGCACACACACACGTGTTCTGATTGCTTTTATTTTGCAGAGATATGACTGTTGTGTTTGGCAGAGTGCAAAAGGACACACACAGAGTCCCTTTCTCTGCCTTTTACCTTCTTGGTTGTATTCCCTGCCTCAACACAGCACTGAGGTCTCATTATGTTTCATTACTATCTGTGGCAGACAGTGGTGGGACTGTGAGGGATTGCAGGGGTAGGAGAGAGGAGGAAAGGGGGGGGAAGAAGAAGAAATGAGGCATAGGGCTGTGAAAGCAACCACCCGACACCAAACTGCACAGATAGAGGCAGAGATTCTGCGGGATTTCTGGTGACACTTCTGCAGTGGAAGAGAAATGATAATGTATGTGGCAGCGGATGGGATGGATCTGGGGCTGCAGCTGGGGGGATCAAGTGAGATAAATGGAATGACAAATGCATCTCTCAGTGGACATAAATATGCAGCACCTATAAAAGAATGGTTTAGAAAGAGGGGGGTGAGGCTAGGACAGTCTTCACCAGCAGAATGATTTCTCTGTACTTGTTTGGTGGGCTGGATGCCTTGTGGAAAGGGGGAAGTGTTCCTTTTAACTCCCATTTTCCCCAGCTGGATGTACCATGGCAGCTTGGGTGTATGCTGGGGATAAAGGGGCAAGAGAAGTCTGTGCTGGTAGGTGATGGGGGACGTTCTCCATGTGTGTAGCAGACAGCAGAGCTGCAGCAGTATACCCATCAGGAGAGTGGTGTCCTGACAGAGAGGGGCTAGGTGTGACTGTCACCTCTTAATCAACATTTAATACCTACTAACATGTGAGATTAAGTAAGCATATAGGCTTGATGGAAAGGAGACATCATCTTCCTTCCTCCAGCTCTGTGTTTTGAGGCAGAACATAAGCCATAAGTAGAGAAGGCAGGACTATGCTTGCTGACTAGAAACCCTTCATCTCCATCATGATAGCATCTGCAGATCCCAGCTGAGATGAATGTTCCATTGTGGCTAACCATTATCTTTTGCCTTATTGGATCTCTTTCTCTAAATCAAGTGTCTGTGCATTGTATATTTGTGTGTGTATGTATGTATATATATGGCTCTAACAAAGAGCTTGGCCTGCAGAGTTTGGGCAGCACTCCAGAGGCTTGTCTTGCTGAAAACTGTTAGCAGACACTGTAGTAAACTGGAATTCAAGCCATGAGTCAATGTGGACATCCTCATCTCTCTTCCTGTCAGCAAGAGCTTCCACTGCTTCCTCAGCTTTTAGTTTGGAGGTGGCAGAACAGTGCAGTGGTGTTGGAGGCTGGTTTGTATTGGGAGGGGAAATCTTTAGCAGAGAGAAAAGAGGTTTGCTTGAGGACAACTGGGGTAAAAAGGAAACCAACACAAAAACATGCAATGAAGTGTCTTTGTGTGACAGTAGTGAAGTGCCTTGGATGCAGAGAGAGAGCAGGGCCACGTTCTCTGTGAGTAGGATGGTCCTTGCCCTTTCTGGCTGTAACAAGGTTTGTGTTTTCCTGGCAGAGTGGCTCTTGCCCTGAGGGTTTCATGTAAGGCCTAAAAGAAAGCATCCTGTAGGCACCTGCTGCCCAAGTTATCACAGAGAGGCTTATCTGGACACTGTTGTTTGATGGGGGTGTGGGTTTGCGCCCTAAAACATTCAGTGGTGCCAGTTGGAGCTGGGTTGGGACAGTCAGACATAAAGCAAACTTCACCTCATGTCACCCATCTGTCCTGACCCACAGCAGCAGCACCACATTTCCCTCTGTGCTGTGACAGAGACTCTTGCACCCAGTCCACAGGCACTTCCACCCCAGTTTGAAGTCTCTTCTCAAACTCTGCCTCCAGTCCCAGCATCAGTCTCATCCACAGCCTCTTGTATTTGGTATTCCCATTCCAACACTGACTGTGCTTCTCCTAGAAACCCTTTATCATGATAACATCTGCAAGTCCCAGCTGGGATGAAGGTTCCAGTTTCTTGTGCTTTTGGTCATCTATCATCCACATATCCACTGTTATTTCTTATCTGTGCATCTGGTCTACAGTCCCTCATTCTGTTTGGCTGAGCAGGAGACAGTGATACTGCAGCTGTGATGCCATCTAGGAGCAGAGGCCAAAGAGAGCTCAGGCTTTATTTCCTGCTGGCTGCTTGAATTCCACTGATAACTCTTTTCCAGAAAGAAGCAGAGTTACAGAGTGCAAAGAGCTGGCTTTGAGCTGGATTCTGTACAAACATCTGGCCTGTCACTGCATCCTCCCAGCCCAGGGTGGCAGGACCCCAGGGGTGATACACTGGGGTATGGTATGAAGCGAAGGGAAGAGGTGCCCCATGCTGTCACTGGGGGTGGGATCTCTTTATGGAAATGATTACATTGCTCTCATTCTTGCTCTCGTTTTCTTCCTCCCAGCTAAAATCCTTCCTGAAGGAGTGCAAGATTGCCAACTACTGCAAGCCTATCCGACAGCTCCTGGAGAAACTGCAGGAAAACTCTGCCTACATCTCCAGCAGGCGTCAGAAAGCTGCCTTTGGCGTGGCCAGCAAGGAGGCTGTGGTGAGCCTGCTCCTTCCATCTGGGCTTCCTGGAAAGACAGACAGGCTGCTGGGGTTGGGCCAGTGGCAGAGGGAGGGGGGACAATGGGATCATGGAAACGGGAGGGTGTGAGGTGGGGCAGATGTTCACAAACAACTGGACACAGCAGGGCTCTGATGCTGTAGCTGGCAAGAGCCTCATGGAAAAGAGTCCATAAATTGTGCCCTTCTATTATGTGCCTTCTGTTATTTATAACCCACAGACATGCATGGAAGCGCCTTGCTTTGCTGGGGCATCTTTGATGAGAAACTTCTTGGTTTGCATCATTTGTTCCTGTGTCAGTTTGTGCCTGAAGTGATGGGGGGATTCTGCTGCCTCTATATGAGTGGTGCTTACTCCTAGTCTGTAGAGACCAGACTCCAGCAGTGTAAAACCCAGCCATTGACAGGCTGGTATCTGGCAGTTTAGGATCCTGAGGCAAGCCTTTCCCCATTTTCCTGGGCCCTTGTGGAGACAGAGCTATAGAATCAGGGAAGTTATGAGCCGTAAGCACAGTCATCAAGCATCTTGCACTGCAGCTGCTTCTCAAGAGAGATCGTGGTGTATTCTTCTCTCTGCAGCCTAAGCATCCTGCCTGCAGAGCAAATGCTGAGCATATCTGACACCTAGAAAAGTTGCTTTGGATCTGGGTAGTTCTTAATGCCTGTGGAGTAGTTCAGTTAAACATTGGGATTCTACCTTAGTGAAGAGATGAAGAGGAGTTGCCTCTGGTGATGATGGAGGCCCCCCTCTTGTCTTAGGAAATGAACTGTAGCACAGCTAGAAAACAGTGTATTAGAGGGTGTGTTAGCTAATAGTTGGCCATCTGGCTTAACAGACTGAGAGATGCTGCCTTTCTCCTTGTTTTCCCTGCTCCAGGAGTTTGCCTGCTCTGAGCCAGGTCCTCCTGGGGACGATGTAGCATTTTATCAGCACATTCCTTTCAGTGTTCTTGTTGGAGCTTTTCCCTTTTGCCTTGCTCCATCCTTCTTGGCTGCCCCATCCCTGGCAGTGCTCAAGGCCAGCTTGGACTGGGCTTGGAGCAACCTGCTCTGGTGGAAGGTGTCCCTGCTCATGGCAGGGGGTTGGAACTGGATGAGCTTTAAGATCCCTTCCAACCCAAACCAGTCTGGGATTCTTTGGGGACCTCTTGACCTGACATAAACTCTGAGGTATTCGAAGTCCAGGCCCTATGTAAATGAAGCCAAAGGGAAGGAAGTGGTTTAATGAAGCTTTGTTTGTGTGTCCTTTGTATTGGACATTTCAGCTTTGCTGTTTATCCAGCACAGCAAGCCTGATAGTAGGTGAACTACTGAAAGGAAGTAGTGGGTTTGGCTTTCCTTTCCTGGCAGGATTGATGTGAAAACGTCTCTGTCTGCAAGGTGATCGATGGATCAGAGTAGTCTGTCCACGTGGTATCATTGAGAAGTCTTCAGTTCTGCATCATTGGAAAGCTCCACCTATTGGAATGGAGCTGGGCATGGAGCAGCACTTGCAGCACAGACTAATTTGTCCTCAGGCACTAAGATGCAGGGACTGCAGGAAAATTAGCCTTTAAAATCCTGGTATATCAATGCCAGGACCCAGCAGCACTCTTCTGGCATTAAGGGGTTGATGGACCTGGGTTGGAAGTGTCTGAGTGTCTAACTTGGTTCTGTAAATGCCATTCTGGGCTGGCCTGTTTTGCTGAAGGAATCACACTTCCCGTCTGGAGTTGAGCAGTGAGGCTCTTGTGGCTTTGTATTTGTTACAGGCAATGCTGTGACCACCCACCCGCTCTGCAGAGGCAGAGATTGCACCCTCTGGGACTCTCCATGAAGCAGATGAGCTGGGGAAGTCGTTGGCTGAATAAAACTGGATTTCCAACAACTCAGCCACTGTCTGCTCTTCCCAGCAGCTCTGGCTGCGGTCCCTTGTGTCAAACTAAGTGGTTCTTTTAACATCTTGCTGCCTGGAGGTCTCGAGTTGACACTGATGCACTTGCTTTCCCAGGGATGTCTGGGTGGCTGGGCAGCAGGGATCAGGCAGTTTTGGCTCTGAAAGGGTGGTAACAGGCAGGAGGATGGTTAAGGGAAGCAGGCACCAGTTCGCTAAGCCTGGTTGGAGATGGATGTTCTGCCCTTTAAGGAGACAGAGTAGCAATGTGAAGTGCTGCTCAGGAAGGATTGCCTGTGCAGTCTGTATTTTATATCAGTGGTGTTGTGCTGTGGGAGGAGGGAGCCTTTCTCTTCCTTCATTTAATGGGATATCAGTGCTCCTGAGTGCAAACAGCCCTCTCAGTACTTCCATGCAGTGGAAGAGCCATGGTGGCTTCTCTTTTGTGCCCCTATGTTTTCCCCTTAGACCTTTGCAAGCAGATGATGCAGAAGGGCCATAACTCCCACAGAGATTTGGCTTCCCAGAATGGTTTGGAGTGTCCCTCGAAGTCTGGGTTGAGTTTGCCAGCCTGTCTCCAGGATATGCGGGGCATTGGCACTTACCATCAGCAAACACTGCCAGGAAAGAGAAGGGAAAGAAGGGGGTGAAGGAAGGGGAGGTATTTGCGTGTCCCTCTTGCCAGCAAGAGCAATTGAAAGCAAATGCTTTCTGGTTTTCACATGCATGCATTTATGCCTGCTCCATTGTAATGGAGCTCCAAATTTGGAGCTAATTCTCCCATGCAGCGTGCTGAAATGTGGCTTTTGTGGAGGGAATGAGAGTATTGGGCATGCTTTAGATAGGTGGATTTTACCTAAGGGTCTATATATATAAAATAGATATAATTAATATATATATAATTGTAAAGACACAGCCTGAGGATTGAACTTAGTGCAGTGGAGGGGAGCATGATGGTGCAATGTTAACTTCACATGGAAGGATCCCTCAGTGCATCCCAGGGACCATGGTAAGGAGGGATAAGCACACCAAATGGGCTCAGCCTGCCTTCTTCCATGTCATTTTAAGGTTGAGAACTTCTCTTTTCTTTTCCCTGTAAGCAGCAGGTTAATATTTGTGTGTCAGTGCTTTTTGAGAGTACTGATAGATCACTGTAATAGTTAATGTGAGGGGAGCCAAAGCAAGCAGAACCTGCGGCTGAAGTGGAATCCAGATGCATAATGTGCAGCTGTGATTTTAGGGTTGCCTGCACTGGTGTGGGCCCTGGATTGGCAGGGAAGGAGAAGGAGCTGCAGCGTGTGCTGGGCTGTGTCACAGCTTTGCCCTGAGCTGGGGAGCCTTCATTTAAGAGCAGTGCAGGCCAGCGGACTGTGGCGCTTAATGAGCTGAGACGTGTAGGGAATGAGCTGATGGAAAGTATTGCCTTGTTTCCATGGGTTTTCCAGATCTTCTGAGTTCATCCCCATCTCACATGTCGGATGGGAGGGTTTTCTGGAGGGCGAGTGGTGATCTTTGGTACATGTACTGTGGGCTTTAGCTGTGCTGGGTGTTGCCTGATAGCACAGTGATGCAGAAGCAGTAATAGAAGGAGACTTAGAGATGGTTGAAATGGGTGGGATGGCATCCATTCTCTCATGAGGTGTTCTGAGTAGAAAAATGGGAGTGTTTTAATGGTCTTTTTTATCTCTGGGTTTCAGCTCCCTTTACAACCAAAAGAGCTGTATCAGACAGAACAAATAGACTTTTGCCCTCTGCAAGAAGAGCCTTTCTCAGAAGCTGTCCATCCCAAGCAGCATTAACAAATTGCCTGATTGCAGCTGGCAGCCTGATAGGAGCCTGATGTATAAATGGGGTGACTTTGTCCTCCTTGGGAATTGCTCCTCTTGCCACACAGCGGTGGGTCAGATTGACAGGAGAGCTCTGCTGTCTGCTGGCTGGCGTCTGGGCTCGCCAGTGCTGCTGGAGTCAGCAGTGCATCAGCTCTGCTCACAGGCAGCCTGCCTGGGGAGGAGACGCAGGCTCCAGACCCGGAGCTGGGATACAGGCAGTCCCATGGGACAGTCTGGGACCTGTGATTACCAGCAAGGGGCTGTTTGGCTCGATGAAGTATTGATAGCACCGGCTGTGGGATGCGTAAGTAGGTTCTGTGCTATTAAGAGTGCAGGTGACACAAGCTGCTCACTGTTTAATTGCCAAAGTTCAGCTCCTGGTGCCAGCTACAGAGACCACACATTATGTCTGCTTCCCTCCCAGTGATGGGCCAGAGCAGGAGCTGGCATAGAATGATGTATTTCACTCCACAGTATATACTAAGGCCTTGCTTGTTGGTGTAAGCTGGGAGCTCTGTGCTGCTATCCAAAGCTCTGTCTTATTCACACACTGCTTCTTCTCATGCCTTGGTTCACAGGCTGCAGCCAGCACACCACAGCTCCCTGATTTGGGGGCTCAGCACCCCAGAAACAGTTGATTTGAGTTCTGCTGCTGTGTTTTCTGCCCTGAAGATGGTCTGGCCTTTCATTCCCACCCTCAGACAGAAGCATTGTGTACCCACAGCTCTGGGTTTGTTCTTAGCTCTGGATCCAGGGTGCTCCTTTTGTATACCTTGTGTTGATCTTTGAGTGTATCTGTGCTAACCCTTGTTCCTATTGCTCCTTTGCCTGTTTCAGTTCCTACTTGTATGTCATGTCTGTGCTTCCATTTTTACTGTGGGGTGGTCAGAGCCTCTGGGCACTGTGGTAATCCAGTGAACAGGTACAGTTCTCTGTGGGTTTTAAGTTAAAGGGCTGTTGGCAGCTTAAGAAGAGTGCTTTTTAATATGACATAACCCCCCCTCTTCCCACACCAACATGCCAAATGCTTGAAGCATAAAGGAGTTCTTAACCATCTCATTTGCTTCCCACCTTCACACTGCTCACCTGCTTATTCTGCCTGCTTGGACAGCTGAAACAGGCTCAGCACTTCCTCATGCTTTGCCCTCCCAAGGTTGGGATGAGTCCATAGACCCTACAGGGGAATGTTTGTTTCAAGAAGAAGCACTTGGCTGGGACCTGATTCAGGATTCAGTTGAAGTCATTCCTTTTGCATTACAGGAGGCTTGATTTGACTTCTGTGTCAGTGTCTTCTCACCAGAGCTAGAGGAGAAGTGGATATTCAAGGCCAAGACAGCAGTACTGGGCACCAGAAGTCACTGAGCTGATTCTGAGAGGCCCTGTTGTCAGTTCACAGCAATTCTGAGAATCAGGCCTCTTCTAGAAGGGAGAAATAGGAATCTGGGATCCCGCATTCCAGGCCACCACGCTGGGAAAGTTTGGTGATAAGCTAAAACACTTTATGCACCACCATATAGATGCTCCCTTAGAACTTCCTTCGGTGCCGTTGGTATCCATTGGCTGCCCATTTCATCATCTGGCTTTCCTGGATTCCCATGAAGTGCCCAGGTGTTGCTTTTCCTAAGGACAGTTCCATAGGTGATTCACACTTAGTCCTTATCGCCATTCTTAGTCATGGTTGCCAATTTCCTACCCTAAAACTGGGAAACTGTGGTTTGGGAAAGGATCTTACCCTCTGCTCTTGAATCCCTGCATTTGCCAAATGTATTGGAAAACTGCTTTGAAAACCTTCCTTGTATTTGCCTCCTTCTTTCCCCAGGAACAATGGGAGAAGCAAGTCAAAGAGGAGGGGACACCTCTGAGCAAGTATTACACTCAGTGGAAGAAGCTGAGAGAGAAGGAGATACAACTGGAAATAAGTGGCAAAGAAAGGGTAAGGATGGATGGAATACCCAACTTACTGAACATCATCTGTGCTATGGGAAGACAAGAGAGCCATTCCTGGCAGCTGAAATGGGCTTGAGCTGCCTGAGTGCATAGGCTGGGCATTGTTAGACACAGCATGACTGGCTGGACAGCAGCCTAGCTGGTGCCTTCAGCTCCCTATGGATTTGTCTTGCTGGGATCTCTAGGGGTGTCCCCTGAATGTAGCCTGTTCATTTGCCCAGGTTAACAGAGGATAGGTGGGACAGAAAGGAGCAGCACTAGGGTAAGTTTCCCTCTGTGTTTAAGCTCATGCAGTTCAAGAGCCATTGGTACAGCAGCCTTTGTCATTCAAGGCTAGGAAGCTGAAGACAGTAGTGATAGAACAACTGTGTGCACTGGCAGGGGTAGGCTGGGTAACAGATTTGGTACTGTCTGAGCAATGAGGGCAATAAATAGCCCCAGGGGGTGGTACTTTGGGAACAAGCATGTGAAGTTTAGACTGTGGTACCCAGAGTTCCTGTTCATGTGTGCAGTCATGGGCCTTCTCACATTGCTTTGGGCACTTTGCATCATGTCTTGTGAAGCAGAGTGGGGCTTTAGCTCTTTTTCCAGCTCTGCAGAATGTGATCACCATGCTAGATCCTAACTGCAGGAAAGCAGGGAGGGGAAGATGCCAAGGGAATATCAGAGATGAGTTCTGTGTTTTCTTCTCTCCCCGCTGTGAGGTGGGAGTTGCTGTCTGGACATGGGCTGTTTCCCACATCTCCTGCCCAAGGGAAGGCTCCTCATGGCACTGTGCTCTGGGATGCTGGGGGAGGGAGCTTGCCTATGTTAGGAGTCTAAAGGAAAGCTGTCTGGATGCTAATGCAGTGCAAGTGGCTGAGCCGGGCTCTTGGCCAGGGAGCAGGAAATAAATGTAACTGGGGCCTCCAGTGTATGGTGGGGAACAATTAAAATAATCAATGGGCCATGAGGATGATTGGCTCTGGGAGAAGGGGAGCACCTGGGACAGCCTGGAAGGGCTGAGGGTTGTGGACCAGCCCGAGATAAGGCAGCAGCCATAGAGGGAACAAAAAGCACTCTGGTTTTCTGTGCAAAGCCAGCAGAATGTGGCCTTTGCAGAAGGGAAATTGAGGGGGGGACAACTATACACGACTAAGAAACAGCAAGAAGTGATGGGGAACTGCAGCTCCTTGGGGTGTCCGGGACCAGCTGAGGTGGTGATTTCCCCTTCAGGGGCTTTGCTTTCATATAGCAAGGCTCAAGAGGGTGACTTCTGAAACCAGAAGCCTGAAGGGCAGTGACAGGGCCTTGGTTTCTCATGGAGAAAGGGGGCTGAACAGATCAACTGCAGAGAGACAAGGCTGTGCAAGGCCTGTGGCTGCCTGGCATCTCTGCTTGGTGAATGGGGCTGTTGTCTCTCTCGGTGGGGACTGCTAGCTTAATGATGCAGCATTGTGAGCCCCAGCAGGAGAGTGAACACCATGAGGCCCATTAGGGCTGGGAAAATCCATGTCCCATTAGCAGCCATTCGGGGGGAAGAAAAAGTAATAACAGCAGAAATAGGCCTGGCTCTGAGCTGCTGGGAGCTGCAGCTTGCCTTCTGTAGCAGCACTGACCCTGCCTGCCCATTCCATTTGCTTTTCCCAATGGTTTCTAATGGGATGTAGGCTACTCAGCTTCATGAGACTCAGTAGATGGTAACCCTTAAGCTGGGGATTAAAAGGCTGGCCCCCAAATTAGCTGATTAGTGCTACAGGGTGATGAGCACAGGCTGTATCTGTGAGCTGGGCTCAGTACGAGTCTCATTCCTGTGCTTTATGATCCCTATAGCTAGAAGGGGTTTTGGTGCCTTTATTTCGAGGTGCCCATCTCAAAGGCATTTCTGTGGAGCCTCAGGAACTTGGAGGTAGCACAATTCAGCATGACTCAACACCAGGTCCTTTTTAATGTGCTCAGGTTGAGTTCCAGCAGTCCTGATGGCATCCAGAACTGTGAGCTGCTTTGGAAGTGGTGACAGTATGAAAATACAGGGGAGTCCCAACTCACAGCCTCTGCTCCCTGCTGTACGTGCCCTGTTTGTTGTCAGAACTGGGTTTCTGCTTCTGTCTGTGATGCTTTTAAGCTCAACTGTTTCCTCCTTAGGCAGAACTGGGCTCTGTTTAACTGCTGTAGGGTGATAGCTGCCAGGGCTCTGCAGGTAGCATGGCTCTGGCCATCGAAGAGGGCCCAAAGGTTCTGCCTGTGGCTGGGGTACTTAAAGTTCCATGCCAGAGCAAATGAGAGGAGAGCAGCATGAACCTGTCCGGTGCATTAGAACTGGTAGGGGCTAAGGAAAACGTTTTCACCCTGGAAGGTCCCTTGCTCCATGATGGAGCTTGCTGGAGCTATATAAACCACCCTAGGGAAGTGCATGGGTCCAGCTTAGGTCAGCTGAAGGCAGTGACTCTGGATTGCTCTTGCTCCATTTAGCTCCCCAGGCCTCTCCTCTGGCATGCACAGACTTGTTTGGAACAAGCTGCTTTCTTCATGCACCTCCCCAGCACACAGGTCTCGGGGGGGACAGTGGATGGAAAGGCATCTCAGAGTGGAAAAGAGCAAAGATTGCTTGGGGATTTGCTCCCTTTCCCCCTTCTCTGGCCAGCCTCTGACTTCCCATCCTGGTGCTGCAGGTTATTGCTTGTAAGTGCTCAGCTCCCCCAGTCAATATTGCCCAGCTGGGGACCATCGCTGTGAAACAGGCTGGGAGAAATTGCTGCAATCGGCTGCAGGAGCAATGAGCATCTCCTGGCTCCCGTTGTCTCTTCCCTCTATCCCTCTTCTGTCTTTCTTCCTCTCTGCTGAGGGACTGCTTTGTGAGCTATTCCTGCTGGGGGGGAAGCTCATGGGAGGGTTGGAGTGGATGTGGAGCGTGTTGAGGGGTGGTCTGATGGGTGGGAAGAGAACAAATGAGTTATTACTCACAGGGTGAGTGTTTCCAAGCAAGCTAATGTGTGCTGATGCCTGAGTGCTTCCCAGGAGCTGTGCAGCCAGGCACGGGCAGGGCAGCTGATGCTCACACAGCACTTGGGATTCAATTTGCATTCTGATTATCTTTGCCCTGCTGGCCTGAGCCCTTGCAAGTAAATCCTCCTCCTAATCCCCCTCCGGAGAGGTGTAAAGACACTGAGGTGGTGTCAATTGCAAGTACTTAATGGCATTGATACTGGCCTTGTTGCAGCAGCAAGGCTCTTGGCCCATTGATCTCCATAAGGGGTAGCCATGGTGTAGACACCTTCAGCACGTCTGGCTTCACTGTGCTTGGCTGCCCAAGCTCGCATGGATGCATGGCTTTGAGTCCAGAGATCTAGGACAGCTGGATCCATTGCTATAGGTACATCTATACCATTTTTATCCATGCTAAGGTATCAGCAGTAGATGGCCCATTAGCAAAAGTAGTTTATTAGGTAAAGATCAATAGAGCAGTGGTGCTTTGCGTGTTATCAGTCACCTTTGTAACAGACTCACAGAGCTGTGGCTCTCCTTGTTGGCAGTGGGCAGACCCAACTGTTCTTGGCAATGTGGCTTACCCATACTGGGCAAAGCCAAGTTCCTGCGTCTAAGCTCAGTGATTTAGGTTTAAAAGTAGAAATTAAGGGTGTTCTTACTGGTGGTTTTGGTTTTTTCCAGCTTGAAGACTTGAACTTCCCAGAAATCAAACGTAAGAAGCAAAATGAAAGCAAGGAGGAAGATAAGAAGGAATTCAAGGACCTCTTTGAGCTGGACAGTGATTCTGATGAGGAGAAAGATGGATTCCCTATAAAAGGTATGGGGCTGGGGCTGGGCATGCCTTCTCCTTGTGCAGAATTCTCTGTGATGTGAGTCAGTATGGCCTTGCCCTAATGGGTGCATGCTGGCCATGCTTGGTTCAAAAGATGCTCTGTTAGGGAGAAGAGAGCACAGGATGATGGTGCCTTTTGGAGGCATTTTAAAGTGACAAGAGGTGGTTGGGAGGTTTTTATCCATCTCTAGCTCTACTTTATCAATCCAGCTCTTTTTAAAGCCTTATTTCCTGCATTAACCTTTCCTATATGTGCCCCGTAGTCTCTCCTCCTCTTAGCACTTTATCACAGGCACTGACCTCAGCATCACAGCCCAAGAACTGGGGCATGCGTGGCTGAACACAGACCCTGCTTTCAGAGGCTTCAGATTAGCAGCCATAGGTTCATATCCTAATTCCCAAAGAGTGAGTTCTCCTCCTTGTCCAGGTTCTGGGCTGAAGTTTCACCTTGGAGAACATAAAAGTGAGTGGAGAAATCCATGTTTTGTTTCCTCACCTATGAAAGAGGAATAAGACCGTTCTAGCAGACAGCAGTCCTTGCTGTCTACATCAGTGCAAACAAGAGGTACCAGAGGGGCTGGCTACCAGAACAAGGATCTTTGATGGAGGAATGGTTATTCTCTCTTTCCATGCACTTCTGATTGGTGTGTGTGACAGTGACTGATGTTGCAGGTGTTCTTGAGAAGCCAAGGAAGGGTCTGTAGGGAGGATGGAGTGATGTCACTCTCTGGCTGTGACCACGAGAGGGCCACAGTAAATTGTGGAACCTGCCTGAGAAGCTGATGTGATCTGAAGCCAAACGTGGGTGTTCTGTTTGTGATGTGGGGTGTTTGGGCCATCACAGAACCAGGAGGGAGGAGAAGGTTGGGAAGGAAGCTCAAAGTTGGAGGTAGATGACCCAGCAAAGAACAGGGGGAGAGCAGAAGTGAGCACGTGGCTGTGGGATCAGTGTGGCATCAAAATGGGTTGCTGAGATAGATCCTTGAGATGTGGGGTTGTCCTGCCTGCCTTGTGAGTCAGTGCCTTAGAAGAACCAGTGGCCTCTATAAGGGCAGTGATGACTGCAGCTCAGAAGGCAGGATGCTGTGGTCCAGGGAAAGGCAGGGTCTCTTCCTGTGCCTCCCAGGAACTGACTTTATGTGCACTTGAGAGCCTTCTTGGACTGATGGGCTTCCAAATACCCATTGGGATCCTAATGGGGCATGTCTGTGATGAATATACACCCCCTACATGTGCTTGTGCTACCTGTCCATGAGGTTCTTTGGCAGCTTTAAGGGCCTGACATACATTGTGAAGAGAATCCAAGTGAGGACTTGTTCCATGTGATGCCAAAGGGCATCCCTGCTCCGTGTGTGCATCCCAGAGCTGTGGTACCTACTCACTGCGGCTGGGAACAGCACCTGTGTCCTGGGAGATGCATACAGTGAGCTCTTGTTCTTGCTCTGTGTGGGGTGTGAGACGTTCTCAGCCCTGCTCTGCATTCAGTAACTGTCAGGGCTGGCTGCAGATGGAAGTTGGAGAAGCCAATGCTGCAGTTTGCTCCTGAAAGGAATAGAGCTGTAAAGCAAGGAATAGAGCTGAGACTGCCCAGTGATGCTGACCTCCTTGACAGAAGAGACCTGTTCCAAGACGGGCTCATTGACTGCCTTGTACCTCAAAGACCTTTTCTTCCAGCAGAGCAGGCTTCTGATGAGGTGTTTCCAATCCCAAGCAGGGAGTGAATGAGGGGTTCCCTATTCTCAGTTTGCCACCACTCATTCCTGGGATCATCAGCAAGCAAGTGATGATCCTGTTGTTTTCCAGCAGCACTGGTGCACTTGGGCATTACCTTCCCTTCTCTTCTGAGCTTTCCCCCCCTTGCCTCTACCATCCTCATCCATGCTTTAGCAAGGAAAGGAGATGTGCTGCATCCCACCCCAGGGGAGGGTCACTGGTACGGTGGTGTTTGCAGCTCACACAGCCCTTGGTACCAGGGAGCTGCTCCCACATGGGACCACCAGCCCCTCTCTTCTTCCCCTGGGAACCAAGAGCAGCAGCATCCTCTTGGAACAGCATCCCTGGAGCAGGCAGAGAGGGGCTGCAGGGACTGCCCTGGAGCTGAATAGGGGATAGATTTCCCAAAGAATAGGAGAAACTGTGGGATGGGATGGGAACAGATTCACATGGGTTCCTATGGGGGGTACCATTGTGGTTGTGGATTCTCAGAGGGCAGGAGGCAGCCTGCACATCTCGGGCGAGGGCAGAACGAGGCGGGAGATGGGGAGGACAGAGCGTGGCTTTGATCCATCGCTGTGTCACTAATGGGGATGGGGAAGCTCATGCATTCCTCTCATTTACCAGCTGACAGATCCCTGTGAGGAGAGGCTCCTGGAGGTTATTGATGGCTCGGAATGAGGTGCTGGGCTGCCTCATCATGAGGCACTTAAAGGCGAGGAGGGAGCATGGCTGCAGCATCTCTCTGTGCCTGGCTGTAATGAGTGCTGTGTCCACATTAGGTGTTGCTGTGCCTCTAATGAACTTGAGCAGCTTGCTTCATTTATCCCTCATGTAATTATATTACAGCAACCTAATGCCAGGGCTGTGGAAGGAGAGGTCAGAAACTGTCATTTCCTAAGCAGAATAAGCATGGCCTTCCTTATAGTGGTAAAATCCCTGCTGTGGGCTGGCAGCTTGAGGATACAGGGGCAGAGCGAGGAGGGAAAGGGGAGATGCACAAAGGGCCCCAAACCCAATCCCTGCCCTCCTCTGACTACTCTCAGATGGATCTGTTGGTGCTGTTGCTGTTTGATGGATGATAAGGTGCCCCTCGGTGTTGCCTGAGCTGCTCAGGTGCTCATCAAGGTGATGTGGTGCAGTGATGTGCTCTGCAATCCATCTCCGCATGGATGCAGGTTTCCTCTCTCCATGACATGGAGCTTCTGGTCCCTCAGTGGCAGGGAGGCTGCATCCTGCCAGGGCTGATGGATGGGTGGGAATGCTGCAGCCACCTTATTGATGGCTCTGTATCCAGTTGAGTGAGTCACACAGCTCAGGTGCTGAGGAGGGAGGATGGGGCAAAGCCCAGATGCCATGGTGGGGCCCAGGAGTCAGTGTGAGGAAGATGTACGGACAGCTGGCAAGCAGCAGGGGTGAATAACCAGCTTCCTCAGCAGCTTTGAAGCAAGGGAGCGGGCCTGCAGCCCTGAGCTGGGCCTAGCTCAGGGAGAAGGCAAGGAGCAGCTGGTTCTGCTCCCTCTCTCTGTATTCTGCCCTTCTCCACTGCAGGGAGCTCAACAGGGGTAAAAGCAGTCTGGTTCCAGAGGCTCAGGGGCAGGGGATTCCTCCCAACGCTCCCTTGGCCCTGGTTATCCATCTCCATAGGGAACTTGCAGACGTATCTGTTCCTAGAGCTTTCTGTTCTCACTAGCAGAGGGAATAAAGCTTAAAGAGGTTTACAGTGATACCCTGGCCCAGCCCCCCGTTTCCAGTTACATGTAACTGTGAAGGTGGGGATACCAGCACTGTTCCTCAGTGGAACCAGCCCTCTGTGGTCTCAGCTTTGTGACTTACTCCTCCTTCTTTCCCATGTCTATTCAGCAGCCCATTTCTTCTCATTGTGCTCTCCCAGCTTTCACAGCTCTGAGCAGGGCAGGCTTGAGCGCTGCACCACTGGTGCTCCATAACAGCAGCAGACCCTGGGCTTGAGCAGTAAAACCCTGCCAGGTGCTTCTGAGGTGATGTCTCCAACTGGGTCCTGGCCTCCAGCACATGGAGCACATCCTTCTCTGGGCCTTAGTGCAGTGCTGTTGGAGACACAGGGTCTGTTTCCCCTTTAGCCTGGCTGTGCTCCGGAGGATGAGTGTTGGGATGGTAGAACACACGTACTTGATATCTGCTGCCTGTGTGCATGCTCATGTGCTGCTCCTCATCTCTCCACTCACATCACTTGCAGGTAAAGGCAAAGCCAAGCAGGCCTCAGATGACAGTTCAGAAGAGGGCAGCGAGGAGTATGGCGAGGATGATGATGATGAAGAAGGAAGGTATGAGATCGAGGAGGACGAGGAGGAACTGGACGACGACAGTGGCTCGGATGGTGAGTAGAGCAGTTGGGCAATGGGGAAGGGGCTCTTGTGCACCTTGGGGCTCCTCTACAAAGGAACCATCTCTTGTGTTCTGAGCTGCAGGGTGTCAGGAGGGACTCTTACACAGGCACAGCCTGGACAGGGAGAGCCGAGCTGATGCTGACAGCAAAAGGGTTAAGGTCTTTGCAGGCCTTGCTCCACCAACCCACCAGTCCCTTTCATCTCTTCTCAGGAGCCTCCTGCAGAGAGGCTCAAACAGGCTCCTGAAGTGCAGCCCCCCTGCCCCAGCAGGGCACTGGGCCTTGCTCCAAGGCTCTCTGCAGGTTACCCAGCTATGGGGGCAGAGGGTGCTGTGCACTCCTCATGTGAGCAGTGCCGGGGCTGTGGGTAACCCTTTCCTTGCTGCTTCTCAGCCGCTCCTCCCAGGATGGGACTCGTAGGAGACCCTGCCCAAGCGCTGCTGCACCTGGGGCTCCTCAGACCCCAAGAGCTCATCTCAGTCTCCCTTCTTTTCACCTGAAGTGATGTTTTCCCCTTACTAACCCTGATCAGTGCAGGTCAGTACCTGCTGCCCGGAGGTACTGGGCAGAGCAGTGGGCATCAAGGTAGGAGGTTTCCAGCTCCATGCTTCTTGCAGTTCTTGCAGCCCAGACCAACCAGCTAAATAGGTACTGAGGAGGCCACCAGCACCGTGTGGATGCCAAACCAGGCTTTGGTCCAGCTGAGGAGAGAGCATCCTCCCCTTCCAGCCCTTGCACAGCACCGCAGGCAGCCGGGAGCCTGCTCAGCACCCAGCAGAGCAGCTCAGGCTCTCCCCTGTCTGCCAAGCCCTGTGCTGAGCTGCAGACAGAACCAGGGCCTGCCAAGGGTGTTCCCTTGTGTGCTACTTCCCTCGCCCTTTGTGTTGCAGCAGCAGGGTCTGCTCCTCACAAGCCATGGGGTGCAGGACCCGCCACTAAAGCTGCTCTGTGCTGCCTTTCCCTACGAGTTTGGGGAGCAGGAAGGGGGAAGGAGGCCAAGCGAGAGCAGAGCGTGCCTGATTTAGCATGGCAGATGGCTGGGGCTTGGCACGCACGCCCAAGCCTCGGCGCCCAGAATAGATGGTGTTTGATGATGCTCTGACAGCGCCGGGAAGGAGCAAGGGGGAAAGTTTTCCCTCACTGCCTTTTGGAGTATTCAGGAGGAGAAGCACCAAGGAATGGTGCTTGGGGGGAGCAGGAGCTCTGAGCCTCCCTTCCTCCAGCCCTGATGCAGCTTCAGAGCCAGGTCCTGGGTGTCCTTGCTCCTGGGTACCCGGTGGAGCTGCAGTGATGCTCCAGCCCAGGTGCTCCTGGCCTGTGGCGCTTTTCCAGCCACCCATGGGGCTGGGATGGGGCAGATCCGCCCTTCCCAAGCCTCAGGCTGTGTGTGCTGAGTGTCTGTGTGCTGCTCATTCATACATGCAGCCTGGTCAGGCAGTGAGACAGCGAGGAGCTGGTGTCAGCTTCCCAGCCTGCAGCAGGGCCTGAGGGGAGAGCTCTGCCTGTGCTCCCACTGGAGGGAGAGGGAAGGGCACTGGGAATGGGGACTGTCCCCAGAAACCAGTTCTCACTCGTGCTCCCCGCTATTAAAGCACCATTTCAGAGAGGAGGGAGCATGGGGTTAGTTTTACATTGGGAGGCTCCTTCCCTGCAGCCCTTCATTCCCAGCCTGGAATCTCTAGTGAGGAAGACTGACCTGAGCCACGAGGGATGAAGGCCTGGAAGCACCCATGTTCCCCTTGCCTCAGGCATAGCAGTTATTCAGGTCTCCCATCACTCCCTGCAGAGCTCTCCTCCAGCTGAGAGCTGCAGCAGCACCAACAGGTTAATTAATGAGGGGCTGGGATTAATTAGCAGCCCATTGCAGTGCTCCCAGTGCACAGGATTGAGTCCTCCCTCTCCTTCCCCAGCAGAGGAAGGCGCCCGCGTTCCGCAGGGATCCCAGCCGAGGAGCCGCACGGGTGGGATGTCCCGAGCTGACCTGGAGCTGCTGGCGCAGGGAGACGAGGACCTTGTGGAGGACTTGGCCTTCTCTGACGATGACTGAGCCCCCTCCGAGCTGCTGGTACCGCAGCACCCATCCTGCAGCACCCACAGCCGGGTCCTGGAGCCATGGTGAGAGCTGGGGGGGCAGCCCTGGGTGCCACCAAGGACTCGGCAGAGGCGCTGCTTGGACTTCAGAGCTGTTTCCCACCCATCCTGGTTTGGGAACAGTGGGATCGTGCTCGCATCCAGGCCAGTGGGACTGCTGAGCATCAGTAATAAACAGCCCTCATGAAAAGCTGCTGCTTTCAGTAGCACAGGGCTCAGTTTCAGCTCCTGGAGCAGGAGCCAAGGGGAAGTTCTTTTGTCTGAGGGTCTTAAGATAGAGGAGGGGTGCAAAGATGGGAGGAAAGGGGGGGAAGAGGCAAACTAACACCATAGGAACCAGGCTTTCATTTTCTGATGGGTGTTGGACTTGCTTAGCACAGCCAAGCCCCAAATCTGACCCCATGCTTTGTACCACACCTGCTGTTAATGACCTAAAATCACCTTTGGAGCCAGTTCCAGCTGCTGCTGAACACGTTTGTTGTGGTCCTGCCATCAGCAGTGATTGACTGCAGGTGCCTTGGGCATCACTGCATCACCTGGGAAGCTTCTAGGTGCAGCTCATGCTGTCTTCCTGTTGGAGTGTGGTGCTTGTTGGGAGGCCATTGTGTAGCTCAAGGTGGGTAAAGGCAATAGGAACAGCATCTCTGTAGAGACCACTGTTACCTTACAGCTGTTCTACACTGAGTGCTGCTCCTCTCCTGCTTCCAGACATCATTACTGCACAGCTAACACTGCTGCAGTGTGATGGGGTGGGCTGTTGGCTTCACTTAGTGTGCTTTGGAGCTTAGAAGCTGGAATAGGGCTGGAGAGGGCTGCTTTTCCCAAGAGCAGTTACAGGAATCAGCAGCCATGCACCTAGATGCCCTCAGTCCTTTAAATGGGAGGAAGTAACCTCAGAAATGGGTAAGTTGTGTTTTATTATGCTCATCATCATTATTGTCATTGTTATTATCATTTATAGCCCACTTTGAGAGGAACAAAGCATCTGCTGCTTCATTAGCAGCCCTGGAGTGCTCAAGCCTGAGGTTCCCTATGGCTGGTAAAGGCTCTGTCACAAGGGAGCTGACTGCAAAGATGAGGCCCTAATGATAAGCAAATGCGTTGTAACTTACCTTTTAGTCCCAGAGAGGACGGAGTTGTTGTTCCTCCTCCCTCTGACTTAGTGGCAAGCTGAAGAACCAACGCTCAGGCTGGCTTTTAGGCCAGAAACGCTGCAGCCCCAACCCACAGAGAGGTAGCACCAGCAGCAGGGTAACACACAGTGAAAGAGAGGAGATTCTCAGGTAAGAAGCACATGCAAGGAGCTCGGGTACCGGTTGGAAATGAAGTGTTTCTCCTTTTTATTTAAACGGATTGCTGGGCAGCGTTTGTATGGGGATGTGATGGGCAATGGCTGGTTGGTTTTTACAATAGAAAGAAGCTAATGTACCACCAAGCAAAGTTTGGTAACAAAAGGAGGGCAGCACGTGCAACCTTGAAACAGAAAAGGGCAGGGGGAGCAGAGAGGAAAGTACCACGTGTGATTGTTGTTCACAACTGTACAAGTCACAGGAGGGCACCCCCAGGAGCTACCATCGCATTCACAGTAGTAAAAACTCCTTCTTACCCATTGGTTTTAGCCTGACCCCCCTCCCCTCCCAGCATCCCTCCCCTGCTCTGGGAACGCACAGGTACCTGTCTCATGGTCCACAGCAGGCCAGAATGTGCAACTGCATCCACCTCTGTAACAAGGCTTGTAAAGAGAACCAAAACAACCCCACAACAAAAGAAACCCCCACCCCAATGGAGAAATGAGTCTGTTGGACACGTGAGGGAGGCCGGGGTGCCCCTGCAGCCCACCAGAGCACATCGCTGGGCCTTCTCTTTACAAAGCATCCAAGGGGCAAACCCGAGCGGCTCTGCAGGGCTGGAGCATGGGCAGAGCCTGTTCTCTGCGTGCCAGGAGCGGGGGCAGCCCCCGGCCTGGGCCGTACCATCCACTCCGAAGTAAACATGGACCCGAACTTGCCTTTTAGGTCTTCTTTGTCTTTGTTTTTGGCTGTCTTTGGTATTGGTTCAAAGTTGCTGGAGATGCATAGACACCTGAATGAGGAACTGAGTCCAGTTTGCAGGGAGGAGGAGCCAGCTGGGAAGGTGGGTGCTGTCAGTTCTGGTGATGGGGTTTTCTGCTCAGGGATGCTGAGTACCATGGGGAGCAGCGGTCGCCTCTTCCCTTCCCGGTTTGGAGCCACCCCAGCCGTGGTTCTCTGAAGGCAAAGTGTTCATTCCCTGTCCCACGGCTCTGGGGAGCAGAAGGGGGGTGAAAGGGAACGGGGACGCTGCTGCAGGCTCTAGACCCACTCTCCCTTCACTCGCGTTGTCTCAGGACATCTTTGGATTGTTTCCTTCCTTCTCTGTTTTAGTCTCGGTTGGGTTTTCTCCACCCCAACCAAAAAGCAAATGCATCCAATGCAATGCAATGCAATGCAGTGCCCCCCCTCCCTTCCTCACCCCCGTGTTTCACACAGCTGAGGGAGGCTCTCGACCTTCACTTGGCTCCACCGGGAGCTGCCCCTCCAGTTAGGACGGAGGCTTCGTGGTGTCGGTGCCGAGCGCGGCCAGGACGCCGGGGGCTCCGTTCTCCTGCTTCGGGGACACGCGGCTGGCGGAGGGGAGGCCGCTGAAGGGGGAGGCCACGCTGCCCGTGGACGGCGGCCGCAGCTCCGCGGCTGGGGGCAGCTCCCGCTCCGGGGGCCGCAGGCCGGGCGCTTGCAGCGGGAAGGCCATGGGGAAGCCGGCCATGTACAGGACCCTGCCCACCCGCTTGGCCACCTGCGGGGAGAAGGAGGAGGAAAGCAATGCAGGGTGGCACCAAGGGTCCTCAGGAACACGCTGAAGCCGCACTGACAGGCTACAAACCCACGTTCTGTGCTCCAGACTGGTTTGGGTTGGAAGGGTCCTTAAGGTCACCCATTCCTTAGATCTAACCTGAACTTGCCCTGTTTCAGTCTGAACCCATCACCCCTTGGCCTATCGCTCCCATCCCTGATGAAGTCCCCCTCCAGCATCCTTTTAGCCCCCTCCAGATACTGGAAGGCTGAAAGATGAAGAGCTGGGTACCACAGGATCACAGAACAGTGACCAAACGCGATGCCCACGTCTGAAGAGCAGGACTTGCTCTTAGAGGGGAGCTGGGATAACAGGGGAGGGGGGAAACTGGCTCCAGGCTGGCTGCTGTTCCTGCACAGGGAGCTGCAGCCTCTCCCTTCTCCTGCAGCACCAAAGGGGACTCCCGCAGCCGTTCCTGCCTCCCAGCAAGGGCCAAAGGCCCCACAAGGTTCCAGCACCTCCAACAGCTGGTTCCCATTTCAACTGGAACAGAAACACAGGCTTGTGCTCAAACCAGACAACTGCCGCATTATTCACTTAGCAACAGCGGGGCTTTGCTCCCCACTTACACAGACCCCTCCCCAGCCATGCCTTATTATAGACCTTTAAACACTACTGATTAAATGGAAGCAAGGTTCCCCCCCTCCAAACCCCAGCGCAGCCCAGCTCTGAGCTATTTGCCCTCCTCTGTTTTGGAAGAAACAGAAGAGTTTTATTTCCTCCTGAATTGCCCCATAGGGAACAATTGCCCACAGAACCTTTTTATTAGAGCCCTCGTAAACAGTGAGGGCTGGAGGAAAGCAGTCAAGTTCTCTTCTTGTTTTACCATCATGTAATGAATGTGTAAGCTGGGGCCTAGGGAGGCGCTGCAGCCCAGGGAGGTGCAGGCACACGATGCTGTCGCAGCCACAATTCCCAAGGGAATGCACTGGAAGAGCCTGTTCCTGACGTGTGTTCTGGGAGCACTGAATGGGGAAACAGAGCCCTCAGTGGAGGTGTCCTGCATCTGAGGCAGCTGAAATGGGACTCACCCAGAGTCCATGGCAAAGCAGTTCCATGGAAGCAGAGACTTGGGCACCAAGGCGCTGACAGGGAAAAGGGTGCTTTAAGAAGGAACATGGAGAGCACAACAGCAAAGGAGTGTGCTGGGAGGAAACGGAGTCCCCTGAAGTAAAGGCCTAACACAACTGATGTGGTTTCCATATCCCGTGTGAGCAGCACAAGCTGGGGGTGCATGGGGGAGCATGACCAGCAACTGAAACAGAGCCCGTGACTGGCCCAGCAGAGAAGGGAAAGGTCCATTATGCACTGGGGAGGAGAGGTTGTAACAGATGATGCTGAGATGCTCACTGCATTTGTGCTTCAAGCCTTGCCAGGAAGAACCACCAAGAGCCATGCAGTTACACACAAAAGGAGCTGCAGAGGAGTTGGGTCCAGTGTAGAAAAGAGCTGGTTCCTCAGATGGCTTTACCCACCTTTTAGGTACTTTGAGATGCTATTTTCACATTGATGCAAAAGCATCCCCCCTGCCTCACCTGGGTGCAGGTTTCCTTTCTTGGGAACATCCTAGCATCTCTTTTCCAACAGGAGCTGGTCCATGTAGGAGTTTCCCACTTCACCCTCTTCCTCCCTCCCACCACTTGTCCTGAGCTACTTCTTTCTGCCCCTGGCCTCTGAGTACCACTGGGTGACAGCTGAGGAGACGGAACATTCTGGAGTGTTGAATCCACAATTACAAGGAAATAAATGAGCAGTTATTGCTTAATGAACTATATTCAATCCAGGAGGTCCTGACAGCCCTTTCCTGCTTAGGGACAACATTAACATTTGCTGCTATATAGAGAGCGTTCCTACCTGTGACCTGATCTTCAGCGCAGGTCCGAGTTTCAGCCCCATGTTGTTCAGTAAGTGCTCTTCCGTCAGCAGGGGCAGGGTCTCCCCATCAATAGCCTGCTCTCGGAATACCTGGAAGCAACCAGAACACAAAGCCAGGCTTAGGAATGCCCCTGATGTGCCTGAGGCTCCTGTCTTGCCCTTGCACAGGAAGGTGCTGTGGAAAAGGTGGAGTGAGTTGGTATTGATGCACGAGGTAGGAACAATCCTGTATCCACAGCCAGGAGCCAGCGAGTGAAAGGAAGCAGATGGGAATGGGAATTGGGGCTGGCTGGGCCAGTTTGGATGTAACAATACTTTCATTTAGCTTTATGTTTATGGTGTGATGGGGCAGGAACAGCCCCAGGTTTGGGCACCTTTTCTTCCCCAACACTAACAGTGACATGGACTAATAACCATCTCAGTGCCACTGTGGTGTACGTGGTACCTCTGAACATGAAGGCAACACGCTGGCAGTCTCCACTGAGTGAAGCAGAGGCTGGTGATGCGCAAACCCGGACTCCCAACAGTGACAGCAGGGCTGGAGTAATCCCATGAAGAGCATTTTGCTGTGCCCACATTCCAGCCATGCAAACCTGCACCACTGTAACACACTTAAAGAGACAGGGAAAAGCCCTTTCTTTTGCCCCTATTTCCAATGTTGGGGTCATGCAGGAGTTCTCCACCTCCCCGGGACTGTAACAGAGGTGAAGGTCTGATCTTGCTCCATTCATTCTTCATGCACAGAGCAGGGCTGTGCTCACACCACCCCCCGGGGTCTTTGCATGGAGGGGCTGGATGCTCCATGAGTAAACTGCAACCCCTGTGTACCCAGGCCGTGGGGAGGTGTCAGGCAGGGGCCTGGTTTTCCCCATGACACCCACTTCCACAGTGCTTGTTCCTGGATGCTCCCCTGATGAACTGTGTGGGGCAATGCATTATGTATGCATGGTGTTACTGTCACTGAACACCCCAGCAAAGCAGAGGGGTTCAAGTCACTCTAAAGGCTTCTTTGCCAGCAGCAGCCCATAGCCCATGGCCATCCCTCTGCAGGGTGGCACGGGCTGTTAGAGCCGAGGCAGCTGAGCCGCTGCAAGGGGCCCTACCAACACCGGACCCATTCACTCCCCTCCCTCTGCAGCCAGCGTGGGCTGGGAGCCAAAAGCCTCCCTTTGCCCACACTGAAACCCTCCGTGAGCAGCCCTGTAACTTGAGGACAGCATCCCCTTGGGTGTCCCATGGGTCCTGACCCACCGCGGGGCCAAAGCTGAGCGCTGAAGCGAGGCACAAGCCCTTGTTTGTGTCAGTGCACAGCACAGCACCAGCCTCCTGCTGGTTTCCCTGGCAGGAGCAGCCTGCAGAGCAGTGCCAGACCTCCCCAGCACTGCGGGTTTGGAGAGGAGAACGCAGGCAGCGTGGAGCTGGGTCACCCCTCATAGTAAAACCTGCTCAGCACATGGCCATGGGGCTCACAAACACATCATATCCCTGCAGCCCGTCCAACGCAGCTCGGGCAGGACAGGAGCCTGGTTACAGCAGCTCCCATCATCAAACAGGGTGCCTGCAATGCCCTCAGGCTGCTGAACCTCTGCCTCCACCAGGTATTGATTTCTGCCCCACTGCTCCACCAGGAGCTGCCAAGGGAATGGGAATGGATGAGCCCCCTGCAAAGTGGCTCTGGTAAACGGAGAAGCTTCCAGGCACCTCTTGCTCCTCATGCCCCGGCACAGGAATGCAGACAAAGCACAGTGCCCCCGGTGCAGGAGCACGCTGGGGTGGGGATAACAGAGACGTGTGTTTTGTATGGGTGTGTTCGGGTTTTAGAGCCTTTTGCTTGAGCTTTAACACCCATCCCCTTTACCATCCCCACTAACCCAGCTTCACACACCCAGACCTGCTGCTTCTCACTCCCATCAACACCCATCCGTCCACCTTCCTTTGTAACCACTGTCCCCTCCCTTCCTCTCCCCACAAGCAGAAACTGCCCTTATACACACACAGTCACCCTGATCCACTCTCAAACACAACCCAAACCCTTGGGGACTGTTACATGTACCCCATCCCTGCAACAAGCATTTGCTTTCCTAAGTAAGTGCTGCCTCTGGCCTGCGTGCACTGTTCTCTGCTCCCCTGAAGCACTGGCTTTAACAAAGCACTTCCTCAGGTCTCATCTCCATCTCCCCTCTATCAGGTTAAACCCATTCCCTCCTGTCCAGGCCCTTATACAAAGCATGGAAGCAGGATGCTGAGCTCTACCAGTAGCATGGCTGGGGCAGGCGTTCAGCAATGACCAACCCCTGCCCCTACTCCATCCCCTCCCACTGCACTCCCTTTATGGCTCTCCATCTGCGAGGCCCATCACACACCTCAGGACCTTCACTACCAGCAAGCAGCTGCTTCCCAGTGCAGCAGGGAAGCGGCTCTGGGAGCATCTCCTAGGTGGGAGAGGGCAAGCGGGGCAGAGCAGGGGCTGTGAGGAGCTGTACCTGAGTGTACTCGGTGCAGCCGGACAGGTTGGACACGAAGCTGCACACATCCTCCACCGTCCATTTGCTGATGTCTTCCAGCGCGGGGCTTTCCTCCCCATCCAGGAACAGACCTCCCATGGTGCCTGGGGGGGTAGGAAGGAGGGGAGGAGAAAGAACCATAAATCATTCCAATCCCCCCCGGACACCAGTGTGAATATGTTTCTCCAGCCACACATTCATCTTTAATGACCTGTCAATTAAAGCACTGGGCAGGGTCAATTCATAGGCCTCTTCCTCCTGGAGGTCCCCAGCTTGGGAAGGGGGGGTAAGGGAAAGGAAAGCAAAGCCCTGGTTAATGTATTTCATGTGTTTAATGCTCTTCAGCTGTGGGGACGGGAGAGGGGGAAGGGAGAGGAAAGAAACAACCCTCAAGGAGGTTTCTCCACACACACCGCAAAGCCAAAGGCTCTGCCTGCCCTGTGGGCTGCTTCCCCCATCCCTGCTCCTGGCAACGGGCTCCCAATGGGAATGGCCCCGGCCCCTCTCCCTGGTGGCCGCTGCCTTGCCGGAGCCTCCATCAGTACAGGAGAGCCCGCTCCATCCATGGGCTCATTTTCAGTCCACCCCAGTCTGAAGCATCCATGGGATCGGCTGGAGCCGGGTGAGGGGTGATGGGATGGCCCCCGCCAGCCCTGCTCCGTTCAAGCCCATGAGTCAATGCTCTGCAGCCAACAGGGGCTCAGGTCCAGCCCTGCCACCGCTGCCAGAGGTGATGGGCTCCAAAGAGCCTCCCCCAGCCCTGCATCCGCAGCACCTGACAGCACGGGATGGGCTGGCGCCTGGAGCTAAAGGAGAGGCACCAAGAAACCCCAGGCAGTTAACTCCTATCTACTGCAACGTGTGACAGGGAGCTGCAGCAATGAAGAAACCGAGTTCCAGAAGACACCGCTTCATGGGGGAGGAATAGAAGGTGCTGCCAACCTGTGGGACTCACTGCTGCACGGTACCATTCAGACCAAGAGGACATGCACAGGGATATGAACATCCATGGTTACAGTGCATAGAAAAGAGTTTATGAGGGATACAAAGGTCCTTCCCCCAGGGGTCTATCATGCCAAAACTATCGGTCCTGTAGGCTTAAGCTCTGCCCAGCACCATGGATGTGACTCCACTCCTTGGCTCCTGTCCACAGCAGGCTGGGTATCAGATACAGGCTTCCCTAAGTAAAGACAAGATAAAGCAGGATGCAACGAAACCCTGGTGGGAAGCACAAGCCCAGAGAACAAGGGGCCAATTCCCTGGGGAATGACCAGGTCAGAGGGAAGGGGCACAGGAAGAGCAAAGCCACGGGCACATTCCAAAGGAACAGGAAACGGACAGGAATCCACAGGAAGTTATCATGCCAATAGGATGCTTCTGAAGCACGAGCCGTGGTCAGACACCGGGTAATCACTTCCATGATGTTTCCACTCCCAGCTTCCCGCTTCCCTTCCCAATCTCTGCACTGTTCCTGTAGCAGCATCACCACATCCCTCCCTCCCTCCCTCCCTCCTCTTGGGGAAGGAGATGGCAACGTCTGTTGCAGCCAGAACTGCAGCCGATGGGCATCCCCAGTGCAAACACACCAGTGCCAGCACCCTGTGTCCCACTGGAGGCCAGGCAGCTCCTCATTCCCTTTGCTCCCTCTCCTTCCAGCCTGCAAATGCTTCCATCACTCGTGTGTGTGCTAACAGCCATGGGGAATGGCTGAGAGCTCGGTGCCAACGAGGCACCCCCAGCTCCCAGACAGACAGATGGACATGAGCCCTCATTCTCATTCCCATCCCCTTTCCCAGCTGCTTGTGCTGAACCCCACAAAGCACTCCAACGGCTCAGGGCTTTTTTCCCTTTATCCGCCCTTTCAGGAGAGGCTTTTCCCCTCTCCTCCTTTCAGGAAGGGGGGATGCAGCTTGGGAGAAGGGGGAAGTGCACCTGAACTCAATGATTCCAGGCACAGTCAATGCCCGGGTGAGACACCTCCATCTGCAGAGGGGTCAGACTGTACCAGCCAACTGCTTCCAAATGAGGTATTCCTTACTCCAAAAGCAAGCCCAGGATTGAGCTGCAGCAATGCGGTGCTTGGGAATGAGCTCTCCAGCCAGGGCCATGCTCAGGGTTTAAGCTCAGCCTGGTCAGTGCCCACCAGCACGGGCAGAGATTCGGCCCAGATGCCTCCTTCCCGACTGGCAGGGATGCAGGGAAAGGCATAAAGCTGCCCTATGCTCCCTTCTCCTGCGTGCCGGCAGTCCATGAGCTGCACCACATCCAGGATCATTCCCAGGGCTCCTGACACTGCCCCAGAGCTGGCCTAACAACTGCTTCTCCTCCATAAGCCTTTCTCCTCTGTGGTTTCCTCTCCTTTGTCTCTTTGTGCCCCCAGAAGGGGAGGGAGATGTCACGATGCACATGGAGATGCACACAGTGAGCCTGCTGTGGCCAGGGCTGAGGACAAGGCAGCCCCTCTCTATGGGAACCAGGACCATTTTCCACATACCCACACACAGAGGAATACAACACAGCCAAAGTATTTATCTCAGGGAGCTTGTTTTCCCTTCCCGTCTGTACCAGGGGAACAGGGACTGACTGCTGGACATTATCCTGGGACGGGGAAGGTAAATGCCAGTACTTTGGGTTCTGGCCTATGAGTGATTTCTATGGCATGGAATTGAAAGCAAGAGGGTAGGAACCTATTTCCACTGAAGTGAGTGGTGAAACGCCCCTAATCCCTGCAGAAAAGCCCCAAATCCCAAAGCTCCAAAGACTCAGTCATCACCCTGTGTATTGAGAACCCCTCAAGCCCAGGCTGTGAAGCCTCAGGTCCTTTCCAACTCTGAAGCCCCTGGAGCAGAAGAGCTCCTGTCCTTCCTCCTCAGGAGGACACAGCATCATCTGCTCCATCAGAGCGTGGCTGCTCCACTCACCTCTGCTCTGGCAGCCTGGACAATGGTAACAAATGGGTGCCAAGCAGCTGGAAGGGATGCACCTTCTATTATAATAATGGCACGTCACTGGCTCCTGCTGGACTCTGAGCATGCAGAAAGGGCAGCATCCATTCCCTGCCAGGCCTCCTGTGTCTGCCTCTGTGATAAATGATGGCCCGAGGGCTCGGTAATGGATTGTGGAGCCATTTCACCAGATGGGGCCCAGCGTGTAGGGACTGAGAAGCATCCATCGTCCCAAGCCAGGCTCCTGGAGCCAGGTGCCTATGTAAAACCCTCACCACCCATGCTGCAACCCGTTTGTAACTTCCCTTCCTCCTCCTGATATCCAGCTGCTCCAGAAGACCAGCTAAAGGCTGAGCAGGACAGGGAAAGCAATCCTGCCCATCCCAGGCAGGGAAACCTGTTGGGAATCCAAGCTGCATGGAGACACGGGAGCTTTTTACTCCTGCCTTCACAGGAGACATTCAGGTGCCAACTGGGAAATCAGTGCACAAAGCACTGGGTTTAATCAGCATTGCTACCACTCTGTAACCCCTCTCCCTGTGCATACCCCCCCTCCTTCCCTCACACTCAGGTCATGGAGCAGTGCTGGAAGCCTTGTGTTAATTGCTCTCTGGACTATGGATCAATGGGAGGATTTCAGCCTCCTGCACGCTCCATCCTCCTCCTTTTCCAAAGGACGGGGCTGGCGGTGGGAGGAGGAAGGGAACAAGGCTGCTGAAAGCTCCTCGAGATGAGGTCATCGAGCAGCAGCCACATCCCTGCAAGGCAGCTCAGGGAATCGACCCACCTCTGCCTGCCTCATCGATACCCATCCCAGCAGGGCCAGCAAACAGCTCTGCCTCCGAGGAGCCTCCCCGTGCTGGGAGGCCGCTGCCTGAACTCAGAGGTCCTTTTCAAGCAGCCCCTTCCCTCCTTTCCTGCCTCTGGCTGTTCCTTTTGGCCTCCCACGTTACCTGCCTTGCTAAGGTGGTTACATTATAATGGCAGCCTGCAGTGTGCAGCACATCATGATCATCCGGGCCAGAAGAGCAGTCCTGGTGCAAGAAAGTCCTTGTTCAGCCTGGAGAAGGGAAGGCTCCTGAAGGGGAGACCTCAGAGCAGTCTTCGATACCTAAAGGGGCTGCAGGAAAGCTGGAGAGGGGCTTGGGACAAGGGCCTGTAGGGACAGGCCAAGGGGAATGGCTTGAACCTGCCCAAGGGGAGACTGAGCTGAGCTCTTAGGCAGAAGCTCTTCCCTGTGAGGGTGCTGAGGCGCTGGCACAGGGTGCCCAGAGAAGCTGTGGCTGCCCCATCCCTGGCAGTGTTCAAGGCCAGGTTGGACACAGGGGCTTGGAGCAAGCTGCTCCAGTGGAAGGGGTCCCTGCCCAGTGTTGGAACTGGGTGAGCTTTAAGGTCCCTTTCAACCCAAACCAGTCTGGGATTCTATGCAAAAGAACTGTGGAAATGGCAGTGGAGGTGCAGGTCTGTCTTCAGGTGGTTTGTGTTCCCAAAGGCCAAAGCAACGCATCTTCACTGACACACGTTACCCCAGCACACCCCGCTGTCCCTGCAGCACGTGGATCAACACCACCCTCAACATTCCAGCTGCTGAACTCCCCTCCCAACCTCCTGTGCTGCATCCCAGTGCCCTGTCCTCCCAAGGCTGCTCCAGACCAGAGCTTGTGCTATGGAGTTGCACAGTGCCCAAATTCACTGATGCCCCATGAACATTAACACGTGAAGCTGGCTGAAAGCAACAGAGCCCTTTGGAAAAGACCTAGAGCCCTGGAAGAGGGCAGTGAAACACAGCCCTGAGCTCTGCCGAGGCCTCCAGACACAACCCTGGTATAAACTGGAAGTGATAATAATAAATGGCCCATTACAGTGCTGGCGGAGGAGGAACCCCATGCACCAGCGCCGAGCGCCACGGAGCTGTGCCTTTCCCTTCGGAATGCCAGGAGAAAAGGGCTCCTCAGCAGCCCAAGGCACCAGAGGATTTACCACCTGCCTGTCAGAGGAAAATCGCTTCCTCCTTCCTCGCTGGAGGCAGCTCTAATGAGCGATGGATGGGCAGAAGCCTCCCCAGCAGCTCTCTGCACGGGGAACAGGCGGCCCCAGTGACCCCCATGCTGTGCCCCCCTTCTGAGCAGGTCTGACCTCCTGCTAATTGCCCAGCCAAGTTAATTAGCTGAGGCAGATTTTGGCTCCTGGCTAGACCAGGGGCAAACCAGCCCCCAGGGTCTGAAACCCTGCTTTGTACCACACGTACTCACCCTTCCCATCTTGGCTGCCACTGTGGGGACCAGAGGCTGGCCATGACTTCCCTGCCTGCCAGTCCCATCCAGCAGGCACTGATCCAGCTGTACCAGTGCCTGAGAAACACACCACAGGCAGGGGAAAGAGCCCTCCTAGCTCTGCCCTGGAAAAGGGGCACAGCAGGGATAACTCCATCACCTCCAAGGGCATGGGGCAGCCAAGATGTTTCAATCACTGCCAGGGAGCTCTGTGACACCCCATCCCAAAGCTGCTGTCTCTGCTCCCCTGGGCAATGTCCCAGATATGATACTCAGCAGGGAGGACAACACTGCAGCCTTAATCCTTCATTTCCCTCACTTCAAGCCATGGCAATGCAGAGAGGGAGAACCAAGCATGTGGGAACCAGTCGGTCACTGCCCAGCCCTGCACATCCCCAGAGACACCCGCAGCTTTCCCTGTGGAACATCCTCATCCTCACCCCCAGACCCAGCCATCCCATCCTGGCCAACTCTCCTTCACTCCCCTTACCCTGCTCTAGAGCTGGGTGTTTCTCTCCAACCTGGACACTCCATGGAAATCACATAAGCCCAGATGTCATCACAGCTTTTTAGGTCACCCTTCCAGAAACATTACTTCCATCCCTTTACTCTGTAGGCTGTTGCCTCTTCTTGAAGGCCCCATAATTTACTGGTATCTGTCCCAAAACATGCCTTCCAAAGAAGGCCCAAGCAACTGCAAGATCTCTTAGTCCATCATACTGGGATCTCCCTTCTCATGCTCTTGGGACTCACTTTGTTCCTGCCCTCCTCTTTATGACCCTAGATTTCCTTCATTGCAAACGGAATCCTATTGATGAATGATAGGTTTGGTTCCCAGCAGAGCAAAGAGAACTCCAACCAGTGCTCAACAGCAAGGGGGAAGAATCCCACCCGCAGCACCCTGCAGAACGCAAGCACTCACCTGCATGGAAGTAGGGGCTCACGGTGTACGGGAATCCGAAGGGCAGCGGCTGCGGCGGTGGGATGGAGGCTGGAGGCAGGTATTTCACCTCGGTTTTGTTGATGCCGGGCCCAAGCAGATGGCTGGGGGACTCCGCACTGGAGGAGCTGCAGGGAGCAGTTTGACCGGGAGCCCCTTCACCGAGCTCCTTGGCCCCTTCACATGCTTTGCCCGTCTCTTTGCACTCCTTCAGCTCCGCGGCCGAGCTGCTGCTCTCGGCCTTCAGGCTCTCGGCCTTCTCATCGCTCACATCCGCGTCGCTCTCCGAGTCCTTCATCTCCTCGTCGTTGCAGTCCGGAGCCCCATCGCGTGCCCGGGGCTCCGCCAGCTCCTTGGCCTCGCTCAGGCCCTGCGGCTCGGCGCGGTGATGGGTGGCTTTGCGGCTGCCGCGCCGGGGCTGCTCCTTGGGCGGCGTGGCGCTGCTGGGGACGCTGGGGTTGAGGGACAGCAGGGGGGTGTTGTTGTGCCGCAGCACCAGCATGGCGTTGCGCCGGGACAGCTCTTCCCGCAGAGGGTGCCCCTCGGGGATGTCGTGCACGTTGCGCAGGGCAGGGTGGTCGGGGGGCAGGCCGGGGTGCAGGCTCAGCGGGTCTCCGGCCAGCAGCCTTTGCCTGTGGAGGTTCTCCAGCTCCTTCTGGCGGATGAGCTCGGCTGACATCTCCAACCTGCATTGGGAGAGGCAGAGGGGGAACGTCATGGAGGGCTCTGTGAGTAACTCCCTAACCCACAGCAGGGCTTGCAGGACCAAAGTGTCACGTCCACATCCACCCTTTGCTGTCACTCTGTTGCCTGTGCACAGCTCACCCAGCACAACACCCCACATCCCTCTGCCTGCTGCCAGGAAAAGGAAGGCCAAACCCAGCCCAAGGCCAGGCTGGTCCAATACAACCCTCACCTTGCCAGGTTTTGCTTCCGTAGCATCTCTTGCTGCCGTGCAAACATCTCTGCTTGTGCTGGCTGTAGGAACCCGTACCCTGGGGACAGGGAGAACGATACCATGGGGTTATTAATGTCAGCACTGACTCTGCTCCCAGAGAGCTAACTGAGAGCTGCCTTTCTGTTCTGGAGCCCACCTATTCCCCCACTCCCAATGCAGAGCAGCCTGCTGCTGAAACACTGGACAAGGGAAGATGATGGGGATTGAAAGAGAGAGCAGCCAAGGCAACCTGCTCATATGGCAGCTAAACAAGGCTGAACTCAGCACAACAGCAATGGGGAGACACAGAAATGTGTCTGGGCTGTTTGGCTGAAGGACAGTCACAGCGTGCACCCTCACTGTTCCCTCTCCCTGGCTGAGTGTGTTTCTTCTGCACTCACCTGGTGTCTGGCACAGAGCCGAAGGCACCCCGAGGAAAGGAGGTCTCAAGTGGGGCCCCAGGGCAATGTGGGGTGCGTTCTGGGGTGAGAGCAGAGGCGGGGGGTGGGATATCTCCCTGCAGAAGAAATCAGAAGAGAAATGAATGTCAGACACCTGAAGGCTCCATTCATAGCACCCAGAGGGCCCTGGCGCAGGAAGAACGCCCTTTCTGCAGACAGCCTTCATTCTGTAGCAGAGGCTGCTGTGAGACAGGAAAATGCCTCCTCACCCAGAAGCAGCACCTGTGTAAGGGAGAAAAGGAAAAGGAAAAGGAAAGGAAAGGGAAAGGAAAGAAGCAGAACCAGGAAGAGAAGAAAGCAGCCAGGACTCCATAAGTCCTCCATACTTCCCACCTTGACATGTTTGCCTTTGAGCTGGGCTGTGCAAGGGGGGTTTGGCTGCCCAGGGCTAGTAAAGGCAAGGCGAGAGAAAAGATGTGAAGCAGAGAAGGCCACAGACAGGAGAGATGGGGACTGGGATGTGGGCAGGAAGTGCCATGGGGTCAGTAGAAAGGGCACTGCTGGAGAAGGGGTGGGTGATGCTGGCCAGAATGGGTAGAGCAGATGTAAGGTGGAAGAGGCAGGTTTGAGAGGTGGGAAGAGGACAATGCCTGGAAGCAAGGCAGGTAGTGCTTGCTTGTGTGGGCAGGAGTGGGGAAGGCAGGAAGGGAACAAGAGCCAAGGTCTCTTCCATTAGTCAGATCTGCCCTGGGAGCCTGCAAGCAAATCTGCTTTCTGGCTGCACGTCTCTTAATTCCTTTTGATGGCCACTTACAGCGTTATTACCTGCAGCAGGGCATCCAGAGGCAGAGCCGAGTGCTGCGCCGTTTGCTTCCAGTTTACAGTATCTCCCTATAAAACCTGCTTCAGGAGAGACTGGAGGGCAAGAAAAGGAGCAAGAAGGTGCACGTGGCTGGCACAAACAGACCCTACACACAACTACGCTCCCCCTTTCCATGGGGGAACGGCACGCTAGAGTGAGAATCCCAAGCACCCATCCCCACATTACCACCGTAGCTCAGGAAAAGCCAATGATTCTTTGGGAATGAGATGGGCAAGGAAAGGATTCCTGTTGTTCCCCTAGCTATTCCCAGCACAGCTTTGTCCTCACACACTGACCCACTCACCGCACAGCCTCTCAAATACTCCCCCACTTCCCTCCCATCTCTGCTCCCATTCCCGTGCCTGGCTCCATCTCTCCTTGCCTCCTTCCTCCCCTAGCTCTCCTCTAAACTAATTGCAGAGCCCGGCGTGTCTGGAGGAGAGCCACGGATCGATCGCTGGCTGCTGAAATGTTAATGCTAATCGTATCAGGGCTCCGCCAGCCCCTCGCACTTCAGTGGCAGCTCCAATTAATCTCAGGTAACGCAGCGCCTGACCTTCGGCTCCGAGCCGGGGCAGCAGCCAAGCGATGCTCATGTAATTACACCATGAAGTGTGTAATCACCTGCCCTAATCCCCGAGGCCTCACAATTAGCCGAGGCCTCGGTCGCTGGGCTGCCAAGTGCTTTTTGCCACCCAGGACAGCCTGCAGATGAATAACGGACAATTAAAGCGGCATGACGGGGGCGAGGAGGTGTCCGTTCGATTGTAATTAGCTGTAATCATGGGCAGACGAGCCTGCTGCTCCCTTTATAAGAAGCAATTTAGGAAATCAAGTCGGTTTTAACCATTCCGTGGCCAAGCACGTGGTGCCCGTGCCCTCCCTGCCTGTTCTATATGCAGGAAAAGGGGATCCTGTGCGAGAGAACAAGCCCCCAGGCACACAGAGCTCAAGAGGAAATGCTAGCCACAAAGAGAGTGGCTTGGTTTTAGCCAGGGAGGGCCAGTCTATGCCCAGGGAGCATGCTGTTTGATGGGGATCTGGACTGGACACTGCAAAAGCAAAGGTTCTCTCTTTAGTGGCAGCCCAGTGAGGCTATTGTGATGCTTTCACGTGGCACTACAGGGGTTAACGTTGCTCCCTAAGGAACTCACATCTGGTCAAGGCCCTGTAGTTCATTCCCTCTGTTTTAAACAGAGCAGATCAACTCATACTTTGGGTTGGGAAGGAGGTGGCAGGATGAAGCAGTGCCTGTGGGATCCGATTGTGTTGCCATGCTCATGGCTGAGCACAGCAGCTCACAGGGGCAGGGATGGAGGCCGTGGTAAGAGGAGCTGTAAGGAACACATTAGGAGCGACTTGGAACGTGAGAGGTCAGTCACTGCCCGTGTCACACACACAGCACACGCTGGGGATGAGTCCAAAGGTTTAGGGAACTCAGGGAGACACATTTGCATGTGCTGTCATCATTGTGCCTGACACAGCACACGGAGACCCTGGAGTCCTCCTCTCAGCAACCAAACACATGCAGAGGGCAAAGCTGCTGGGTGAGCAGATAAACAGGAGCAGCCAAAGGTCCTGCACCTGCGATATGCATGGAATCTGAAGTGAGGGAATGGAGGCTGCACACAGCCAGACACGAGGGAGCCATTCACTGCACCTCCCCTGCATCCCCTAATGCTCAGCATCAGATAACTTAGGAAGAAAGCAAGGTATGCTCATAAATAGCTGGGGGATGGATGAGACTCTTCTCTCTGTTTGACTCTCCCCAGCTCACGCTGCAGACCCAAAGGAGGTGGTCCCCACCAAGGACAGACATCCCACAAACCCAGCCTCCTGCCATCCAGGAGCAGAACCTGTTGGAGCCTTCCCCTGCTCCTTTCCAGCCCATCTGCCCCATCCTTGGCATGGAAACCTGGCACCGGGGGGAGGGAATGCGACCAGGCCGTGTCCTGGTACAGAGCTGGGAAGCCCTCCCTGGTGCCTGGTGCAGATACAGCCTACTGCTTCCAAACAGGCTTGGAAATGAACTGGCAACCCTGGAGTAAAAAGCCCCAGAGACCTGAACAAAAGCTACTGTGCTTTTAGACAGACATGCACCAAAACACAAACCCTGGCATCCTTTCTCAGGTATGGATCAGCCTTGAACCCCCCCATTAGTTTCCTTCCTCCTCTTCTTCTACCTCTCAGAGTAAGGGCTGAATTACAGGCCCATATCTGGAGAATGTGAATTTACCCCTTGGCAATTACATCTGATAAGCCTTGTCCTTACCTTGCAGAGAGCAATTCTGTGTTCCTGTATATTCCTCCCCACATCTCCCCTCTTCTTTCCCTCCCCCAGTATACCAGCTGGAGGCTTGTGAGCAGGGTATTAGGGGATTTGCACTGCATGCTGCTAAATTTGATATGTCCTTTAACAGGAGACAAATGGTTCACAAGGCTTAAAAAGTATCGACTTTTCTTTAACAATAAGCACTAATGGCCTTCAAATAATCAATATTTAAAGTCATTATGGGGTTACACATTATACTGTTAAAACCAAGCCTTTCGCTTTAACCCCCTCCTATCCTCCCAAGCAGAGAGCAGTGCTTCCCCCCCCGACTCCCTCCGAGCTCAAAAGGAAGGCTCGGAGCTGTGAGTGGAGATGGGAGAGGGTCAGGAAATGCAGATTGAAACCGGCAAGGCATGGAAATAAATTCAGAACGGATGGAAGAGGAGGGAGGAAGAAAAGAATGCATGAAAGCTCTGCTTGCTTCTGCTTTGCATTTGATAGGAAGAGACACTCCAAACCTGAGGTAATAGGCAAGCAGCACACAGCTCCTTGCTGTCTGCCATCCACAGACGCTGTCTAGGCCAGGAAGGGCTTGCTAAAAATGGTGCTTGGGGTTTCCAGGCAAGAGACACACACTGACACTGCTCTCTAGGGCAGCAACGAGGCCTGGACACAGAGAGGGGTTGGTTTATGCTGCCAGGAGAAATCGCTCCTTCAAATCCAAACTGGTGCTAAAACCACAGCAGTTACATCAGGTCAAGCTCTCTGGCCCTGGCTCTGCACAATGTTCAGGCAGCTGGGACCTGGGAGGCATCCTCCCAGTGCAACAAGGGGGATACAGCATTCACAGCAGAGGTGAATGCTGCGTGAGGAAGAGGAGGCTGGATGTGAGGCTGGGGTGGAGAAGAGGAGGAAAGAGAATGTGTTCAGAGAAGACAGCAGAACATGCCCAAGGAGCCAGCGGTGTAAAGGAGAGCATCCGTGACGCAGGGAGGGGAATTAGGTGGTGAAAGAAAAACAGCACAACAGCAGATGGGAAGCACACAGTTCAAAAACCCTTTGCTGCCACTCCAGGCACATCTTTGCACAGAGGAAGGCCCCTGGGTGATGCACAGTGCCAGCTTTCTGCAAGGGAAGGGTGATGGGTGCATCTTTGAGGCTCTGTGGCTCCCACAGTAGCCAAAGGGCTCAGCTTCCCAGGACCCGGCAGATAAGGATGCTGATGGCATCTCAGGCAGGCAGCATTTCTTGCTCCTTGGCATTCCTCCTGCCTTCACCCCATTATTGTCTATGGTCGTGGAAGATGAATTGTGCTTTTAATGCTTCTTACAGACAGCACCAGAGACTGTGGAACGCTATTGCCAAGGTACCTGCCTCAACACTTGCCCTTTCTCCAACTATAAAGTGCCTTCTCCTCAACCTGTGAGAGGGAGGCAGGCTGTCCCACACAGACCCCATGCCATACACACGTGAACGAGCTCCTAGTAACCCATAACTGATGCATCACATTCAGCCTGAAAGCTTCCCCACAGCAGTCTCACTGTCAGGCAGCTCACCCAGCCTAGCCTGAGCACCCATGCAGTAACTTCCATCTTCAGGGTGTAGAAGTTTTCCCTTGAAGGAAGGTGAAGGAAATGTTCCCTGTGCTTCACCCACACTAACCTGCACTGTGAGCAGCAGTCTGCTCACTTCAGGAGTACTATCAGGAGCGAGTTCTGCAGCATCTCTCTACCAGGAGCTGAGCGCCTTGGGGAAGAACATGCCAGGCTAAACGACCCCAGCAAAACCAAATACATTGCCAACCAATTCTGGAGACAGGATCCAACAAGCAGGATCCAAGCAACTCTGCAGGGCATGCCACCTGCCATTTTTGCAGCAGACACGGCAGTTTGGAGATGGGAAGTACTCCAGGTTGGAGTAGTTACAGTGACACCTTTAAGTCGTACCCTTTCCTCTTCCAAGTCTTTTTATAACACTGAACTCAACAATCTTTTCAAACCATCCACCGGGTCCTGGCTCTCTATAATCCAAGCCTGGATCAATCTAGAGAAGGCTCTAGGAAAGCAAAGCCATGAAACCAAATGGGTTCTCAAGCTTGCAGCTTGGCAAGACTCATCAGTTTTAGTCTTTTCAACAGAAGAGGAAGCTGAAGGGAAGAGCTAAAGGGACCACTACTCCACTAAAAGGACCATGGAAGCTAGTCCAAGGAAACCCATATTCAGAGTGTCTGTGCACATATGGGTATCATCCTCTTCAGAGCCAGCACCCTTCCTGCCTTGTGCTTAGCATCACTCAACCCACCAGGCTGTTTATGACCAGCAAAGATGGATATTAACGAGTTGGCAAATGTCTGACCATACCCATCTTCCCAAGTATTCCCTGGCTTAGATTCATCACCCACTTCTTTGCACCTGGAAACCTGGATATACAATCCCCCCTAACAGGCAAAGGTCTCTGCATTCCTGTCTTTGCAAAACCAGCAGCACTGCCCTCATAAATAGAACTGGATCACCAGGATGGGTTTCCCCCCATTGCTCTGCCAGATATAAAGGCTGAAGTCTAGAGAGCCTAATTATTCTTGCCCACAAAGCTGCTGCACTGGAGAGCTGACCTGATCCCCACAGATCTCCTGGTAGGAAGCTGAAATGGAATTTTAACACCATGCCAAACAGTTCACATCCCCCTGCATCATGTGTTATTGCTTCTGCTCCTGGGAAAGGAGATGCTGTAAATCTACTTACAGTTTGCCTATGTATGTGAGCCAGCCTCCTCCAGTGCCTTCTCCTCTGTCAGTGCCTACCTGAGCCCTTTAAAATTTCTCTGCCTTCATAATAAAGGTTTGATTTACCCTCTTGACAAAGACCACAGCAGCCAAGTATAAAACCCAAGGCTAACAGCACCAGTGAGAAAGGAAGGGAGAAGTTAACCCATACAGTGCTTTACTGCAATACCTGGCCATGGCTTCTCCTGGCATGACCTAAAAATGCCTGTGGTGCTATGGCAAAACAGCAAGGAACAGCCTGCACAGGACAGCTCCAACCTGGCCGTGTCTCAGTGGGAGCAGAGTGACCCTCGGTGACACTTAGGTGGCTGCAGACTGGAGAAACAACAACCCTGAGAACTAACGTCAAACAGACTGACCAAGTCATGGCTATGGGGCACAGCTGTGGCTTCCCATTTCCCAGCAGGACTCCCCACCTCTGTTAAGTGAGGATTATCACACCTGAGAGCCCGGCCAAGCAGGTTGGCCACCCAGGGCCCTGTGAGACCCTCCCTGTGGGAGCAGATGACTGCAGAAAAACAGGCAGTCTGGTCTGCTATGCATGGCAAAAGAAGGAATCATGGGATGCTCCCAGCCAGGCCCACCATGGTGATGCTTATAAAACCACAGAATGGTTTGGGTTGTAAAGGAACCTTTAAAGACCGTGAGAGCAGGGTGGCTGCCCCATTTTGGTAGTGTTCAAAGCCAGGTTGGACAGGGCTTGGAGCAAACTGCTCTAGTGGGAGGTGCCCCTGCCCATGGCAGGGATTGGGACTGGATGAGCTTTAAGGTCCCTTCAACAAAAAACACTGTGTGATTCTAAGATGGAAATTACTGTTTTTCCAACCATTAACTCCTCACCTATGGTCTCTGTCCCCTGACAGAGTGAGCAGCTTCTTTCCCCCTCCCACAAGTGAGGAGGAACAGCAGCCCTAACTCCAACTGTCCTCTCAAACTGGGGGGGTAACACCCTCTTCCCAAACAATTTAACACCCCCTGGCCTAGACCAGCCCTATTCCCTACAATACCTGCCTAGCTGTAGCAAATACCTTTGGATTTTCAGCCTGCCCTCCCCATAGCATCCTCCACCCTTCCGTACGTGCGGTGTGAGCCAGGCCTCCGGCTGGCCTGGCGCTGCTCCAGCCCACACAAAGCTGGAGAAGCTCTCCCTGATGAGTGCCTGCACTCAGGCTCCTCTATCTCTGCATTCCTCACAGCTCTGCCTACAATCCATATGGACCGGGTTGGATTTTATTGGGTGGGTTAGCCAAAGTACACCAGCTAGGAGAAAGTATTCCCAGGTCTGCCCAGCTCCTGACCGCTGGCCAGGAAGGAGGGAAAACAGAGAGCATCTCCAAGGCTGTAAATGTGGGGGGTGATTTTGAACTCAACATACATATATCCACAGCCTGCTGCCTGCCCCCATCCCAAGAAGAAATCCGTAAGAGCCTGGATACTGAAGCTTTTCGTGCTTGTCCCAAAGCCTTTGCATCTCCGTGGCTGGCAGGCCCTCTCCCACCTCTGTTATCCTGGTCAGAAACACACAGAGCCTTAATTTAATTCCCTTCTAAAGTGCTTGATTGAGGAGGGGATGGCTCATGGCACAGAGCAAGATAAATGAGATGTAATTCCAGAGTGGTGATCAGCTTTCCAGTGCTTCCATCAGTGGTAAAGGCAAACCGTGCATCTTTCTTCCTCAAAAGAGAAAACTACTTCTTTTTCTACTCCACCCTAGAGCATTGCACAAGCTGCCCAAGAAAGCTGTGGCTGCCCCATCCCTGGCAGTGCTCAAGAACAGGATGGACAGACTTGGAGCAACCTGCTCTAGCAGAAGGTGCCCCTGCCCATGGGGTTAGAACCACACTTTGGCACCTACCTAACCCCTAAGGGAGATAGTAACACCTTACCTGGGCAAATCAAACCCACCCTGCTGGTACCCCCCATCCATACTCTCCTATAGACCACCCCCTGTGCAATACCACCGCGACAGGAGCAAACCCCGCCCCAAGGCGGCGGTGATGGGCGGCCGGCCCTGCCCAGCCCCTCGTCGTCCCCCCCGCTCCCCAGCCCGCGGTACCTCTCGGGGAAGTGTGTGTCCCTGTGCTGGGGCAGGCCCTGCTTCCTCCGCTGGCTCGAAGAGTTGCTGGCCGAGGGGATGTGCGCTTCCATCGCGCCGGGGTTCCGCGCTGCCGCCGCCGCCGCCACCTCTTGCCTCGCACGGAGAAGATCTGGGGAGAGGGAAGGGATTGAGCCGCTGGCCCCCGGACCGAGGCATCCCCCCCTCTCCTCCCTCCCCTCCCAGCTCCGGCGGCTGCTCCGGGCTCCCCGCGGGCAATGGGGCTGCTCCGGGGCTGCTCCCAGCCCGTCCCCCCCCGCAGCCCCTCGGGGCACAGCGGGAGCTCCGGGGCTCCGCCTGTCAAGCGGCGGCCCTTGGGTCCCTGCCCCGGGCACTCACAGCGCGGAGCGGGCTCGGAGCGGGATCCACCTCCGAGGGAGTTCGGCAGCGGAGGAAATTGTGCAACTACGAGAGGGGGTGGATGGCTGTTTAATTGCCTTCCTGCTGCTGGAGGGAGGGAGGGAGGGAGGGAGAGGGAGGGAAAGAGGGAGGGAAGGAGGGATGGGGAAGACAAAACGGAGAGGGAGGCTTCCCCGAGCGTGCCCCCCGCTCCCGCGGCGGCACATCCCGGTCCCCGAGCCAAGCCGCAGCGTTATCCGCTACCGAGCAGCCCCTGTGCGGGTTTAGCGGCCGGGTTTGAGGCCGGGACCGCCGGGGAGGGGGAAGCAGCGTCCCGCGTGTCCCCAAACCACATCCCGGCAGCTCCTGCTGCCGCCAAACGTCGGGAATGGGGGGGACACCGCTCCTTTGGGCGCCCCTCCATGGCCGGGAACGTCCAACTCCAGAAGCATCGCAACGGTTCAGAGCACATGGGGGCACAGCCGGTGTGTACCTGCGCAGCACAGCTCTGCAGTCATAGGGGTACATCTGACCACTGGTGTCACACACACCAGCGGCACTGCCTGAGGCTTTCCCTCTCACAGTTAAGCATCAGGAACCCCTTAGTTCCTGCACCTACAACCTGTGGGTTCTACCAACCTGTCTCTGTCCCACACCAAACCCTCTGCTGCCGTTCCGTGGTACACAGGAAGCACATACACAGATGCGCACTTAGAGGAAACCTTTTTCATACACTCCCCGTGTGCCACAGCAAAAGGAAACCAGAACACAGCTGAGGAGAGGAGGGTTTATCCTAATGAACACATACTGAGACCCCAGAGCACTCCACATCCAGTGGCATTATTAGTCCTCTCCCCGCAACCAATTCATAATGAAGGTTAATACGAGTGCGACATGGCCCTGGGAATGATGCACTTTCTGTCTCCTTGCCCTCCTTTATACCACCATACTGTTTTCCTTTGGTTCTGGACATCTCAGCCATCCATATTCCCATTAGCCCCAAGCTTAGCTTGACCTTCACCAATCCCCATGTATTTTGGGGCTGATCAAGGCAGAAACCCCATGATGGGACAGCAAATTGGGGTAGGAATGCTGACACCACTGCTGGTACCTGAACGCATCCAGCCACACTCATGCCCACCCAATCCCCACCCCACATCCCCAAACTGAAGAGGACAGGCATCAAAATGATGTACAATCCTGAGCTGCACAGCCATGCAGGATGCAGCGCAGCCACAAACCCCATAGGCTGGCATGAGAATCTGGAGAGCTCAGCGAGCCAGGGAGCCTGCACCTTCACTGCTTATGAATTCCTTATCTGAACCCCCCAGGTCACTCCCGATTGCCACGGTGCCTGTAATTTGCAATTCTGGCATGCAGCCACTTCCAGAAGCTTCATTGATCCTGAATGACCGCAACACCCCCCCCCCTGCACCCCCTTCTCCTTGCCCAGACCCCCCCCCCCCCCTCCAGGGTCTGTTATTTACAATCCTGCACTCTGACAGTTGGGAAATCAGATTGATTGACAGTGGGACGCTGGCGGATGGAGGTTCCAGGCACGGAGACAGCCTGAATGCAGAATGTGGGATGAATGCCACTGGGAGAATGGGGGCGGAGGAAAGGGGGGAAAGAGAAGGGGGGGAGGGTTGAAAAGCAATTAAAAAAAGAAGATTTCTAAATTATTAAGAGTTGTTCAATTATTAATGTTATTGGTGCCTCCACGTGAGCCCGCAGATAAACTGCGCTTTGTACCGCCACTAATAATTTATAGCCCGACCAGAGCCCTGTGGTGCGGAGACAACCCAAAAAACACAGCAGGTTTTGTGCTGTCCAATGTTATACACCAGGCTCTGTCCGTGCAGGCTCCTTTTCAACCCCCTGCCCACCCCAAAACCTCTGTGTGACCCCTTACTGATGAGGCAGTTTAATCATAATCATAAGAATACCTCAGGCTCTTAATGCAATGAGCTACTCTGCTCATTCCATGGGGGGAGAAGGGGGTGACAGCAGCTCTTCTGCTGCCTGGATATGCATGTTCCCTGTGTCCAGCAGCCAGCCAGAGCCCAGGTTAAGTGCTCTGTCACAATACCAGTACACACAAGGTGTTCTGTGCTGAGTACATGCCCTGTCGTGTTCAACATGGTCTACACAGACCTGCATTTGCCTGTCTGCATGTGTCACTCTGTTGTGCATGATGCATGTTATACACTGTGCTCTCATACTCTGCTTGTGTTCTTTGCATGGATGTGTGGAAACTCACGTGGCTTTTCCCTGTACATACCTATGTATCAGGCTTGCAGCTCTGCAAGTGGCTGGGACAGCTGAACAGCACACAAATAAGCATGTGCCATGTTCACTACAGTGCTCCTCAGCACAGGTTTATGCCATGCCTTTGCTGATAAGCAAATCCTTACTCCTCAGTGAAAGGAATCGCCTTCTTGCCCCCAGAGAAGCCAATCAAATCAAACAGAGTGGAAAAGAAGACAGCCTCTTCATTAACCTAACAAGGAGCCCTGGGGATTTACACTCCAGAGCAGAGATTCTCCTCCAGCTCTCACTGGATGCTTCACTGATGTTGCTTGTGCTCCTTCCCTGGATCACGCAGGCAGGCACCTGTCATTACTGCAGACCAAGCCGAGCCAGCTTTGCTCACCCCAGGGAAGGAGAAGGGGGCTGAGGAGCCTTTGGCCTCAGGAGGGAGATGCTGGTGGCTCCTGTGCTCTGCCAGGCGGCTCCTGCAGATGTAACTGCCTGGTGCCCCCTTTAGGCACAGCGCAGGAGGCTGCAGCCGGCCTGGATTCATACAATTTCCTCCGCAGCAGAGGCAAAACCTACCAGCATCCCTGCAATCCACGTGGGATCCATCAGATCCTGGTACTGCGGGGCCCTTATTCCCCAAAGACGCCAGTCCAGCCCCAGAACGCGGCAGCAGCACCGGGCAACAGTTACCTATTAATGAGGAGGCTGCTTGAGGGCCAGGGTTTTGATTTTCCCCTACATAACTGCACAAGCATCAGCCTTTTAAAGAGCTCTTTTTAAAGAGCAGATTGGCAGCATCTTCCCTTGAACACAGACACCAGTGCAGAAATACTCCCGTGCTGCTACAGCCTAGGAACAGCAGACAGGCACATACAGAGGCACAACCTGCAATGCATGCAACAGCCCTTAAATGAATAAGGCCCAGGGGGGCTCTCAGCTATCCTCATGTCCAGCTCATCCTCAGAGAACCACATCATCCTGGGAAGGTCTGAGTGCTGGAAGCTGCAACCTACAGGGTCGTCATGGCAATGCTCTGATGGAGCCCTCCCAGAGTAAGCATCCACTGGGTAGGGAAGAAGTTTTCTCCCTTTCAGCAACCTTCCCCTCACTTTTCCCCAGCAGATCTGGTTGTGGCTAGTGAAGAACCTGATCAGTCCTTAGTGATGTAAATGTAATTGCTTTCAATGGATGAACCTGGCCCATGGACTTCATTTGCCTGCTAAGCTGTCCTCCCTGCAACTTAGCTTCATCTGCATATTTTAATTGTCTGTAACATCATAGACATCTAATTCTCACTAAGGTGATAGGTCTTTAACACCAATTTATGTGATGTCTGTGCGTAGCAACTACTGCAGAAACTTTCTAAACCTATCACTATCAAGGTTTAACCAAACCCTGCAACATCACCTTGCTGTTACAGATCCCAAACAGCAGGAATATCTGGCATTACCTGCATCTTATCCTCCTCCAGCATTATGCCAACACTCATTCCCCTTGTTCCACGCTATGACCTAAATAAGACACCACAGGAATCTGAATATTCAGATTGACATGAACTCTTGAAACAGAGGAAGACAAGGACTCCCCTCTCTGCCACTGTGAAATACACAGTAATGATGCTGCAGTTCATCAACTCCAGCAAGCAAACATGCAGCCCCCCCCCAGATGGCTACATAAAGTATTAGTATTCAGAGATGGTGGAGGGTAGATGCCCCCCAGAGATGGTGGGAGAAAGGGTCTGTAGCATACTCTTTCACACCACCTGCATTCGCTGCATGGCACACACACAACACTGCATCCCATAAACCCTCCTTACATGCACACAGGGGTTAGAGACATCTTACAAGGCAAAAAGCAAAGCCAGCCCCTTCTTCTCCCATCTCCAAGAGCCCCTACCTCCATGGCTGGGCACTGCCATGCTGTTGGCCAGCTGGTAGAGACGCTGTTGCTGCTGCTCCTCAAAGGTGCTGTGCTCATTCAGCGCCGACATCATGCGCCTGTAGTGCTCCTCCGGGGTCATCTGAGTCACCGAGTCCTCAAGCAGAGGCGTGTGGGAGTTTTCTGAAGAGCAGAAAGATTTGGTCTTCTTTTTCCACAGAGAAATACAGTGGAACATCACAGAAATACAGGGGCAGTGCAAAGACAGAGCACGATTTCTCACAACTCTATTGTACCCCCTCAACTTGAGGTACCAAGCTGCCAAAAGCTGTACTCGTGCTCCAAGAGGTACTATTACATGGGGTCCAGACACACCTACAAGCTGCCAAACCTCCAGACGGGCATGGGAAAGTCCACGAAACACTTATGTACAACTTCTTTTTCTCCCTTTCCCTAAAGCAACAAGCACTGCATTATGATAACACGAAATTCCCAGCCAGCTCCTTACCCCCAAGGTGGCAGAGGACAGGCAGGATGAAAGAGTTCCGAGTTCTCACCCTTTCATCCTGGGGGATGAGAGTTCTTCTTTTCAGTTAATTCCTGATCAGACACACACCTCTTTCCCCCACCTCTCTCAACACCCGCAAGGACACACTATGTGAGAGGTGTTCAAGCTCCCAGTGCAGGTGATGCTGACAGCATCACCCAACTGATGACAGTCCAGGTGCCTGCCTCTTGGAGGGAAGTCACAGGAACACTTTGGCTTATGGCTAAGCACCCTGAGGCCATTAAAATCACACCCAACACGAATAGCTCTCCATCTGCCTGGAATGACTGCACAGGGAGAGGCTTTGAGGAAGGCCCTGCCTGCTGCCTGGGCAGCAGGGATCCCACTCTAACAATCAGGGAGATAAAACCACAGAAGGCTTTCTGTTTACTGTAAGCAGAACTCAGAGTAATTACCCTTCTCTGCCTTGGCGGTGGCTGCTCTAACACCGTTTTATCTTGGATCTTCCCCACAGGCAAAGCCTTTTCATTACTGAGAGAGGAACTCCCAGGAACAATCTCCACAGGCAGAAGGGGAGGGAAGGGCTCCCCCCATGCTGCAGTCACCAGACCACCACCGTGTTCAGTGAATGACAAGACCACCCTACCGTGTGCCCCAGATTCGTGCTCCTTCATCCACCTCATTTCACATTGTCCCTCAGGGATCCTGGCAGGTGACTCTGCTGCTAGATGGCCTCCCAAGTCAAGGTGGTGGCTCTGAGTGCAAGCCATTTGCTTTATGCTGTGGCAAAAGTGCAGGCACTGGACATCTTGCTGGGAAGAGAGCTGTGGATCTCTCCCAGGTGACAGGAAGGCCCCTAAGCTAGAAAGATAGCCTGTGGCCATCAAATACAGCCCAAGAGACAGAGTAGAACGTGCCCTGCTATGGCTGCTCAGGGACTGGTTCATTTCTGCCTTGGAAGGGATAGCATTATTATAACTACCTATATTGATAATATATATACCTAGATATGAAGGGATAATATCAGTAATAATAGTTGTTATAAAAATAATAATGAATGAAGTTGCAGTCAAAAGGATTGCACCACCAGCTCCCAGGGCACCGACTTCAGTCCCCTCCACTCCAGCCCAGTCCAGCCCAGATCCACACAGCAAAATGTGGCTGTATCTGCAGCCACTGATCTCTACCCCTGTCATGGATCTGTATCTCAGGGACCACAGGCTTCCTGTGTGAATCACAGGTTCATGGCCTAGCTTCAAGCCAGGAGCCAGGTCCCACCCTGCACATCACACCTAGGAACCAGACCTGAAGGATGGAGCTGCATGAAGCAATGTGCCTGCTTCCTCCTTCTCCCCAGCTCTGGTACCCAAACCTGCAAGCCACCAGTGGAAGGAGCAGGGGCAGAATTCCCTTCCAGGTCCATTTCCCACCAGATGAGACTCCCACATCCTCCTCCTCTGCTCTCTTGCTGCTTCCCCCAGGAATACCGAAGCGCACCAAGCATCAGTGCCCTCGTGATGCTCTTACTGAAGGCCTAAGGAGCAGAGCACAGGCCACAGACCTGATTTAGAAAAACACTGATTTCCCCACCACCACCACAGCTGTGTCATTAGAGAAAAAAGGGAGGAGGGAGGGGATTTAATAACACTTAATTACCATCAACTCTATCGGATCAGCCTCAGAGCAGATTTCAGGTGCAAGGAGGGGAGGCGGAATGAGGGTGGCAAGGGGAGGCTAAGAGGGGGGAGCCCAGGGAAAGGCTGGATTTGCACCACTTAAAACTTGGAAGATTTCACATGACTCAGGCAGGGGTAATTCCAGCTTTGCTGCAGCTTTGCTGTCTGCTTTTGTCATTACCAGGGGTAATGCGGGAGACTGATCCCGACAAATCTCTTCCAGCCGCCAGGTGTGAAATGGACCCCGGAGCAGGCACTGGGAAGGCAGGGCTGGGGCAGGCATCTGCTGGGGCTCTCAGTGCTCCAGAGTGCTCCGTGTCCATTCAAACCAAGGGGAGCTCACTTCTCCCTCCACCAGCACCACAGGGTCCCAATGGGTGCAGCCAAAGGGAATTCAGGCTCTCAAGAGGTTTTCTGCTCTGCTTGAAGGACCTGTCATTGCTGCACAACCTTTTCATCAAGGTTTTATTAAGGCTCATCCTCCCCATTAGATTAGATTTAGGTGGGACACTAAGAAAAGAAGCTCTTCCCTGTGAGAGGTGCCCAGAGAAGCTGTGGCTGCCCATCCCTGGCAGTGTTCAAGGCCAGGTTGGACACAGGGGCTCGGAGCAAGCTGCTCCAGTGGAAGGAGTCCCTGCCCATGGCAGGGGTTGGAACTGGATGAGCTTTAAGGTCCCTCCAACCCAAACCAGTCTATGACTTTATAAACCCCAGACAAGATGGGAGCATCCAGCCTGTCCATCTCCTCCTTTCCTACAACAAGCTCATGACAGGCCAAGGCTTACTAAACCACAGCAGAAGTTTAAGGAGCCTCCTGCAAAAGCATCTCACCCTATGTTCAAAGCCAGGTCTCAGTAGGATCCTCACTGTCACTTGCCAGGGCAGAGAAGGCCCATGCCCACTCGTACCACATCCAGCAGTAGAGATGCTGGTAGCAAGAATGGGCCCAAACATCATTTCTTCATCTGGCCCAAACTGACAGCTGCCAAACCCATCAACATATGGATCTCCCCATCTCCAAAGGGGAGGAACACACTGGCAGAGGCTGGATCTGAACTGTCATTCAGCTCCAGTTCTGGTCTGCTCCATTAACCAGACACACACTGAGGTTTTGTTTCGTTTCAAACGTTCTACAATGGCAAAGAAAGGAGAATGGCAGAAGGAGCAGCATATGAGTTCATCAGCCCACCCCAGGGGGTGAGCACAATATTGTTCCCTACATGTGTTTGCCAGCACTTAGTCCAGTTGAGTTTCCAATCTTCCCAAACGAGGAGCCTTCCACCCCATTTATTTGCCAGCAGTTCAAACAGGATCCAAACCCCTCTTCCTGGGTTTTCCCTTTCTGCCATCGTTCAGTTCTATTTCATGCCTCCAGGTATCAGAGATGCACATCTCCAGACATGCTGCTGCCGCAGGAGCGAGGGTTCTGCTTGGGGAATTGTCTCCCAGGGAGAAAGCTTCCTCTGTGACCTGCCAGCACAGCCCTCAGCAGAGCCTCTGATATGCTCACATTTCCATATTAGACACGAGAACGTTCTGCTCTGTTTGACAGCAGCGCTGGCGCAGCCCTGTTTCCACTGAGATAGGGCTCTCTTTTGATCTCTGGTGCACACACTGCGAGCTTTGGGGAGGGGGAAGGGAAGGTTACTGCTTCCCTGCTGGAAGGGTTTCCAGCCCTACAGGTGTTTTTGCACTCAGTCGGAGAGGAGGAGTGATTTACTTGGCTGCCTCCCTTCTCCCTGCGTGGCCAGGCGCAGCCACAGCAGCACGGGATGCGGGGTCACTTCCCTTCAAAGGGTTGGTTTGGAGACAATGCAGCTGCCATGGGGAGAGGGTAGTCCCCACCTCCAGATGTGCATCACCCCAGGAGAGTGATGGTGGAGGAGCAGCACCCACATCAGGCACAGCACCAGGCTGGGGAAGAAGGAAGGGTGCATCCCAGGGAGATGCTGCAGACCTGGCTCGGACCAGAGGAGCCTGGTCCTTGTTTCCATTCCCATTCCTAAATCACAAACTGCACTCGCAGCATCTGGGTCTCAGCCAAGCCTGGGGCTCTAGCACAGTCTCACACTTTACAGCACTGCTCCAGAGCAGCAGATCCCAAATTCCAGATGATTAGCCACTAGGGTCCATCCTGTTTGAAAACAGCTTGTCACAAACTCTGATCCCTCTATTTCCAGCCAGCTCCTTACTGCAGAGCTGGGAAAAGAGGGACTGTTTCCCCTCAGCCCTCCATGGTACCCATGCCAAGGAACACTGCCTGACTGCTGGTGGGATAGGAAGTCTGGGAGTTCTCAGCTGCAGGGTGCTCTCTCTGGTTGGGGCTTAAGACACAGAGTCAGTGGCTAAAGCCCTCCCTTTGAGCCCATTTTCATAGCAGGGACTGGGTAGATAAAGTCCGCCGAAGCACAAAAGTCTCTGCCCCTGTTGTGATGCTATTCCAGCAGCAGCACAGCCTAGGCTTCAAATGCCCGCCACAGTGGAGAGAACAGGGGTTCCCCAATGACCTAATACAATAAACAGGTAACATGGGGGAGCAGAGAAAGGCCCAGCTCAGAATTTCCACTGTCTCAAACCCTTTTAAAGGGCAGGGAAGGCTTTCAGAGAAACAAGTGGGTGTAGAAAAGAGAAGTTTCTTTATTCAGGGCTTCCAAGGAACCCCTCTGTTAATGAGTTGGGGGAATCCCTGAGTCATTCAGAGCTAAAGGAGGAGAGCACAGTGCAAAGCCAAGGGCTGCTCAACCCACTCAAGTGAGCAAAAATGGTGGGAAGGCCGTAGGAGAAATGGAATGAGATCCTCTAACCCTGCTGCTCCCATGGCAAACCCATCAATTTGTGCAAGTTCAGCCACTTTATGAGGGGGAATCCAAATGCAATAGTTAGGTTCCAGATGGCTTGACTCCAGTTTAGCCCATTCTCAGCCAGACCACACAGGTTGCTGTTCCCTGGATTCCCTTCCTAAGCATGCATGTCTTGGGATTACCAAGGATACAGACTCAGCAGAAACAGCAAAGATGACAGCAGGTGTTTCATGTGGGTTACAGGAGCCTCATGCTCCTGTAGAACAAAAGCATTTCAGGATCTATAGAAGCATCCTGCTGGAAGTTACCTGCACATCTACTAGAAACAGGGATAACAAGAATAGGGCAGATAAAGAAATCAAGGAAAACAGGTAGAGAGTAGCAGTCTATAGGGATCCTCTTTGCACCGTTCAGAAAAGCCCAGTAAAAAGCTAACACAGTTCTGCTTGCGTTACAGAGTTACCAGGCAGGAGAGGGTTACACGAAAGAAGAGATTTAGTATGTTCTTAGGCAGTATTAGCAATGTTATATTAAGTGACACTAGAATTCAACATCCTTCCAGAGATGCTGCCTTTCAGATCACAATCTGGGGACACGGAGTCAAGAAGAAACAATATACATTATGCAATACTTATATATACAATACTTACATATACAATATGCAACACATCTATTGCATAACATAAGTAGCTTAAGAAGGCTTCAGGACAAACTGATTCCCTGGATTTGGGAATATCCACCTTGAAGAGCCTCAGCTGCTGGACTCCAAACCCATCAAACCCAGGATCTAGCTTCTACTCTGCTTTGTTTTTTAGGGGTTTTTAGCAGCTTAAGAGCACAGGACAGGCAGAGTGACGGAGCTGGGTATTCCTGACAGCTAATTAGGTTGAACTTAACAACAAAGCCTTGAAGTGAAGGGCCTGCAAAACCTCATTTACACAACCTTGAGCCAAACTCATTAGCTGCAGGCTCCATTACCCACCGCACTTTGCCAGGCGTAAAGAAAGTTTAAACCCCCATGTTTCTCGCAAAGAACCTTCAGCCAAATCAAGAGATTCAATAATAATAAAAGAAGCTGTAAAAAAGAGAAACCTTCTGCAGATTCCATCTCTATAGGAACAGTGCCATAAATGCATACGAAAGGCAGCCCTATTCTCCCTGCTAGGCTTCTTTTTTTCCCCTTTAAAGGAACAGATGCCAGCACGATAAGCCTGTGTGTCTCTTTTCTATTAAACACGTAACCAAGCTACTCTGCCTGAAAAGTAGAAATACCCCGAAAAATCCACCTCAAAGGCTGCAACGTGCTTGTTTTTAATCATAAAGCAATTATTCTAATGAAGAGGCAATCCCTTTCTTGCACTGCAAGCCTCCCTCCGATGAGATAAAGAAAGCACAGAGCACTGGTAGCCTCCTTCATGCACCCTCAGTGCCAGACACTCACAGCTCCCACCCCACAGCCTCTTTGCAAGCCTCCCTCCCCTCCCTCCTTAATTTCAATTAAGTTCCACTCTTAAGAAAGGAGAAGAAAGGGGAAGGGGATGGGGGGATGGAAAAGCAGCACTTACCCTTTGGGGACTCACTTCTGGCTTTCTTGCTTTCTAAAGGACACTCACTGCTGCTGTTGGGAGAGCATACTCTTCTCTTGCCTAAAATCTCATCTAGAAGAGAGATGAGAAACCTGAGCATCAGATAAGGTTGTACTTTGCAGAAGCAAGCAGAGACTTTGGTATTTTGCTTCTCTCTCACACACACACACACACACAGAGACACACACACAGATATTATAAGCTGGGGGGGGGGGGAATAGAAAGTAAGAAAAATCATCATCTTGAGAGCCTTGATCTGCTTTCCTAATCACGCAGCCCAAAAGCACATAATGACTATTCACACCCTGATCAATGCAACGCTCGAAAGCTATAAATTCCGAATCCAGTTGATTTCCTTACTGAGTTTCATCATTTGCTCTGGTGCCTTTTGTCCCCCTGGTGCTTCCACTCCTTTCATGCCCTGATGCAAAGCAACTGGGGGAGAGGAAGGGGAGGAAAAAAACAACACAGGGAAAAAAGCACAACAGATCTCTGAATCTTCCTACCACAGTATGTATCTGTCTCTCTCTCGCTCTCTCTCTCTCAATCTCTCCCCCCCCCCCTTTCCTCCTCCTCCTCCTTCAAAACCTCAAGGTCCTTAGCAATCTTCCCCCTCTAGATTGTACGGAAACACTCAAGCCTTTTGCATTACTGCAGCCTTACAAACCCAACACAAAATATCTAATATACAATTACAGCGTCCCCGAACACATTTAAAATCAATATCCTCCCATAAGGCTGGGGAAACTGAAAGCATGATGTTGCATATGGGCAGGAAGGAAGAGCCTGTTTGTCACTGCAAGCATCAAATTCTCATCTATCAAGGGCTCGTTAAAGATGCAGTATCTTAAGAAGGGGGGGGAAAAACCCCATCTCACAAACAAGCACCGTGTTTGAGGGAGCACACGTTGATGTGCCTGCCAGCCAACACGCAGGCAAAGCTCCTGCCGCTCGCCCCAAGTGTGGTGGGTAAGGAAGGTTACAAACCCCCTCGGGTCCTGTTTATAACAACAGGATTACTGCTGTGCCAGGGGACATGTGAAGCCAAGCAGCTGTCCCTCATCCTCAGGATCACTCCAGTTACTCTGGATTGAGCCAAGCAAGCCCAGGTTGCTGCCTTGGCACTGGATTGAGCAAGGAGCTCCAGAGCACAGCGCTGTGGCTGCCACAGTGCCGAGGGCAGAGCCTGCCAGGCACTTCCTCCATCCAAAGAGCAATGCTGGAAGCCTGCAGAGTTCCAAGTGGCATTTCGAGGTTCTAAAGAGCACAAGATGCCTCCGACTGTATCTTGCCATGACCCTGTTAACAGAACTGATGCTCAGAGACAACCGCGGAAGCTTGAAACCATCCATAACCAAATACAACAGAACACTGGCAACAGGAAAGAAGATGGGAAAGGATGGAGCCAAGCAGTGACAGCACTTCAGTTTTCTCAGCACTTCATATCCCAGGTATTGAGTCAGCTCCTGCCTCAGTTTACCCTTTAAATACCTTCTCCAAAGCCACAGTCCCTATGAGCTTGCCAAGCCAGCATCAAAGCTAGGAAGTACCTGGCCACACAGCACAGACAGAGTCACAAGCTCCCTCCCCTTGGAACGCTTCATCCTTCATGTTGGTTCTCCTGGAAATGCCAGGCTGGTGCTGCAAACCCTCAGTGCTGGAGGCCAGGATCACACACATCCTCCTCAGGAGGGCTCTCATCCGGGATTTGTGGCTTTGAAACAACACAAGTCCCATTGCTCTGCTCGCCCCTCCCAGCCTGGCCAGGAGGCAGCAAAACCCAACCGGGCTTGTTTTGATACCCTTCAGGCAGGAGAGGCTCCATGGAGGAGCTGTGACAGCAGCACCAGCTCCATGTGACAGCAGTCAGAATACGAGCAGTGCAGACTCCCTGGTTTCACAGCTCTGCCAAGGCACCTCATTACCCTCCCATCACTCCTTCTCTCTCGCTATTCCACTCCCACCCCCGTGTGCCCATCTGCCAGCAGACTCGCTCTGACTAGCACCATGCCCTGCTATTCCCAGGCACGGCAGCAGGACAGGCTGCAAGTCCCACCTCGCTCCCAACCGGCTGCACTTGGGCAGGGGAAGACTGAGATCACACAGTACCTCTGAAGCAGCACCATCCCCATCAGAGCTGTGCCCACCCATCTCCAGAACAGCCACTTGCAGCCCCATGAGCAGCCTGCATCCGCACTGTGCCATGGGGAGAGCTCTGGATGCCTTGCAGTTGAGATCTGAACTTTGAGGAGATCCCATGTTAGTGCATTCATCTCCAGGATGACCTGCAGTGTTTTCCTTCCAGCATCTCAGGCCCACGTTGCACCAAAGCACCAGACCCCACACACTGAGTTTGTATTTGGGTCCCCCCCAAGCAGTTTTCATGGCAGTCATCACAGAATGAGCATTTTTCTCTTTTTAATTCCCTTCATTTAAGGCAAAGCCCTGGGATGTGTCAGAGGCTGCCTCTGTCCCCAGCAGTGTGGGCCCTAAATCACCGAGATACACAGTAAGCAAGGAAAAGGGAGTAATTATCACCAACAGCCGGGATGGAGGCACAAAGATCTAACAATCCACCCCAAATTTACTGCAGCAGCAGAGAGCACGAGACTGAGTAACAACCTTCTGAATGCCAGCCCAGCAGTGTGAGGAGTCAGACCCCCCCTTAGCTGCAAAGCAGAGAAGAGCCAGGTTCTATTTTCATTAGTTACTTACTAAACTCACAGATCACAACCTAAATGACAATGTATTCGTATTACAGCACCAATCCTTTCCTCTTTACAACATAAACCATATGCACAGCTTTGGCACATCACACAGTAAACAGATGCCCTTTACAGGACCCTGCTTTCTAAATACATCCCCTTACACCCACGTGCTGTTCATCTAACCATTCTTTGCCCTCACACAAAGAACCAGGAGGGTGGTTGAAGGCATTGGCTTGGGAGCATCCACAGTCCATCTCCCCCTGACTTTGCAGCAGCAGCAAAACCAAATATGTTTTGCAAATGAGCTGGCAGCAGAGCTTCTGGATGCCTTACCACCCTCACAGAGACAGGTTGTGCATTTAGAGTACATTGCCACTCATCGACCACAGAGCCAGCAGATAGCTGTTTGCTCAGCCCATGCACCACCAAAAGGCAACACTCCACCATAGAGAATGGGAGGGATGGCTGGGGGGGTGGCTTGGTTTTTCCTCCTGTTTTGTTCCCCAAATCCCTGCTTTTGCCTCTTTTCTCCTGCCTTCCACAAAGCATTCCAGTTGAAAGGAAGCCAAATAAAGCTGAAAATGAAACACATTATCAGTAGAACTGTAACATTATGAAGCTAAGCCAGGCAATAATGCAAGTAAGGAGTGCTAGAGGAAGCCCCAAGCATACTGATTACTGCCACCAGTGCCACACAACCATCCCGTATCTCCTATGCAGGTCCCCAGATCCTGCATTACATCAAGGCTCCTGCCAGCCCAGTCTAGTACAGGAAGTGATCCACAGATCTTTTTGGAAATAAAGTCAATTATTTTCCCTAAAGAGCAAGAAATCCAAGTGGATTTTTCCCCCTTTTTCATGGAAGAGAAGTCCAGCACTCACCTGCTGCACTTCTAATGGGAAACATGAATAGAGACAGGGCAGGAAAGGTCAGGTGGAGGAGGACAGCACTTCTGGCCCCATATACAAGCATCACCCAATGCCTTTGCAACCATGAAGGATGTAGGTATGGCACCGTAACATGAGCTTCTGCAGAAGCCAGGGCAATGTAGGTTGTTGATCTGATCACAGCCCTCTTTGGGCCTGAGACACAGTGATCAGAGGCCATGGGTGGACACATCACCTGGAGGTAACAGTGCTTTGTACTCCTGCACTGCTGCTAATCCTCAGCCTCCCATCTTCATTATCAGCCTGGAAGATTAGAAGTTACCCCTAGGTTCCCCCAAAGACAAAAGGACTTGATCTCCACTCTTCACAAGGGAACGTGCAGCAGAGATGCACCACGGACACACACACTGCATCAGTGGCAGGGTGAGGACTGAGCCCATGCCCTCGTGACCGCGTTTCACCTGGAGAAGGGAGATGAACAAGCATGAGGTGGTCACAGGATGTTGTTAAATGGGTGGCTGATAGAAGAGGATCCCAATTACAGCTGAGGGACTGCGCCAGGACTTTCTGCACTGAGTTATGCTACAGCACAATAGGAGGAGATCAAGACCTATCTCACGCTCCTTATCCATATCACTGGCTTTGCTATGAAAGCTTCTTGGACCCAGGAGTCTCTGAGTAAACAGAGAACTGAGCCAACTTACACGGGAGATCACCCAGCCAACATCTCATGAGAAGAAAGCCCTTTTTCCACCTTCTTTCACATTATTTTAAGAGGAGAAAAACATCCTCCCTTGCTCTTAACTCCCCCCTTCAGACTTGAAACCCTGGAGATGACAATTCCCACCGACCACTCTGAAACGTCTTGGCAGCATCCCTGTTTATTCATCTCTTCCCTTTCCCTTGGCACACACAGGCCACCACCAGAGGAGCTGCTCTGCTCAGACAAGCCCTGCTGCTCTGTCTGGTCCTGTGCCGAGTGTGACAGGTTTGTGGGGACCCTGGAGGCTTCCATCCCCACGATGGCCTTGCGTCTTTGTGAGAGGCTGCACCGGCTTGCTGGGTCTCAGCAGGCCCAGAGCTGCTCTCACAAAGGGGCCACGCAGGAGGCAGCGTGGAATCTGGCTGCACATCGGCCTCATCCCTTGCCAGCAGGAATCAATGGAACAAAGGGAGAGTGAAGCACAAGGTCATGGGAATAACGGGCCATAATTTAACTGAGGGCAACGGGAATGGGAAACAAAAATAATCATTGGGGAAGCTGGGGGAAGGGAAGCAATGGGCTTGGGGGACTTGGGATGCTAGAACAATACAAGGGCATGGCAGCTCATGGGGCAGGGTTAGTTCTAGCAAGGAAGGGGGAAAATACAGCTGGATCACTGCAAAGGAGACACTGAATGAGCTGCAAAATAAAGGTAGCATCTTCCTCCCAGCAGGTCAGCTTAATGGCTTTAGGGCCATGGCAGGCAGCAGACT